AAACGGATGCATCTGACAAAGGAATTGGTGCAGTCCTAATGCAACAGAATCACCCGGTGGCTTTTCTCAGTCGAGCTTTGGGATCTCGTCATCAAGGCTTGTCCACCTATGAAAAGGAGAGTTTGGCTATAATTCTTGCCATTGAGCACTGGAGCTCTTACTTACAACATGCTGAATTTTTCATTAAGACAGATCATCGGAGTCTATCCTTCTTAGATGATCAGAGACTTACTACACCGTGGCAACATAAGGCTCTTACCAAGCTTTTGGGTTTACGTTACAAGATCATTTACAGGAAGGGTGTTGATAATCGGGCGGCCGATGCTCTGTCTAGGTGCCAATCTTCTGACACCATTGTTTTATCTGCTCTGTCCGTGGCCATTCCAGCATGGATGCAGGAGGTAAGGGATGGTTATGTTCAGGATCCCGATTCTCGCAGTAAAGTTCAGACTCTTAGTATCAGCGCTCATGATGTGCCTGATTACACTCTGAAGGATGGCATACTGTATTTCAAGCAGCGTATGTGGATTGGTCATAATATTTCCCTTCAGCAGAAGATCTTAGCCAATCTTCATACTGCTGCAGTGGGTGGTCACTCTGGTATTCACGTTAATTATCAGCATATTAAGCAACTGTTTGCTTGGCCAGGGTTGCGCTCGAGTGTGGTCCAATTTGTGCAAGCCTGTTCGATCTGTCAAAAGGCGAAATCTGAACATGTCAAATATCCTGGTATGTTGCAACCTTTACTAGTGCCTGAACATGCTTGGCAAGTGGTCTCGTTGGACTTTATTGAAGGTTTACCACGCTCATCTTCGTTTAACTGCATTTTGGTGGTCGTTGACAAATTTTCCAAATACAGCCACTTTGTGCCTTTGTCTCATCCTTTCACGGCCTTGGACGTCACTGAAGCCTATATGCAATTCATTCATCGTCTGCACGGATTGCCTCAGTCCCTTATCTCCGATCGTGATCGCATTTTCACTAGCACATTGTGGACAACTCTGTTTCGTTTGGCTGGTACACAGTTGCGCATGAGTTCATCTTATCACCCTCAAACGGATGGACAGACGGAACGTGTCAACCAGTGTTTGGAAACCTTTCTTCGCTGCTTTGTTCACGCCTGTCCCTCTCAGTGGAGTAGATGGTTGGCTCTCGCAGAGTACTGGTACAATACTTCATTCCATTCTGCTTTGGGCACAACTCCGTTTGAGGTATTATATGGTCATAAGCCTCGCTATTTTGGGTTGTCAGCTACTGCAGCTTGTCAGTCTTCTGAGCTTCAGGAGTGGCTACATGAACGCGAGAAAATGCAAGTACTGATTTGTGAGCATTTGTTGCGCGCTCAATCCAGGATGAAATTTCAGGCTGATCATCACCGGTCGGAGCGCTCTTTTGCTGTGGGCGACTGGGTTTCTCTCAAACTACAACCCTTCGTCCAGCAATCGGTAGTGACCCGCACAAATCGCAAACTTTCGTTTCGCTTTTATGGTCCTTTTCAGGTTCTAGCTCGTGTGGGAGAGGTGGCTTATCGCTTGGATTTACCAGCGTCAAGTCTGATTCATCCTGTCATTCACGTTTCTCAACTGAAGAAAGCGCTGGCACCTACTGAAACGGTTCAACTTGTTTTGCCTGTACTTCATCCGACAACTGATGCTGAAGCTGAACCTGCTCACATTTTGGATCGTCGCATTATTCGCAATGGCTCTAAGATGGTTGAACAAGTGTTGATTCAGTGGTCTGGGGAAGAACCAACAGCTGTTACTTGGGAAAATCTGCAAGAACTGCGCCATCGTTTTCCTCACCATGAAGCTTGGGGACAAGCTTCGTTTCAAGGAAGGGGGAATGTCACGCCGGCTCAAGGACAAGACCAGCTCAGGAAGTCTAACAGAGAGAGGCAGCCCTCGAGAAGGTTCCCTGCAAGCGAGTGGACCTGGTAACTGTCACGGGGCCACTGTCAGAGAGTGAGTGAGACCTTGTAGTGATGTGCTATTTAGGTCGGCGGGAGAGAGAGAGAGAGAGAGAGATTAACTTTGGAGCAATGTACAAACAACTTTCCCCCAAAATCAATTCCAATCTCTCCTCCAGTTACTCTGAAACTCTCTGTTCTTCCTCTCCGTTCTTCCTCTCGATTCCGTTCTATCTCTTCCGCTATCTCCAAATCTCTCCAAAACGATTGAATCGCAGTTGAGAAAATCGAGTTCGTGACAGTCCTTCGGTGGTTTTGGCCCCGGTTTTGTCCTACGTGGCAGCTGAGTCAGCGTGGGACCCAGGTGGGCCCCACATGTCAGGATGCCACGTCAATCTCTCTCCCTTCCTCCTCTCTCTCTTCTCTTCTCCTCACCCGACGCCACGAGAAGGGCAGCGCCGCGACGGTGGCCGGTGGCGGTGATGGCAGCATGGCGGCGGAGAAGCAGCGCACGGGCGGCTAGGGAGCATATGAGGGAAGAGGTGGTGCGCGTCCTCCCCCTCAAATCCACCGTCGTCGTCTTCGGCGGCGGCGACCGCCATGGCGGTGGGAAGCAGATGGGGAAGCTGGAGCGGCGACCGCGGCGGGAGTGGAGCTCGGTGGAGGAGGCACGATGATGACGGCGGAGGGAGTTGGGGCGCCGAAGCTGTGGAGATCGGCGGCGACGGCGCATTGTCGCCCCACTCTACCCGCCGATAGTCGCCCCACTCTGCCCGTCGGCTCCGCCCACCACTGTCGCGCTCCGTGCCACCGACTTCGCGCGCTGCCACTCCGCCTCGTCATCACCCCACTCCACCCGCTGCCGCTCCACCTCGGGGTCGCCCCACTCCGCTCGCCACCGAGCACGCGCGCCCGAGGATGGAGGGGAGGGTCTCGACGCCGAGGTGCCCTATCGTCCTCGCTCTCCCCTCGCAGTGTTCCTGCCGCCGACGCCCTCTCCTTCTCCCGCCTCGCCGCTACTGCCATCCCTGCGTCACCGGCCGCTAGCTCCTCCTCTCGGCGTGGCAGAAGGGAGAATCCGACCTCGGCGCGGCGGCCTCCCCTCCAGCGTCACAGCCTCCACGTCGCCGCCTCGTGTTAACGACCAAATTTGGTAATATCAGTATCGGAGAAGAAGATTAGATCGAAGCGGAATCAAAGATGAGGATTGTCGCGGAAACAGAGTAAGAATCGGCTGGAGTCCGAATTGGCTACGATCGAGATCGGCTAAGTCCGAGTCAGACTGGGTTAGGTGATACAGCCGATTCCGACAATACGACTTGGTGTACGACATTGGGTCGAGTTGATATGCTTCAAGATGATTGCCACGCATGGATAGAGTCCTGAGAATGCAATTGTATCTATTAGTTAGGATGTTTTATGTAAATTCCTTAGAGATATGTTTGGGAAAAAGTCTGCCGCAAAGACTTATGGTATCTTAGAGTTTGTTAGGGATAAGAGTCATGTCCGATATGGACATGTTGTGTAATTCTCGGGTATAAATAGACCCCGAGCCCTATGTAATCAATTTAACACACACGTTCAATACAATCTCGACGCATCGCCATCCTTTTTGCTTTAGTTTTATTTCGACGAGTTCTTGCTTTCAGGTTGAGCTGCATCGGTTTCGATCTTCAACAAGAGGTAAAACTTGTTATGACGGCTTACGTTCTCGGGATTAGTGCTTCCATCTTTATGATACTCTAATCTTGTTTATGTAATTCGTCGAGTTATCATATATCTTATATAATCTCTGACAATATCGCTATCTAACCTACAATCGGCTAACATCTATCAATAGAGGGCAGCCGATTAGGTTAAATATCGATGTTGGCTTAGATTATATATGATATCCACCACTCTATGAAACTTCCAATGGCTTGATTGTCTAGATATTGTCCTTCTTTTTATACTTATAGCTGCATCAATTGAGTTTGATCTTATGAGTCGTGATTAGAATCTCAATCTCTAGCCTGCTTCTTGGTTGCCGATTAGGGTAGTATCGGGGTTTCAGCCGGTCTTACCTGGTTTAACTATATTTGTTTTATATGCTTTACTGACATATTAAATCTGCCCTTTATGTTAAGATCTTGCCGCATTTAAGTATATTAGGCTCTTTGTTTGGTATATCCTATTTGCGTTGATATCTTAATATAGAGCGGTATCGAAGTATTAGCCGGTACATGCTAGATCTCTCTGATCGGCTATGCTATGAATATATATAGTCTTGTTGTTAGTATATATTTTGATCTAAGTGATTTATACTGTCTCGGCATGGCAACCGATCTATCCCAATCACTTGATTTAAGTATATATCAATATAAGGATTATATATTGTTAATATCTACAGCCGATCGAATAGATTTAGTTCTTTATTATCTATTTATAACTGCCGATCGATACATATTTAACATCGGCTCAAAGATAAATGATATGTCATCGGCACCTAGCCGATCGACTATCATTTATGGATTTAACCACAGTTTTTTTGTCTTTATTTCTTGTTGATTGCAGGATCAAATCAACTGGCACGCTAGCATACCCGAAGGCGAGTTTTGGATCTGCACTGGAGTTAAGCAGACCTCCCAGGGCTCGTGTTTTTCATCAACACCTCATCACCCGCCGCCTCCTCCTCTCCTGCCTCACCCCGGCGACCTTTCCCCACCCATCGGCCAGCTTGCTGCTTACACATAAGGAGAAAAGTGAGATTGAGAAGGAGGGAGAGGAAAGGGAAGAGAGAGGGTGCTGACATGGCATCTTGACATGTAGGTCCCACGCTGAGCCAGCCGCCATGTCGGACAAAACCGGGGATAAAACTGCCGAGGGACCTAGTTTGTATGGTTTTGTAAGTTGGAGGATGCGTTGTATCCGGTTTCGTGGTTGGAGGACGATTTTGTAATTCGATGACAAGTTGAGGGATCTTCGGTGTACTTTTTCCTAAAATACGGTGAGAAAAACTTGCATGCGGCCTATAATAGTTGGGCCTCAACGGGAATGCGGGCTACGTGCGGCCCATATTAGTTGGGCCGAGAGCTAGAATGCGGCCCATATTAAGTGGTGTTGCGCATTGCTGCTTTCACAGTTCGCACCATCCGGCGGAGGAAGATGGAGGCGCAGGCGACCCACCGGCGAGCCGGAGACCGCGGCGGCGGTGGCGACGGCGGGAGCTCCTCCGCCTCCATCGCCAAGCACCTCGCAAACCAGAGCCAGGTACCTCGTGAGCACGCGCCCGCCTTTCCCTCTCCATCAGATCGTTTGCTGCTTGCTGCCCCGGAGGTTCTGTGATGCTGCCGATTCCTGCACACGTTTGGCTCAAATTCTCCACGAATTCGTGGCTTCTCCTCTCGGATTTTCGCCCATACTCATCGCAAGAATCAAGCGCGCGTAGCCAATCGCACCATCGCGGTTACAGTTCAGCGATTGCCTCCTCGATTGCGGCTGCGGCTGCTCTTTTGCGCTGCTAGATCCACCTGAACCATGCCGGCTCACAGTGTTCTGCAGAAACCTGAGAATGCGTGCTGGCATGCTCGATTTCGTTGTCTGGCTCTGATTTCTGGAAGGCTCTGATTGCAACTGTACATCTCAGTATCTTGGCTGCTCTCGTCATGTGTTGTCGCGTTTCCTGCTCAGGTCTTGAAGTGGCTGCAAGATTTCTCTGATAAGGTGGAGGAGAGAGCTAAAGGAGCCGCTGCAGAAGTCAATGTGTTGTTAGATGAGGCTGGGGCGCTGGAGCTGGATATGAAGACCGCGATGATCTCCTTCAACAACCTGACCCGCCAAAGGTTCATTGAACATGCAAGTAGTGGTTCCAAATCTGTATATTGCACTTGTCTTTGGATGCCTCTAGTCTAGAAAGTTATGCTTGCTTTGTGATTGATTTGTTTATATCAGATGACAATATACTTAACTTTTGGCTGTAGTACACCCTTCTATGGTCAAGTGTCGTATACTTGTTTTGATTACTTTTGTAAAAGACATAAATTTCAAATTTACATAAATTCAAATTTATGATATCTCCTCATTCCCTCAGTGGAAATTGCTTGGGACACATTTCTGTACTTTGCCTCAAGGAGATGAATAACATATCACCGCTCACTGCTGCAAGTGCGTCTTCAACTGCAGAAAATTTCAGATGAAGATAGTATGCATCTGAAAACAACGGAGAGTATGCATGGTTCTCTGCAATCCCAAGTGCCAGCTCAGGATTATGAACGTGATATTTTACCAAGATACAAAGAAGCATTACACATAGGACTTTCTTCCTGTAAGGACCACTTCCGAAGCAAGGGACGCTCTACCACCTCTGTGTTCAGGGTAATGGCCTTACTTGCAGTTCTTGATGAAATATTTACCCCCCCCCCCCCCTCAAACTTTTCCCTGCAAATTAATGCCATAATTTGTCATTACTAAAATTTTGTTGCGGAGGCTTGTTTAGGTTGATGCCAACTAGTTCCAGTTTTTAGCTGCCAAATATTATCTGAATCTTTATTATTTTTCTTCCAAAATTCTGTCAAGATTCCCATCCTTTTGGCACATTATGGTAAATTCATTTTCTTGCCGAAACACTTCCAATTTTCAGCGACCTATTAGATGACCAAATTTTGGAACACATTGCCAATGCAATTTTTACCACCAACCCTCCCCCTGGTCACCCAGATTTCAGAAGCAAATTAACTAAAAAGCTTGCTGTGAAGTAAATATTGCCAATGTTTTTCCAGCAAACTAATTATATGCCAAAACTGACAAACCAAATTTTGGTAGTTCTGTTTGGTAACTGCAGCTGGCATTATTTCAGAAATTCTATAGTTCACAAGCGTTTGTTCTATGGTAGCATTTCCAAATTATCTTTGTTGCTTGACTCTTGAAGGCTATGTCTGCATATGGCCCTCTTCCACATATAATTGGTTCTGAAGAGTACATTCATGATAACAGCTGTGGTCTGGCAGGTATAAGTATTATTCAATTGTTTTTCTTTGGAAACAATTTTATACTTTGTGAATATACTCATGTGAGCTTTTCAATTTTGTTTCAAATAGATGATATGCAGCCTCTAAGTGATGACTTCAGTTGGTTGCGGGAGTTTCAAAGTGAGTCTTCAGACTCACGGACTGCTGATATCTCTGAGTCTCAAATTTTCGGGGCTCAGCGAGGTTATGAGAAGGTACAGTGTATTTATAGTTTGCGGCAAGAATGATGTGTTCTGGTACTGATTTGTTTGCTGTTTCATATGGAGTTTGTTTAAACTCTAATCAATATATAGTACTCCTAGTTGACGTTGACACTAATAGTCTTCCAGACCATTAATCATGTGTGCGTGTTTCAATCCAGGGGGAAACTGACTCTGTGGTTTCTGCTGCACGAGAATTCAAGGCAATGCTGGAGGCTGCACTTGTTAATCCCTATAAGTTCTGTATGTGATTCTTTCCCTACTTCCGTCCTAATTTTGACATCTTATAATACCTGTATAGTGTGTTAACTATAATCTTCTTCATTTATTATGCTTTGTCCTCTCTTTGAAAAGTTATCTTTCTTTCTTAGTCCAATTTAGATGTAGTTTTTTTATAAAAAAAAATCCGTTATGATTTTCCTTTTCATTGATTTTAGTAGACCGTGCTTTTCACAGATGATGATGCAACTATTACAGCGCAAGATGCTTCTGTAGAGAAGAAGATAAGCACAAGTGAGGTACAGCATAACCTTTCTGTGGCATTGTAGTTTGGACTATGGGTATCTTCAACCGATATTTCTGTCTGGCTAAAAGTTGTGTCATAACCCTGAGTCCCTGATGACTTGTTCACATGACTCACATCTGGAGTCCTACTCCCAAAACATCAAAAAAAAAAAAAAAACTTGCATGTGTTAATTCTTCTCTCATCTTTTAAATTTCCCTTTAGTTGTAAGATTTCATACGAAGCTCAACATGTTTCTAATTGTGAGCTCTTGCTTTTGATTGTTCACTCTGGTCCAGTGGATGTGTTTTTTTTTGTCCAAAAGTATATGCTGATATTGCTATTTGGGGAATATGATACCAATAAAAGGAGATATTTCCCTCATTCCAAATTTCCAGTTTTAAATAATTTATGACCCTAACAAAGTTGCCTTGTGATGATTCTAGGACCAAGTTATGCTGACAGGGACAAGTGAAGCACCGAGTGGAAGATCAGCACAAGAAGATAACTCTGAACAGACAGGACTTTTTGCAAGCTTGCAAAGCGCAGATGCCAATCCTCATGACATCTATTCTGCTTTGGTTAGAGAAGGCCTGTTTGATACTGGTGATGAGATTCTGTCTATGGATAGAGGGGAGTCTGCTGATACTCCTATTTCAGGCCTAGCGTCAGGTTTAGCAAATCTTGGCACTGCTGATCCAGCTGAAAGGGGCTACTCAATAAACGAGACTACAAATGAGGAGGGATACTTGATTGAAGGGGATGATCCATCACCATCAAACAAAGACGAACAAGATGACCAAACTGATGCACATGGTGTGTCTTCGCCAGAGCCAGAAGATGGTGTTTCTAGACCATCCTAGCCATGCTGATATTGGTTGATTTCTTCTCGAGTGCAGTTCATTCTGTCAAAATCTACTGTAGACGCTGGTGAAGCAACTGAATGGCAATGATTTAGACGAGGAACACACTTTTGCTGCCATGTGCTGAGTGCTGTAGACTAAGAAATTATATACTCCCTTTGTTTCAGGTTATAAGACGTTTTGATTTTTGGTCAAAGTCAGGACAAATTTGTAGAAAAAAATAGTAACATTTTCAAGCCAGGACAAATTTATTATGAAAATATATTTAATTATTGATTTGATGAAACTAATTTAGTATTATAAATATTACTATATTTGTCTATAAACTTTGAAATAGTTTGACTTTGAAACGGAGGGAGTACCGTTGCTCCAGTGTATCAAAACAACGCATTGAAAACATACCATTACGATTTAATTCCATCACTAGCGCAACTTATTATTGACGCCGCGCTTATTAGCTCTTTTTTCTCCCTGATGAGGATCAATAATTCGTTACCTCATGCTGAAATCTGCACTGTAGAATACCTAAGACCGACGTCGAGGTCTCGAGGATGAAGAATTTGGCACGCCAAAACCATCCTAAGATCGAGAGGCTGTGACTGTGCCTGGTGGCATATTCAAGATGTGATCAGGTTGATGAAGACAGCATTGCACAGAAATGTCTTCGATTGAATCAATGAGCACGATCATTGGCGTGTTTTGCACGAATGACCAAAACAGAGACGATGATCGGACGAAGAGATGAAACGAATGCAACTCTTATCGATCAAGACATCGGCACCGTTACTACCAAAGGTTCTTTTATAGGAAAAGTATTGGTGGAGACCGGGTGTCTTATAACCGGCCTTATCTACAGCCTCGCCCCGGATGAATGCCAAAACCATCCTATGAGCGAGAGGATCAGATTGATGAAGACACTACCATTGACGTGTTTTGCATGAACGACCAAAACAGAAAAGATGATCGGACGAAGAGATTAAACTAATGACACTAGCCCATTCTTTTCTCCAACAAGAGCTGGATAAAGATTAAGATTTTTATGGCACGCTTTTTAAACTGTTAAACGGTGTGTTTCGTGTGAAAATTTTTTATATGAAAGTTACTCTAAAATATCATATTAATATATTTTTCAAGTTTGTAATAATTAAAACTCAATCAATTATACGTTAATAATACCATCTCGTTTTGCGTAAAAAAACTTATTCTTTATTTTCATCTTAAGAAAAAAAAAACATCACAAAGATGACCAGAAGTAGCCCTCGGGCGTGCCTAGTTGTCTCTCTCTCTCCCCCTCTCTGTCGAACACTATGCCAGAATATGACCAGTGGAACGAACACAAGGTGTTTGGTGCTGTCAAGTGGCAGCATTTCTGATAGTGTTGATTGCAAATGTAAAGGATACGTTAGCGGGGGCTTTAACCACGACTCCAACTTTGGATTTGTTTGGAGAGCTTAAGATTTTAAGAAACTACTGATTGGCAGTGTCGGTGACATGGGACCGGGAGTATCATGACTTAGAGACTTGAGGCAGACACGATCACCCACGTGGCCTAACCCCCTCGGGGGGGTCGGGCCCGAGGGTGATACGGCCGCCCTTCTCTTTGTCTCCCCGAGGGGTCGGACCGCTCCCGTCTCGGCCCCGAGGGCCAAGGCGCCCCGACCCCTTGTGGGTTTTGCGCCGCGTATATAGGGTAGGTGAGCATAGCGGGGCTCACCTAACCGCATTTATTGCGGTTTGGACGAGCGCGTCACGCCACATGTAGCGCAGTATGGCACGCTCGTTTATCCGGTCTGTGACCGGTCACAGATCGGTCAGATTGCGGGTTAGGTGGCAACAGGCGATCTGACACACGCCTCGCCCCGTCCCGTCAGGATGAGAGTCTCTAGGCACTCGTCCCTAGCCGGAGCCAGCGTGCTAGCTCCTGGAGATGGCACGTTGGTCCTGGTCAGATATATGCCAGGCTTTATCCCAACCATTATAAGCAAGACGTTGTATGAAGAAGGGCGAACATGCAGATTGCTAAACTGACACGTGGTGGACAAAGGTGACCGGTCTGTGACTGGTCTGACACTGGTTATGTCGCCGGAAGACAACCGTGTTCCCACGTTGCACCTGCTTCCGGCGGAGTGGAGGTAGGTATGGGCCGTCCCATCAGAAGGGTCACTCGGGCAGCAGCTGTTGCAAATCTCCGCCCATTTATGAAGAGATGACAGGGTGATCCCCGAGGTCAGACGAACGAGGACGCGTGGCCACACTCAAAAACAGGCAGTGTTTCAGCTTCCAAGAGAAGGCAAGCCAAGTTTTACTATAGATAGGATGGGCCCCCACCCAAAAAGAGAGAGAGGGAGAAGTGGTGCATGTGGTATCCCCTTGAGATATAAAAGGAGGACCTTGCCCACTTAAGAGGCGGGGCTGGAAGGGGGGATGATCTGGAGAGTAGATCCCACGAGAGGAAAAAAGGGAGAAGAGGGTTTTTAGAGTAAGAGCTCTCTGGCTCTCCAGCTCTTTGTAGCTTCTTCATACACAGATCCACCAGAACACAGGAGTAGGGTATTACGCTTCTCAGCGGCCCGAACCTGTATACATCGCCCGTGTCTTGTGCTTTTTCCATTCTCGCGAACTTTCCACAGACTAGGAGCTTAGAATCTCACCCAGGGCCCCCGGCCGAACCGGCAAAGGGGGGCCTGCGCGGTCTCCCGGTGAGGAGCCCCACGCTCCGTCAGGCAGATATTTTATAAGAATATGGAGAAGTTTCGTTTCTTAGATTATGGCTTCTAGTTAGTTTTTGAATTTTATAACTACAATTTATCAGGATTTGGATGAAAAGCTAAATTGTTTGGAAATTTTGGGAGAAACTGGAGCTACCATAGACTCCCCAAACAAAACCCTTTGTGCGCCACGATCGGTTCGCAGCGTGTGCCATCCCACGCGCTCGGTTCACACACCACGCAGGGAGGCTCTGGCTCTTCATGCGATTCTAACAAACCTAACAAACCTTATCTAAAAGAGAAAAAACGAAATAAAGAAAGAGAAATACCGAAAATACTGGTTTGACACGCACCAGGATTTTCTAAAAAAAAAATCCAACAGTATCGATCTAAGACATCGTCACCGTTATTATAAGAGGCATTTGTAAATTTGTTATCGATTTTTTCAATATTGTAAGGATGCCACTCGAATGATAGTTTTAGTAGTATTTTTACAATTTTTTAGTGGCAGTCTTATAATAACGATTCAAAATAGTGGCAAATTTGCAATTGCCCGTTCTTTTATACGCAGAGACTCCGAGAGTCAGTGCAAGCAAGCAGGAGCTCGTCACTGTCAATTGACAAAATTCAGTAGCAAATCCTACTCTGTCTGCATCAATGGCTGGCCCAACCATCGTCCTCCTCCCGGCCTGGGGATCCGGCCACTTCATGTCCGCGCTGGAAGCCGGCAAGCGGCTGCTCGTCGCCGGCGGGGGCGCCGTCTCCCTCACCGTGCTCGTCATGCAGGCGCCGACGGAGATAGAGGCGTCGGTGGTCGAGGCCCACGTGCGCCGGGAGGCGGCTTCCGGGCTCGACGTCACCTTCCGGCGGCTCCCCGCCGTCGAGCACCCCACCGGCTGCGAGGCGACCGAGGAGTTCATGTCCCGGTACGTCGAGCGCCACGCGCACCACGTCAAGGCGGCCATCGCCGGCTTGGCGTCCCCCGTGGCCGCGGTCGTCGTGGACCTCTTCTTCACGCCCCTGCTCGACGCGGCGCACGAGCTCTCGCTCCCGGCGTACGTGTACTTCGCCTCCACCGCCGCGTTCCTCGCGCTCATGCTGCGGCTGCCGGAGCTCCGGGACGACCTGACCGTCGGGTTCGACGGCATGGAGGGAACCGTGGACGTGCCCGGGCTGCCGCCGGTGCCGCCGTCGTACATGCCGGTGTGCCTCGTGAGCAAGACGGTGAAGAACTACGACTGGTTCGAGTACCACGGCCGCCGCTTCACGGAGGCGAAGGGCATCATCGTGAACTCCTCCGTTGAGCTCGAGGGCGCGGTCCTCGCCGCGATCGCGGACGGCCGCCGCCCCGCTCCGGCGATCCACGCGATCGGGCCGGTGATCTGGTTCGACGCCACGCTGCCGCCCGAGCAGCCGCACGAGTGCGTGCGGTGGCTCGACGCGCAGCCGGCGGCGTCGGTGGTGTTCCTCTGCTTCGGGAGCATCGGCTTCCTCGACGCGGCGCAGGTGAGGGAGCTCGCCGCGGGCCTGGAGCGCAGCGGCCACCGCTTCCTGTGGGTCCTGCGCGGCGCGCCCGCCGGCGGCGTGCGGTACCCGACGGACGCGGACCCGGGCGAGCTGCTCCCGGAGGGGTTCCTGGAGGCGACCGCCGGGAGAGGGATGGTGTGGCCGAGGTGGGCGCCGCAGAAGGACATCCTGGGACACGCCGCCGTGGGCGGGTTCGTGACGCACTGCGGCTGGAACTCGGTGCTGGAGAGCCTGTGGTTCGGCGTGCCGATGGCGACATGGCCGCTCTACGGCGAGCAGCACCTCAACGCGTTCGAGGCCGTGGCCTCCATGGGCGTCGCGGTCGAGCTGAGGAGGACGACGGCGAAGGACGGCGACGCGGCGAGATCGCTCGTGGAGGCGGCGGAGGTGGAGCGCGCGGTGAGGAGGCTGATGGCGCCGCAGGGCGGCGGGTCGTCGGAGGCGAGGGAGAAGGCCGCGGAGGTGAGCGCGGCGTGCAGGAAGGCCGTGGAGGAGGGCGGGTCGTCGCACGCGGCGCTGCAACGGCTCGTGCGTGAGATCGTTCGTGTCGTGGCAGGCCACACTAGGCCGGAATAGCTGGCTGGTTGCGGTTGGTTGGCCCATCTCACACGGTACTCGGCCCAGTCTAGACGAGAAAATTATACTAGAAACCAAGACGTCAACCACGTGATGCGGCTTAAGGGTGTGTTTGATTCGTGGTAGGGTATAGCCATCCCTACCCCTATGAGCAAATCCTGGAGAGATTGAAGTCACCACAGACGTTTCGCTGTCGACAAGTACGTCACCTACCACTGACTGAAAGCACAACGTCGCGCTTCGCTGTCGACGGGTACGTCACCTACCACTGAAAGCACAACGCCGTTAAATCCTGGACGTTTCGCTGTCGACAAGTACGTCACCTACCACTGACTGAAAGCACAACGTCGCGCTTCGCTGTCGACGGGTACGTCACCTACCACTGAAAGCACAACGCCGTTAAATCCTGGAGAGATTGAAGTCACCACAGACGTTTCGCTGTCGACAAGTACGTCACCTACCACTGACTGAAAGCACAACGTCGCGCTTCGCTGTCGACGGGTACGTCACCTACCACTGAAAGCACAACGCCGTTAAATCCTGGAGAGATTGAAGTCACCACAGACGTTTCGCTGTCGACAAGTACGTCACCTACCACTGACTGAAAGCACAACGTCGCGCTTCGCTGTCGACGGGTACGTCACCTACCACTGAAAGCACAACGCCGTTAAATCCTGGAAAATTCGCTCCCACAGGGAGTTGAACCCAGGACCTCATGTACTACTGAGGCTCTTGTAACCACTAGGCTACAAGCCCTTTCACGGGTATAGCCATTTATATTTGTAGGAATATGGTGGTTCTGTTTGTTTTATGGATATATGACCATCCGGATAGGAACGGATAGAGTAAAATCAATAACATATTAATCAATGATAAATATGTTAATTATCATCAATATAGTCATATCTATACTAATTAACAATAAAATGGACTAATTATATAATCAACACTAATTTTGACAAGTCAATTACTCCATACGCTTCAAAATATAAGAAATCTATAACTGGATGAGATATTAATCATTTACTAATGATTAAGATTACCAAATGTGGATATCCTCATCCGGTCAATTTAACCCACTCATCTAGTATCTTCGTGAAACATTTTCTCTTTAGACCACCCAATCCATTCTTACCCATCAACCAAACATATTTAAAAACTGGATCGTCATATCCCATTTAGTGATATCACTCTAACCAAACACACCGTTACCTTCCTCCCACCCTTAACCCCCATCGCATTAGAAGCTGAGAAGTAGCTGGTTGATAGCTATTCCCTCCGTCTTATAACATAGTAATCCAAAACTGAATAAGACATTTCATATTAGAACAAATCTGGATAGGATGGTATTTAGATTCGTTATACTATGAAATGTTCCATCCGATTATAGATTATTATATTATGGGACGGATGGACTAACTTTTGAGAATCTGGAAAAGTTGAAAAACTAGAAAGGCTAGGTTTCCAAATTTTTATCTTTATTTATTTTCTATATTCTATAACTACAACTTCTTAAATCTAACTTAAAAATTTATATTATCTTAAAATATAACTTAAAAATTTATATTGTTTAAGGGAGCTAAAGATTTAAATAAAAGCTATAGCGGTTAAAAACTCATCAAACAGAGATACTCCTAGTTAGCAAAGGAGGGTGGCATTTCGGCTTGGGAGGCCCATCGACCTCATATCTCCGGCGAAACGGTATAAGCCAACAAGGCAACAATGTACTACTACACGTCAAGCGAGGACGGTGACTTTCGTGGAGGTAGAGGACTCTGTCTGAACTGTTTTCATTGAAGAAACGGAATTGAATACAGGCCAAGTGCGCAGGTACACCATAGTCACCTATTGATATATATACGTACAGAGAAAATGAACTACACGTCTATCTACACTTCAACCGTCTCTCAACTCACATCAGTAATTTAATTTCCGGTTTATCCCACCGCATATCCGTTTGTTGACATTTTTCCATCACTACTTATTAAGTGCGAAATATGATGACTGCTCGCTGTAAACTGCAAGGACCATTTAACAGGCTTAGCTGGAGCAGGATGAACTCAGTTGCTCGTTTTGCTCATTTCTCATTTCCTTCTATTTAATTTTATTACCTGTAATTTTTCTCATTTTTCACTGAAATTTTAGTGAGTCCTTCAAAAATTAAATAAAAAAACAGAAAAACCAGCTGGAGTCGAGGAGTGGTCGCTGCATGTTTGTGTGCAGTGGGCCAACGAAATTAAACCAAGGTTTTCTGGTAATGAAGGTCCACATCAAACTATCCTCTCGCATGGCACAGTTAATGCTACCAACGGGTGGTCGGGTACAGAATTTAAATGCTGTGTGCTTTAAGCCAAATGTAGAGAAAAATGGGTCTTTATTTATTTCGAAATATCTCATGGCCAGCCGCTCTCAATGGTGTGACTAATCACGTTCAAGCCATGATATGATGGATCAAGGCGAGACAAGAAAAATGTATGAGCAGTCATGCGAGCAAAAGTAGTAGTACTGATGAGTGATGCCCCTTCAAATATCATAACCTCCCTGATCTTTTCTATAATTCTATTAGAAGAAATAATTAAAAGATCGATCACACATAGGCTCTGCTAATGAAACCGGTAACAAAAATTTAATCAACTTCCTCTCTTCATCTCCAGCATATGTACAACATACTACATGCACAGGGATTACAAGCTGCATGCAAAGCTTAGCATTTTGCAAGAAATCAACAAAGCCAATTAATTAATACTCCTCCAATAGTAGTACTAGTAGCCAAGGCCCAACGCAACAAGCACACCTCGCAGAGAGCACAGAGACGTACGCAGCAAGTAGGTCGCCTCCTCCTCTCTCTCTCTCCGGCCATCACCGCCGGCGGCCGGCGATCGTAGGTAGCGTAGAGCTAGCTGGCGTAGAGCCTGTAGTGGCGGTAGGACTTGAGCATGGCGCCGCAGAAGGTGCAGATGATGGCGCGCCACGTGGCCCTGTGCACGGTGAGCAGGTAGCAGAAGCGCGTCGCCGTCTCCATGTCCGCCACGCTCGCGCACCCGCCGCACCGCGAGCAGATCCCCGCCGCCGGCTTGCTGCTCCGGACCTTCCTCCTCTGGTCCACCAAGAAGCAGAAGAACACCATCCTCCTCGTCTCCGGCCGGCCGGCTCGCCGGAATCTCAAATAACACGATGTGTGGAGTGGTGGTCTCTGACGGCGGCGGAGGTGGTGGTGGAGGATGGCGCAGGGGGGTTTTAAGGAGGAGAGCATATGGATCGCATTGATGGCGGTGGTAGTGAGGTAGCGGGTAGGAGAGGAGAGAAGGGGGTGGAGGTATTAATGGCATGTCGGCTTGATGGCTGGACGGCTGGACCATGATGCATGGGCATGGCGCGTTGTATGCCACTCTTGACTCCCGGACTCCACTTGTCCGGAGTAATACAATTACAGTTGTTGTTTGTTAATTTTTTTTCTTTTGACTTAATGTTTAGTACGAGATAGATCAGAATTGAACACCGCCACTCCGCCACCTAAAAAAACTGACTGGCAATTCTGGATCTTCGATCAGCCAGAAATAAACTGTCTGAATCTTCTTTTTTTTTTTAGAAAATTTCTGTCTGAATCTTTGATCAGCATGTTTGTATATATGTGATGTGGAGAAGTAGGTTACGATGTTTCTCATCAGTTTTATACTAGCACATTTAGGCTTCCTTTAGAATGGAGGAATCTGGTGAGAATTTTACGAGTTTTGAACCGATTCCTGCTAAACTGTCGTAATAAAATCCCTAGTAGTACATTTTAAATGAGCCGTCAGTGTCTTTTTATTTTCCAGAAACAGCACTAGAGCGACTGAGTGGCAGCTATAAACATCGTCCAGAAATTAAAAACAGGGACAGTTAACACGTCGGTGTGAGATAGGAGTAGATCGCACGACGCTGACTGCCCACTGGGAGGTAAGAGTCTGGGTGCGAGCTAGGCTGCGAAGGAGGAAGGATGATAGCCAGTTGGTTAATGGATAGACAGCAGGAGCTAGCAGATGGATCGCAAGTATCCGTCAACCAATTTATTAGTTGTGCCTTCGCCAATTCCATTTGGATTTCACACGAAAGCGCCTCGTGAAGCAAGCAAAATATGGGTAGAGAGAGCCTTCCCTGCTAAGCAAGCGAGCAGTCGATCGAGCAATATATTCATTTGACCGATCACTAACTTCTCTTTCGAAGTAAATGATGGGTCACTAACTAACTGTCTAACTGTATAGTACCATTTGTAATTGCAGATCGTTTCAGAGTATGACAAAGGCAATCTCCATCAGAAAAGGCGCCAACGGTCTCCTTTTTTTTATTCTTTTTGAAAAAGAGAAGGCGCCAGGCAACGGTTCTTTTACCAATTCTTACAGGTTTCTCTTGTTTCAGCCAGGGATCACCCTGGAGCTTGGGGAGGAGGACCACCTCCTTTGATGTTGGATGGGATCATCACTCCAATACTCAGCATGTTCATCAAGTTTGATTTGATCCCAGGGGCCAGGGCTCACATTAAACTTGGTGACCACTTCTACGCAATGATAGGTCCATATGAACACACTACTCTTACGGTCTTGCCCCTCAAGCGGTCGATTAGTTGGGTTGCCGTAAATGAAGTACCCTTTGAAAAATGTAATTCACATAGATGATGGAATAAGATAATTCTTATACGGTCTCTAATAGAGTATTTATAAATATCAAGTTTTACATGACATACAAATATGGTACCTCCCGAAAACGATAAAATTACCTATGGAATCATAATGAAAGTCAAAATTATACGTTTTCTTACTACTTACTTTTTTAGTAATGGAGGAATGTACGTAGTCTGTCTCTGTTCTTACTGTTTAGTGTACTGCTGGTGGAATCGAACATTAAAAAATAAAAACACCAATGCTAATGATCTTATATAAAAAAACATCTTTTTGAACCAAAAAAATGCTAAGAAAATATCATTTCCATCACATTTTGCATCCCAATAGCATGGGACGGAAACATATACTCTAACTTTAAATGATTGACATGTGAGCCTCACAGCTCGTAGGCTCATAGGTTAACGACACATGTCGGAGAACTGTATGTTAGAGGAGCTTCTTCGGTATGAGATGGCATTTTCCTCCTCACCGCTTCTTTAATTTCATTTTCATACACTTTTGTTTTTACTACAACATTCAACTATTGTATAATCCCAAATTTAAAACAGCGTTCTTAATTAAGCTTATCCAAACCTTTGGATATTAGCTAGAGAAGAATTATGGTATGGAGAGAAGCTAGAGAGTTCAAAGAACCAGGTGACTAGTCGTTGTCTTTAGTAAAGGTGGTTCTGGCATCTCTAGATGTTCTTCCAGGTTTTGACTGCCTTCTGTTGCGTGAAAAATATACTGGTGCTTATGTATACAGTACATAACTATAAGTATATCTTCTTCAAATCTTAATACAATCGGTTGTCCGTTTCTTCGGCCAACCCGGCCAAAAAAACTAGAGAATAATTAATTAATTTTCAATAACTAGAAAAGGATCCATAATATTTAACAAGCAATAATGAATTTTATACATTAAATAAAATATATAAATAAATGGATATAACTTTTATTGGGTTCTATATATTTGCTCACAAGTCACAACTGCTCTCTGTAATTTTGGTCTTCATTTCATTTATTTATTTTAGCTGCTTAGAAGGCATGACGAGACATAACTACATAGGGTATTGATTATTAAACTTGTCTGAAATGTTATGGCACCAAAAGTAGCTGTAAGAGTTGTTGCGGCGATTTAAGATGTGAAACGTGTGATGTCATTAGCTTTCTTATAAGAGTGTGTTAATTTTCGGTAGTAAATCATGGCTGTCACATTTGTGATGTTATGTTACGTACAGGTCAGCTACCGCAATACCGCAAATAGGATGAAGCAAATGAATGATTAGCACACCCACCATCGTCCTTTTTTCATCCTACTAGCCAAGAACCAAGAGAAAAAAAAACAATGAGTTTTAGTATTAATTCGATTAAACATATATTTAAGTTAAATAGTTTTTTTATGATTTTCCTTATTGAATAAATAGGTGATTTTATAATTTAAGAAGAATCAACAGTGAATCAGCCAGGAGATGACCGTTGAAGGGTGTGGGTTGATTAATGGAATCTATTTGCCTACTCCCTCCGTCCCAAAATATAAGAATGTTTTTATATTTTGGGATGGAGGAAGTAGTCAGTGGTGTAATATAATACTCCCTCTGGTTCTATATTAATTGACGTTTTGGATAAGATTAAGGTTAAACTTTTATAACTTTGACCATCAATAACATTAAAAATATTTAGTTTAAAGAAACTAGAAAAACATATATAGATTTGTCTTTCAAAACACTATAATAAAAGTAAACATGCATTTATTTATTGTATATATTATAATAGAAAAATAAGGTCAAAGATATATCTTGTAGAGCGTGTCAATGTCCAAAGCGTCAATTAAAATGAAACTGGAGGGAATATTATATAATACTAGTAGGGATGGTGTGGTAGAAAAACCACCACTACATATACATACAGTATAGAAATTCTTCATTGTTTACATTATTAAGGACTACTCATACGTACCATTCAATCTTATCTTCAAAGTTTCCAACCTCATGTATGCCAAGCCAATCCTTGCTCCACTACATGGAGTGCAAATGCTACCCAATGTATGTCAATCAATAAAGTGATTAATGTAGCCATGTAGGGCAAGTGATACAAGTCATGAACAGATCGATATTTATTGCTTTGCTAGTTGCTACTGCAATATACATGCTCAAATAGTCTTTAATTATCATCTTGATTCTTTTACTATACCTAGCATATTTCCCAAGAAATTAAAGAGGGGAGCTATGCTGGATGTTGTTGCCCATGCTGCTGGCAGTATAACTTGGGCTGTGTTTAGTTACACGCTACTAAAAATAGAAGTTTAAAGAAATTGGAACGATGTAACGAAAAAATTAGAAGTTTGTGTGTAGGAAAGTTCGATGTGATAAAAAAATTAAAAGTCTAAAGAAAAAAAAGTTGGAATCGCCTTGAGCCATGACTGCCTCCAAAATCGGTGCTTCCTTAACTCGGCTGCATTACTCCGTTTGGCTGCATTGCTCCGTTTGTCACGCTCGCACTGATTGTCTTGTCGTTGTAGATCAGTCAGTTAATTAGGACCACACGCAGGCAGCGCAATTAGAGCAAGTTTAATAGTATAACCAACTACTAGTTACAATTCAACTATAGTCAGTCTAATAGCTCGTCCATACAATAGTTACATACTGCACTATTAATACCTGGTTCCACCTGTCATACACACTGTGTCTTGGAGTCCGTGCTACAGCTAGGTATAAATCTGTAGCCCACTGCTCTCTTATTTATCTTCTTAAAATATATTTACAGCTGACTTATAGCCTACTATTGTACCTGCTCTGCCTACTCATCCTCATATCCTTTCCTTCCTTCGACTACAGGGAATTAGTAGAAGATGGGTCGGTCTGACACGTAAACACGGGTACATTAAGTTTTTTGGCCCATGTAGTATTTGCTGACAACGACAAGTTGCCAATCCTGCCATCGATCGGGGCATTGTACAAAGTCTCGAATACTACAGGAAAAGTAAGTTCCATGACATCGAGGTTTAAAAGTTCAAATTTATACCATCAACAGAGCAGATCAGAGTACATTTAAAACATTTCTGAGAATAAAGCAGTTTAAGCGGCAGCAGCGACGGCAAGGAATCACGGCGCTGATCCCCCAACGCCGGCGACCGGTCGATTCCTGAAGCCGCCGGCCGCCACCGTACTCGTATATTCCTCTCCACCCGTGTGTCGCGTCGATCGCCGTCGGCGGCGGGCGGCGGCAACTTCTGGTTTATGGAGAGGAACAACTAGGGTGGGCCGGTGATTGGTCCAGTTTCGACTAAACGGCCCAATTGGTTCATGGCCCAGGCGCATCTTAGGGGTTCGGAGATTTCTTCTCCGTACCCCGTCGAAACATACGCATTCGCCGTTGTGGTGCCCTCGTATCGTATTACCGGACACCTACGAGGAATCATCTTCGCTGTGTGATGCTTGGCAACTCGCCGGTGTTCTTTCCCTCGAGGGTCGGCGCGACTACGATGTTGTCTACCGTTCATATCGACGTCGATCATAGCTCCACAATAGATTAGGGCACTATGTGAAAAAAGAAAAGCAAAATTATGCCAAAATTAAGATTAGGCCAAGGATTTTGAGTAAGAGGTGTGTACAATTCTCGAGTCATGAATTCGTGATCATGGGCACTTCACCTCGTAGAAGTTGAGATTACACACTAGGCTGCGTTTGGATCCTCGGCAATAAACATACTAGCCTCGCTTAGTAAGGTGAGCTGTTTGGCACTGCAGCTAAAATGTTGCTACCGTGGGCAAGATTACCTCATTTTAGCTAAAATGTTTATTGGGCTTTAGCTGCAATGGGCTAGCCCATGCTTATCAGGCTAGGAAAGCCGATCAAGGGATCTGCGCGCGCATGGCACGAGTAGACACCGACCTGCTCCCATCAATTCCATTGACCCACGGCCCAGGCAAGCCCACTGGCTTAGCTAGTTAGCTTCTCCCCAATCCTGCAGATCTTCTCGTCTTCTTCGACGGCTCAATCCAACGCCTGGTGGTCTCTCTTCGTAGGGGTTCGGGACTTGGGAGGTCTGCGTCGTCGCCGTTGCTGGTCGACGAATCGCGTCACCCATGGCGCATAAAGGGGTAAGCCTACTGTTTCCATGTATCTAAAAATTAATTGAGAAGTTGTGTCAGTATTGGGACGACCTCAAGGTGTTCGATAGAATGCCCAGAAGACTCAACATGCCGCTGCTTCGTCCTATGCGCCAACACAAGCTTCACCACGAACACCAAACACACGAATTCCACCACTCTACCAATATAGGTTTTAGCATTGCACGCGGCCACTCCATGATGCGCTTATTCTACGGTGACTAACGACCAGAACCGATTGATTGCAGCCCGACGTGCCTGTTGTCAGTGGCATCAACAGCGGCAGCACGGTGAAGCTCAAAGACCTCGCCCCGGCGGCCACCAACAACGTGAACACGACGTTCATCGTGCTCGACAAGGCGGCCAGGGCGCCGCCGCCGCCGCCGCACGGCCGCGCCGACGCAAGGGAGGAGACGTGCCTGGCGCTCGTGGCCGACGAGACGGCGGCGGCGCACTTCCTCCTGTGGGGCGCCGAGCGCGACGCGTTCGAGCCGGGCGACATCGTGCGGCTGACCGGCGGCATCTTCTCCTACCACAGGAGCAACAGCCTCGTGCTGCGGGCCGGGCGGCGCGGCCGCGCCGAGAAGGTGGGCGAGTTCACGATGCTGTTCGTCGAGACGCCCAACATGAGCGAGGTGAAGTGGGTGCGCGACCCCGGCGACCCCAGGAGGATGGTGCAGGAGGCCGTCGTCTCGCCGCACTCTCAGGTCTTCAAGCCGCTGCAGTGACTGACTGACTGACTGACCAACCAACCTAAGGTTTGGTTCTTCTGTCACTGAATTTTTTTGTGGCACCGTTGTACAATTGCTCAATGTCGATTAAGGTGTGATTAGCTCATAAAACCTTGCTTTGATTAAGGGCAAATTAAACTGGATGATTGAGAGAGAGAAAAAAAAAACTCGTAGGGCATGTTTGGCATAGTCTCCATCCTTTGTTTGGTTTCACATTGAATTCCCTTCAAATCTCACGAATTAACAGACCTCCCTAGGTAAGAGATTGGTGGGAATTGGACCCTTAATTCTCCCAAACACTCTCGAATTTTCAAGTATTCCAACCAAACTACAAACTTATACTCTCGAAAATAATACTCCCATTTTCCATCAACAACTCCCTCCAATCAAACAGACTGATACGGATACTGATGCAGGGAGTTTTTAGAGTTATTGTACTTTCTAGAAGTGTGGAACGAATAACCATTAACCAATACGAAAAATATCGTACTTCTAGAAGCGTGGAATGAATAACCAGTATGGAAAATTGTTTTCATCATTGAAGAAATGTTATTTACATGTCAGTCAGATAATCATCAGAAAAGTATCCCCATGGTGTCCGTAGTCTAGTTTAAGATAATTTTCTCCATTACCTACTACTCATAGAGTACAACCTTACATAGTAGTTTTTAGTGTAATAACGGGCGCACGGGCGCGTGTCTGCCCGCACCGCTGCTAGGGGACACGCATGTAATAACGGGAGCCGTAGAGATCGCCTCACCCGACATGAATTGATTGATGAGCCCGCAGAGATAATCTCTTATCTGTTCATCATCGTAAAATTGAAGTTACGAATTGGGGGAGAAAAAGATGGGCCTGTACTTTGACACCTACTTCTCGTATGACCATGTCCATGTAAAGAAGCAACGGGAAAGAGAGAAGGAGATGATGGTATTTTCGTCCAATACATACAAAATACGTATCTTAGTAGCACCAATGAAATTACAAACAAATAGCAGTGGCATCGTTTGAAATACGCAAAAAGTAACAGTATATTTCAAAACCAATAAAATTTTAATGATATAGATCTAATTAATCCATTAATAAATCATCACTTACATAGATGAAATTTAGTTCAGAAAAACAAGTAGTAAGAGAGAGAATCTTCCAATCCCTCTCTTCCAGAATGTGTGGATTATTCAGAGAACTGAACACACGTCCAGCCAAATCCCGACCAAAAACCATCATCAATCAGCCGATCCTGATGTTGTCCCTGCCGCACACGAGCGTGGTGGCCCAGTTGACCGCCACGTAGAACCTGTTCCTCCAGCTCACCACCCTCGGCCCAGACACGCCCATTGGCTTTAGCTTCTTCCCAATCCAACGTCTGGTGGTCTCTCGGAGGTCTGCGTCGTCGCCGTTGTTGGTCGGAGCATCACCTGGGCGGTGTTTCCCTGTCTGTCGAGCATCACCCATGGCGCATAAAGAGGTAAGCCTACTACTGTCTTTTCGCATGAATGTAAAAACTCTTAGAGAACTTGTGTCAGGATTGGGACGACCTTAAAGTGTTCGATAGAATGCCCAGTAGAGGGGAGTGGGTTATAATCTCTCGAGACGATAGCTCCTTATTACCAGAGCAACTAGAGGTTGGCTGCCTTCCACTGCTGTGCTGTGTGTTGCAATATTTAATCACCAAACAAGTACTAATAATCTATTGATTTATCTTTGCACACAATATTTAAGTATTCTTGTTTCTTCGATATTAAATAGGTAGATTATTAATGATAAATAGATTGTTGTGAGTTCAAACATATTAGCAGGTGCTTTGGCTTACTATGCAGTGTGGTATGGTAGGGGAGCATATTTTAGAGGGTATGCACATAAGGGTACACATATGATCTCTTTTTTTTTTTACGAAAGCCACCTTTGGATGAGCATAGAGTATAGTTGTGTGCGGGTTACCTTGCCTTTAAGGTGTTCGTTATTTTCTATCAGCACAGAGTATGAAACTATCTTAAGGTGTACGTTCCCTTCTTGCCTGTTCCGTGACGCACCCATGCGCGAAGGCGCGAGCTCAGCTCGTGACCACGACGCCGTATCGCCTCGGCCTAGCCAGCTCGCAAGTCGCAACCGATTCCCCATCTCCGCCTCTGCTCATCTCCACTCGCCCGCCGCCGGCTCACCTCTCGGCGACCCGGCCTCAGAAAGCGTCGGTGGAGCGGGGCCGGGGGCCCGTCAACCGGCCCATCAAACAAGCCGTTGGCAACAACGCGTACAGGAAGAGGGAGAGGTGTGGGTGTGTGCAGTTAGGTGCGGCGCCGCCGCCGGGCGGAGTACATCACTTCGGCGGCGCTCTCCCGGCTACCGAGCATCACCCATGGCACACAAAGGGGTAACCCCGCAGTTTCCTCCCAAGTACCTCACATGTGGGATTTGATTTTGTTGTTGTTGTTGTGTCGAGGCGTTGAGAAGTTGTGTCGATCTTGGGACGACCTCAAGATGTTCGATGGAATGCTCAGTAGAGCCAATGATCTGCTGCTTCGGCGTACGCCTACACAAGCTTCAGCAACAACACATCACTCTACCGATATAGATATCGACTGTGCAAGCGGCCAATTCTTGATGTTTTACAGTGTAACTTTGACTAACAATTAGAATGGATTGACTGCAGCCCGACGCGCCCGGTGTCAGTGGCATCAGCAGCGGCAGCACGGTGAAGCTCAAAGACCTCGCCCCGGCGGCCACCAACAACGTGAACACGACGTTCATCGTGCTCGACAAGGCGGCCAGGGCGCCGCCGCCGCCGCCGCACGGCCGCGCCGACGCGAGGGAGGAGACGTGCCTGGCGCTCGTGGCCGACGAGACGGCGGCGGCGCACTTCCTCCTGTGGGGCGCCGAGCGCGACGCGTTCGAGCCGGGCGACATCGTGCGGCTGACCGGCGGCATCTTCTCCTACCACAGGAGCAACAGCCTCGTGCTGCGGGCCGGGCGGCGCGGCCGCGCCGAGAAGGTGGGCGAGTTCACGATGCTGTTCGTCGAGACGCCCAACATGAGCGAGGTGAAGTGGGTGCGCGACCCCGGCGACCCCAGGAGGATGGTGCAGGAGGCCGTCGTCTCGCCGCACTCTCAGGTCTTCAAGCCGCTGCAGTGACTGACTGACTGACCGACCAACCAACCTAAGGTTTGGTTCTTCTGTCACTGAATTTTTTTGTGGCACCGTTGTACAATTGCTCAATGTCGATTAAGGTGTGATTAGCTCATAAAACCCTGCTTTGATTAAGGGCAAATTAAACTGGATGATTGAGAGAGAGAAAAAAAAAACTCGTAGGGCATGTTTGGCATAGTCTCCATCCTTTGTTTGGTTTCACATTGAATTCCCTTCAAATCTCACGAATTAACAGACCTCCCTAGGTAAGAGATTGGTGGGAATTGGACCCTTAATTCTCCCAAACACTCTCGAATTTTCAAGTATTCCAACCAAACTACAGACTTATACTCTCGAAAATAATACTCCCATTTTCCATCAACAACTCCTGAAGCCGCCGGCCGCCACCGTACTCGTATATTCCTCTCCACCCGTGTGTCGCGTCGATCGCCGTCGGCGGCGGGCGGCGGCAACTTCTGGTTTATGGAGAGGAACAACTAGGGTGGGCCGGTGATTGGTCCAGTTTCGACTAAACGGCCCAATTGGTTCATGGCCCAGGCGCATCTTAGGGGTTCGGAGATTTCTTCTCCGTACCCCGTCGAAACATACGCATTCGCCGTTGTGGTGCCCTCGTATCGTATTACCGGACACCTACGAGGAACCATCTTCGCTGTGTGATGCTTGGCAACTCGCCGGTGTTCTTTCCCTCGAGGGTCGGCGCGACTACGATGTTGTCTACCGTTCATATCGACGTCGATCATAGCTCCACAATAGATTAGGGCACTATGTGAAAAAAGAAAAGCAAAATTATGCCAAAATTAAGATTAGGCCAAGGATTTTGAGTAAGAGGTGTGTACAATTCTCGAGTCATGAATTCGTGATCATGGGCACTTCACCTCGTAGAAGTTGAGATTACACACTAGGCTGCGTTTGGATCCTCGGCAATAAACATACTAGCCTCGCTTAGTAAGGTGAGCTGTTTGGCACTGCAGCTAAAATGTTGCTACCGTGGGCAAGATTACCTCATTTTAGCTAAAATGTTTATTGGGCTTTAGCTGCAATGGGCTAGCCCATGCTTATCAGGCTAGGAAAGCCGATCAAGGGATCTGCGCGCGCATGGCACGAGTAGACACCGACCTGCTCCCATCAATTCCATTGACCCACGGCCCAGGCAAGCCCACTGGCTTAGCTAGTTAGCTTCTCCCCAATCCTGCAGATCTTCTCGTCTTCTTCGACGGTTCAATCCAACGCCTGGTGGTCTCTCTTCGTAGGGGTTCGGGACTTGGGAGGTCTGCGTCGTCGCCGTTGCTGGTCGACGAATCGCGTCACCCATGGCGCATAAAGGGGTAAGCCTACTGTTTCCATGTATCTAAAAATTAATTGAGAAGTTGTGTCAGTATTGGGACGACCTCAAGGTGTTCGATAGAATGCCCAGAAGACTCAACATGCCGCTGCTTCGTCCTATGCGCCAACACAAGCTTCACCACGAACACCAAACACACGAATTCCACCACTCTACCAATATAGGTTTTAGCATTGCACGCGGCCACTCCATGATGCGCTTATTCTACGGTGACTAACGACCAGAACCGATTGATTGCAGCCCGACGTGCCTGTTGTCAGTGGCATCAACAGCGGCAGCACGGTGAAGCTCAAAGACCTCGCCCCGGCGGCCACCAACAACGTGAACACGACGTTCATCGTGCTCGACAAGGCGGCCAGGGCGCCGCCGCCGCCGCCGCACGGCCGCGCCGACGCGAGGGAGGAGACGTGCCTGGCGCTCGTGGCCGACGAGACGGCGGCGGCGCACTTCCTCCTGTGGGGCGCCGAGCGCGACGCGTTCGAGCCGGGCGACATCGTGCGGCTGACCGGCGGCATCTTCTCCTACCACAGGAGCAACAGCCTCGTGCTGCGGGCCGGGCGGCGCGGCCGCGCCGAGAAGGTGGGCGAGTTCACGATGCTGTTCGTCGAGACGCCCAACATGAGCGAGGTGAAGTGGGTGCGCGACCCCGGCGACCCCAGGAGGATGGTGCAGGAGGCCGTCGTCTCGCCGCACTCTCAGGTCTTCAAGCCGCTGCAGTGACTGACTGACCGACCAACCAACCTAAGGTTTGGTTCTTCTGTCACTGAATTTTTTTGTGGCACCGTTGTACAATTGCTCAATGTCGATTAAGGTGTGATTAGCTCATAAAACCCTGCTTTGATTAAGGGCAAATTAAACTGGATGATTGAGAGAGAGAAAAAAAAAACTCGTAGGGCATGTTTGGCATAGTCTCCATCCTTTGTTTGGTTTCACATTGAATTCCCTTCAAATCTCACGAATTAACAGACCTCCCTAGGTAAGAGATTGGTGGGAATTGGACCCTTAATTCTCCCAAACACTCTCGAATTTTCAAGTATTCCAACCAAACTACAGACTTATACTCTCGAAAATAATACTCCCATTTTCCATCAACAACTCCTGAAGCCGCCGGCCGCCACCGTACTCGTATATTCCTCTCCACCCGTGTGTCGCGTCGATCGCCGTCGGCGGCGGGCGGCGGCAACTTCTGGTTTATGGAGAGGAACAACTAGGGTGGGCCGGTGATTGGTCCAGTTTTGACTAAACGGCCCAATTGGTTCATGGCCCAGGCGCATCTTAGGGGTTCGGAGATTTCTTCTCCGTACCCCGTCGAAACATACGCATTCGCCGTTGTGGTGCCCTCGTATCGTATTACCGGACACCTACGAGGAACCATCTTCGCTGTGTGATGCTTGGCAACTCGCCGGTGTTCTTTCCCTCGAGGGTCGGCGCGACTACGATGTTGTCTACCGTTCATATCGACGTCGATCATAGCTCCACAATAGATTAGGGCACTATGTGAAAAAAGAAAAGCAAAATTATGCCAAAATTAAGATTAGGCCAAGGATTTTGAGTAAGAGGTGTGTACAATTCTCGAGTCATGAATTCGTGATCATGGGCACTTCACCTCGTAGAAGTTGAGATTACACACTAGGCTGCGTTTGGATCCTCGGCAATAAACATACTAGCCTCGCTTAGTAAGGTGAGCTGTTTGGCACTGCAGCTAAAATGTTGCTACCGTGGGCAAGATTACCTCATTTTAGCTAAAATGTTTATTGGGCTTTAGCTGCAATGGGCTAGCCCATGCTTATCAGGCTAGGAAAGTCGATCAAGGGATCTGCGCGCGCATGGCACGAGTAGACACCGACCTGCTCCCATCAATTCCATTGACCCACGGCCCAGGCAAGCCCACTGGCTTAGCTAGTTAGCTTCTCCCCAATCCTGCAGATCTTCTCGTCTTCTTCGACGGTTCAATCCAACGCCTGGTGGTCTCTCTTCGTAGGGGTTCGGGACTTGGGAGGTCTGCGTCGTCGCCGTTGCTGGTCGACGAATCGCGTCACCCATGGCGCATAAAGGGGTAAGCCTACTGTTTCCATGTATCTAAAAATTAATTGAGAAGTTGTGTCAGTATTGGGACGACCTCAAGGTGTTCGATAGAATGCCCAGAAGACTCAACATGCCGCTGCTTCGTCCTATGCGCCAACACAAGCTTCACCACGAACACCAAACACACGAATTCCACCACTCTACCAATATAGGTTTTAGCATTGCACGCGGCCACTCCATGATGCGCTTATTCTACGGTGACTAACGACCAGAACCGATTGATTGCAGCCCGACGTGCCTGTTGTCAGTGGCATCAACAGCGGCAGCACGGTGAAGCTCAAAGACCTCGCCCCGGCGGCCACCAACAACGTGAACACGACGTTCATCGTGCTCGACAAGGCGGCCAGGGCGCCGCCGCCGCCGCCGCACGGCCGCGCCGACGCGAGGGAGGAGACGTGCCTGGCGCTCGTGGCCGACGAGACGGCGGCGGCGCACTTCCTCCTGTGGGGCGCCGAGCGCGACGCGTTCGAGCCGGGCGACATCGTGCGGCTGACCGGCGGCATCTTCTCCTACCACAGGAGCAACAGCCTCGTGCTGCGGGCCGGGCGGCGCGGCCGCGCCGAGAAGGTGGGCGAGTTCACGATGCTGTTCGTCGAGACGCCCAACATGAGCGAGGTGAAGTGGGTGCGCGACCCCGGCGACCCCAGGAGGATGGTGCAGGAGGCCGTCGTCTCGCCGCACTCTCAGGTCTTCAAGCCGCTGCAGTGACTGACTGACTGACTGACCAACCAACCTAAGGTTTGGTTCTTCTGTCACTGAATTTTTTTGTGGCACCGTTGAACAATTGCTCAATGTCGATTAAGGTGTGATTAGCTCACAAGACCCTGCTTTGATTAAGGGCTAATTGAACTGGATGATTGAGAGAGAAAAAAAACTCATACGGATACTGATGCAAGGAGTTTTTAGAGATATATTGTACTTTCTAGGAGGTGGAACAAATAACCAATACGGAAAATATCGTACTTCTAGAAGCGTTGAATGAATAACCAAGAGTAAAATACACCAGCGGTCCTTAAACTTGTCGGGAGGTTTTACTTAGTTCCATGAACTTGTAAAGCGCACATCGAGTTCTCTAAACTTGGTTTATTGTATTATTCTCGTCCAAAGCCGCGTTTGACCCTGGTCTTGCCTACGTGGCACGCCACGTGAACGATAACATGGATTTTTTTTATTCTTTTCTCCCTTCTTCCTTCTTTTTTCACCACTGCAACAACCCCTCCCCTCGTGCCGCCTCTCACCACCGACGAGAAAAAAGAAGGAAGAAAGAGAAAAAAGAAGGAAGAAGGGAGAAAAAAATAATAAAAATTCCATGTCATTGTCCATGTGGCGTGCCACGTAGGCAAGACCATAGTCAAACGCGGCTTTGGATCGGGATAATACAATAAACCAAATTTAGGAACCTCAATGTGCACTTTGCAAATTTGTAGACCTAAGTGAAACCTTCTGACAAGTTTAAGGACCGTTGGTGTATTTTACTCAATAACCAATATGTGAAATTGTTTTCATCCATTGAAGAAATGTTTTTTTACATGTCAGTTAGATATAGATAATCAACAGAACAGAATCCCCATGAATCCCCATGGTGTCCGTAGTTTAGTCCAAGGGTTTGTTCACTTTGATGCTATTTTCAATCATACCATTTTTTTTGTCGAGTTGCTAAAAAAATATCTGCGTTTAGTTTGTTGCCAAATTTAGTTAATACATAAGAAATCATGCTAAAATTTTAGCAATCTTGCCAATATTTTGGCATTGCCAAAACTTGGTAAGGTTTATTTTGGCTACAATCTAAACAGTCCCTAATTTTCTCCATTACCTATTAAGGTTGTGTTCTTTTCCCCTCCACCCAACTCACTTCCCTTCCTTTTCACATACACGCTTTTCAAACTGCTAAACGGTGTATTTTTTATAAAAGTTTTCTATATGAAAGTTTTTTTGAAAAATCATATTAATTCATTTTTCAAGTTTGCAGGTTAATACTTAATCTCACCATAATCACATGCTTTGTTTTCGGGAGGCAACGTTGGGAACCTGGCCTCTTGAACGCAACCTAAGAGTACAATCTTACATAGTTTTAGGCCTTGTTGAGATCCCAAAAAAATTTGGCAAAAAACGTGGGAAAAAAATCACATGCATTGAGCATTAAATGTGGGAAAAAATCAATTGAACAGTTTGCATGTAAATTGCAAGACGAATCTTTCGAGCCTAATTACGCCATGATTTAATAATGTGATGCTATAGTAAATATTTGCTAATGACGGATTGATTAGGCTTAATAATTTCGCATCGTAGTTTACAGACAGAATCTGTAATTTGTTTTGTTATTAGTCTACATTTAATACTTCAAATGTGTGTTCATATACTTCAAAGTTTTTACACCCAAAAAACTAAACACACCCTTAGTCTAAGATAAATTTTCTCCGTGTAATGCCGCCTTTTCAAAAGCCTTATCTTATCCGCTAAAATTTAAATTTTCAACTTTAAATTTGAAGTTGATTTTAAGATTTTTCATCGAAGTTTTTTTAGTCTTCCCTTTTAGATCGTTATGAACACGTATATATAAGTTTTATTCATAAATTATTTTTCGTTTGCCCGTTTTTCTTATTCCACGTACCACGATGGAGCCACGAGTGTCCAGACTTGAATGAAATAATTACCCCCTCCAGATCCAAGCAAGTTCAAGAGCCATTCAATCAAAAAAAAAAAACTCAACCTAAAAAAACTTAACCTAGCAGAGGTCATCCCCTTCCTGGATATATGGTAGTCAGGGTTGATTTTTTTTTCTTGAGACGGAGGGAGCGAAGCAAACGAATCTCCACCGTCCGATCAAACAGCGTCTCATACTTAAGGTGGTGTTTGAAAGTCCTACAGGTAGACGAAATGAATCCTACCCAGGAAGAAAGAAATTAAAGCGGGGCCCATCCAGCCCGTGCCGTGGGACGTGCGTTTTCTTCTTCTTGCAGCACAAGCCGCGGCCGTGAGATCTTCCGGCAAGCACGGGGAAGGCTCGCGCTTATAAAAAGAAAGAAACAGATCTTTTCGGTTAAATAAATTTTAATCAAGAAAAAGAGAGAGAAAGGCTTCTCTTCTTCTTCCTCGTATTGCTGCTGCTGCTTTTGGTCTCCTCCGGTGAAAGCGACGGGCCGTGATGGTGCAGCTGCCGTCGCGCTCGTGGTGAAATCTTGGACACTGCCGGTAATTTCTTGTCATTTTTTCCCCTTCTTTTCCTCGAGTCTGGGTGGATTACGCACGCACACAAAAAAAGAAAGCTGGGGTTTCTCTTCAATGCGATTCGAGGGCGAATGGGGATGACGCACGAAGCCCCTGCGGCGGGCGGGCGAGACGACGAGCGATCGAATATCCTCAGGTTTTATTTTCTTTCCACGCCGTTCGCTTCCCGCAATCTTGTTTCCTACGTACGACGATGACGAGTCCACTCGGAATATCCCCGGAGGAATCCATGGTGGATTCAACGAATCATCAAAACTACCAAACCGTGGAGTAGTGTGTGTGTGCCGTACTGTTGAAGTCTGGCCGTTTCGCTGGGTCGCGATCTTGTGCAGCACACGCCGGCCCGAGAGAAGGTTCCGATTCCCATCTCTCAGCCAGTTTTCTTGGAGAAGAAACGTTGTTGTACACTTTATTATGTATGGCGTGATAAATTTGGAGAGTTCGTTTGCTCCAAAATTCTTGGGGGAGGGAGATTGGTCAACACCGATGTGCTTCTAGTACTTCTCTTTTCTCACTGGGCTCCATTTTCCAAGGAAGAAAAATGCGAAGCCAAGTCTCGTTTCGTTCGTGTATCATGTTTTTTTTTGGGTCGCTTTCTTTGTGTGTGTATATATATTCCTCGTGCTGTTGTTGCCATCAGATCAGTTTTGTGAGATTCAAATTGACAACTCTTTGAATTGATCTGCAGGTTCTCGTGGTAATTCTGTAGTTGTTTTTTTTTCGAGTTCTTGTGTGGGGCGAAGCGAAGCAGATGGCGTGGTCGAGGATTGCGAGGGGCTCGCAGCTCACGCAGCCGCTCTCGAGGATTCTCGCCGAGGGCAACGCGGCCGCCACCCCGGCGGCGTACGCGCTGCGCAATGCGGCGGCGCTGGGCCAGCGCGCCTCGTCGGCGTCGGCGTCGTCGTCGTTCCACAGCCTCGCGTTGGCGGGGCTTGCTGACAAGTACGCGGCCGGCGCTGCCGGGCGGCTCCAGCCGAGCAGGGGGATCAGCACGACGTCACCTGCGCTGCGCCCCGCGGCGGAGGCGGCGGCGAGGGTGGTGGAGTGCTCGGACGCCGCCGACGAGGCGGCGGCGGCGGCGGCGGTGCCGGACCTCGGGCCCACGCGGCCGGGGGAGAAGCCGCGCGTGGTGGTGCTCGGGACGGGGTGGGCGGCGTGCAGGTTCCTCAAGGACGTGGACACGCGCGCCTACGACGTGGTGTGCATCTCGCCGCGGAACCACATGGTGTTCACGCCGCTGCTGGCGTCGACGTGCGTCGGCACGCTGGAGTTCCGGTCCGTCGTGGAGCCCGTCAGCCGCATCCAGTCGGCGCTCGCCACCCGCCCGGGCTCCTACTTCTTCCTCGCCTCCTGCACCGGCATCGACACGGGGCGGCACGAGGTGCACTGCACGGCGGCGGACGGCGACGGGCTCCCCGCCAACCCGTACAACTTCAAGGTGTCGTACGACAAGCTGGTGATCGCCAGCGGCTCCGAGCCGCTCACCTTCGGCATCAAGGGCGTCGCCGAGAACGCCATCTTCCTCCGCGAGGTCAGCCACGCGCAGGAGATCCGCCGCAAGCTGCTCACCAACCTCATGCTCTCCGAGAATCCAGGTACGCTTTCAACCACACCTTGCATTTGCACCTCGTCCATGGCGTCCATGGCGATGGTTGCTCGATCAGTTCTTGATCGTTTTGGTGAATGATGGTGTGTAGGCTTGTCGGAGGAAGAGAAGAAGCGCCTCCTGCACTGCGTCGTCGTCGGCGGGGGTCCGACCGGGGTGGAGTTCAGCGGCGAGCTCAGCGACTTCATCACCCGCGACGTGCGGGAGAGGTACGCTCACGTCAAGGACTACGTCAAGGTCACCCTCATCGAGGCCAACGAGATCCTCTCCTCCTTCGACGTCGGGCTGCGCCAGTACGCCACGGACCACCTCTCCAAGGTACTACATGACCGAGACGATAGGAAAGATTAGTCGTTCTTCGTTCCGCTATATCGACTAACTTTTTTTTTTTTTGGTTTTAACACTAAATCGTTGCAGTACGGCGTGAACCTGGTGCGCGGCGTGGTGAAGGAGGTGAAGCCGAGGGAGATCGAGCTGAGCGACGGGAGCCGCGTGCCGTACGGCGTCCTGGTGTGGTCGACGGGCGTGGGGCCGTCGGAGTTCGTGAGATCGCTGCCGCTCCCCAAGTCCCCCGGCGGGAGGATCGGCGTCGACGAGTGGCTCCGCGTGCCGTCGGTGGAGGACGTGTTCGCGCTGGGCGACTGCGCCGGGTTCCTGGAAGGGACGGGGCGGGCCGTGCTGCCGGCGCTGGCGCAGGTGGCGGAGCGGGAGGGGAGGTACCTGGCGCGGGTGATGTCGAGGATCGCGGCGCAGGATGGCGGCAGGGCGGGGCGCGCGGTGGGGAGCGCGGAGCTCGGGGAGCCGTTCGTGTACAAGCACATCGGGAGCATGGCGTCGGTGGGGAGGTACAAGGCGCTGGTGGACCTGAGGGAGAACAAGGACGCCAGGGGGGTGTCCATGGCCGGGTTCGTCAGCTGGCTCATGTGGCGGTCGGCGTACCTGACGAGGGTGGTGAGCTGGAGGAACAGGTTCTACGTGGCGGTCAACTGGGCCACCACGCTCGTGTTCGGCAGGGACAACACCAGGATCGGCTGAATTTTTTTGTCGGGATTTGGCTGGAACGTGTGTTCAGTTCTCTGAATAATCCACACGTTCTGGAAGAGAGGGATTGGAAGATTCTTTTTTTTTTACTACTTGTTTTCTTAATTAAATTTCATCTATGTAAGTGATGATTTATTAATTGTTTTATACGGTTGAATAGTAAGCGTCCATGGAAAATATTGGATGCTTCACCAGTCCACTGCACTCACTCCTCCACCAAGTATCAACATATAATCATCGTCTACACGACTCGAAATGTTAATGGCCGTGATATAACCCTTTCTACAGGGTAAGATAATAAGAACTTCTCGAGCATAACTATGTGGTGCGTCACAGGAAGAGATTCCCCTTGATCTATTTGGGTCGATCTGTTTGGATCAAGGCACACTTTGCAGTCCTCGGGCGTCCATAGTCTTTGTCCCCAACCTGCCATGACCTGGTTCTTGGGTGGTGGCTTTGGTCCCATGTATGTGATAACATACAGGACGTGTGGCCATCTCCGAACAATCTAGGGGCACACTTCATCTCTGAACAGTTCTAGGACACACTTCGACTCAAGCCGGTTGATCCAAACAGAGTTTCGAGCATTCAACTTTTTTTAAAAAAGTTTGGATCGAGCCAAGAGCTCTAGACTAGGGAGGTGTTAGCCCACAACCAATACAGTCTGACATCTTGACTTTTTTCCCACTGTCCAACCCCCAACCCGGAATATTAATCCGTATGTGCAATGTCGTGTTTAAGCCTGCCAGTGGGCTAGATTTTATTGGGCGAAATGGATTGGATGTTGATTTGGATGGTGGTGGTTGGATTCAAATGGGCTGATATTAATTTTGGATTGGAGCGGGTTGGCCTGTGAAGAATTGCGGTTTGGGCTGGAGTGGATGCGGGTTGGCCTGTGAAGACTATCCATGGATTCAGCCCATGGGTTAGCCTCCAAAACAAACCGAACTATCCCCACTCCACTCCAAACCCTACACTCCCCGCACGCGCCTGTGCGCAGTGCGCCGCCGCGCACTGCCGCCGCCGCCGCCACAACCGCGCGCCGTCACCGCCGCGTGCCGTCACCGCCGTTCGCTGCCACCGCCGAGCGCCGTCACCGCCGTTCGCCGCCACAGTCGCCGGACTCACTCAAGAAGGTGACTCATCTTTCATGTTTCTTGAAGTGGCGTTCTCTCTCTGCTTGGTCGAGCTCCGCTGATATATGTTCTTGCTGTGGGCAGGGAGGTGGCAGATCTGCGGTTGCGTGACCTCCATCTTGGATCTCGGTGAGCTGGGGGGACTGTTCTTGGAAGTGGTTCCTGGGAGCATCCTGGTATGGTACCTTGGCTATTTTTGTGCTTTTTCTTTGTTTCGATTTTTAGATAATGTGGGTTGGTTCGATTGGAGATGCTGAAGAGTGGTGGGTTTCTGTTGGGTTTAATGCCGCAGCTGGTGTCCCATCTTAGTTGTCTCATGTGATACATACTCTGCTGGATTGTAGTATGTGTGCCATCAGACATCAGGATTAGTCACAATAATTAGGTCTTAACTCTTGAAAGGTAAAGACTTATGAAGCTATTGCCAAATTAGCAGTACCAATGTCTCATCTAACCTTGAGAAGTCATCTAGATCTCTGGTATACTGCAATGCTACTGAAAAAGAAAAAAAAAAGATGTTGGAGATTTGAACAAATTGGAATTACACAAATTGATTGCTAGCAATGTTCTGTTATTCGCAATTAATTCTGTCAGATGGTTGTTTATAATATATCAGTGCAATTGCACCCTTTCCCAAGTCCCAACCTCTAAGTCATGTTTATTAAGCATGCAGCTTTTTTGCTGCTTAATGGTGACTGTTGAGCGCATCTAGAAAATCCAGCACTTAAACTTTTAAGCTGTTGGTCAAAGGATAAAACATTTTGAATGTCAGTTCATTCAGTCCCATATAACTACTAATCTGTTGATTTAGGTGGCTGTCTTTCACTGTATAACAGGTTGCTGTTGGGTATGCTTATCATTTCACTAGTTTTTAGCACAAGTAGTAAATGTAAATATTAATTCTGCACAAGTAGCAAATGTAGATATTAATTTTCTATTCTTGTCAAACACAGGTTTATTAAACATGTCTATGCAAAATTCTGAAAGTTCATCTGCCAATAGTTCTAGTCATGAGCTGCCTTCACAAACACGTAAGAGAGCAAAAGTGTGGGAACATTTTGAGCAGGAGCTTGTCATGATAGATGGTCTTCCAAAAGCACAATGCAAATATTGTGGCTTAATGTTGTCAGCGACTAGAAAATCAGGAACTAGCCATCTCATAAACCATATTTGCGAATCTTGTCCACTAGTTGATGGTGAAGTTAGAAATAGGTTTATATCAACAGTTAGGAAACAACCCGTGGAAAATTTTGTGTTTGATCCTAAAAAGACTGAAGAGTTGATGATAAAATATTTCATCCATGCTGAGATACCATTCCATAAAATTGAGGATCCCTACTTGGATGATTGGATGGCATCCATGCAGCCAACTTTTAAACTTGTGGGTCGTCAATCAATCCGCGACAAGATTTACAACTATTACAATAGGCTGAAACAAGAATTGCATGCTGAATTAGAGAATCTTGATTCGCGTGTATGCCTAACATCGGACATGTGGACCTCAAATCAAAACCTAGGATACATGGTTGTCACAGCCCACTATGTTGATGCTGAATTCAAAATGAAAAAGAAAATTATAAGTTTGAAGCCTGTGAAGTATCCACACACTAGCTTTGCAATTGAAGAAGCCATGATGAGGTGTTTGACTGAGTGGGGCTTGAGTAGCAAACTGTTCACCTTAACTTTAGACAATGCTAGTAACAACACCGCTGCTTGTCAAGAATTAGTGAAAACTCTCAAGGATGAGTTGCTTTGAGTGATCCTGATTGGCAAACCAGCGATCTTTTAAAACGATTGGCTGCTCCTATGCACACCAAGTTTGCAAAATATTGGGATGAAAAATTGGCAAACAACTTCAATTTGGCACTTGTCATTACCACTGTGTTAGATCCAAGAAGGAAAAGAGACTATTTGGATTTCTTTTATGAGAAGGTGTCTCCCCATGGTTCTAATGTTGAAAGTAAAGTGGACTCTATTATAGAGGAGATGAAATCATACTTTCATGTATATGAAGGAATTGCAAGAAGAAGGGGTGTATCCTACATGTCACAGTCTAGTGAGAGAGTTAGTGTTGTAGGCTCACCTGTTTTGGGAAAAAGAAAGCTAGAGCATGAATTCACCCTCTTCAAGTCAAACCGGAAGGTTGCACGTACTCAGAAGTCAGAGATTGATACATATTTAGAAGAAGTATGTGAGGATGATAGTGAGGATTTTGATGTTTTGGCATGGTGGAAGAAAAATTCCAAAAAGTTTCCTGTGTTGGCAATTATGGCTCGAGACTTTCTTGCAATTCCACTTAGCACCGTGCCCTCAGAGTCCGCTTTCAGCAGTGGAGGAAGGATTCTTGGAGACACAAGAAGCTCATTGACACCAGAGATGCTCGAGGCACTTGTTTGTGCAAAAGATTGGCTACATAGAGCCAAAAAACAAGGGGATTAAAGGTATAATATCTCACGCCTTGTATTTCGTCTCAGACTTTGTGGTCTGTGCCATATAAATAGTAATTGTAGATGTGTTTTCATTTTATATTGTTTGATTAGTCACAAAATCTAGATTAATTTGTCTGAGTGCCCACCAGTATTACTAATATTTGTGCCAAATTTTCTTTGATCTAGGTTCGTACTGAGTACTGACCATATGATGTTTTGTGAAGAAGGTTTGGTATGATGGCTGTTTTTTTTTTACAATGGTGGGGTCCCTGTGCTCAGTAACTTAATGTTGTTTTTTGTTCATCAGTTGGTGAAATGTTAGGCGGAATTTGTAACACCTTGCAATGCCTTTTATATCTATTAGTTGTATCCTTACTTGTATATATTCTTATTTGAGCAGCTAGAGCATGTTCAGGAGATAGATGAGAGCATTGTGTATGTGAAGGATAAGCAAGGAAGGTGGCCTCTCTCTTCTCCCAGAGGGGCAAAAAAGGCCCCAACCAGGACTCTGTCATCCTCTGCCAGGTAACATCTTCAGCTCTAACTCTCTGTCTCTGAATCTTTTCTTTCTGTTTGATGTGCTCAGCTCAGATCAATCCGCTCAATTTCTCCTCTTGATGAGGCTGCTCAGGCCAAATGTTTTGTTTTGTACTCAAAAGGGTTCAGATTAGTTCAGGGCTTCAGGGTGTTCTCTAGTCCATGATTTGAGCTTCCATGAGCTAATTAGGTCAGCAGTTAGTAGAGTACTTTTTTTTCAGGAAGAGTTAGTAGAGTACTTGGTAGAAATAGAGAAAAATCTTTTCTTTCTCTTGCAAAATTGTTTGATATGATATGTTGTATCCTACTATGTTGATTCTGGCTGCAGAATTTTGGGGCTCTCAACCTTGTTTTCTTCCTCTCTTTTTTTTTTCCATTTCTTGAAAGTCCTTGTGGTTGTATATAGTAGTATAGATATTTAGTTGAATAGTGGGGATGGATGGATTCATTCTTCATTCTTACTAGTGTGTCCACTAACTCATGCTAGTCATATCTTATAGAAATAATAATATTCAACTTGTAATCTTTCAATGTTATTTCTGAAATATAAATTTCTGATGGCTTCTTTCTCTTCCAGATTATCTACAACTGCATATGGATCAAGGCATAGATGATGTTTTGGTAGTTTTTGTTGAAGATATAAACCTTATTATGGCCCTTATTATTGCTGTAGTAGTGAGCAATTGACTTAATTGTAATTATATGACATCATTAGTCTTCTGGTATTCATTTCAGTGCTGGATCAGCTAACAAACAATGCGATGCGTATCATTCTGAGTATTTTTTTTGCCCAATTTTCAGTGTTTCAGCAAGCAATGATGTTCTTTTAATATTTCTGTTTTGAATTAATTGTTTGCACGTGTGTCTACACTGCTGCTCTCTATACTGTAGCTGAGATCCATGGCTAAAGAAGTAACGAGGCCTCCTGGCTCCAAGCTCTCTGTAGTGTAGCTGGGATCATGGATTGAATCCATTCCAGTGAAGTGGGCTGAACCCATTTTAGTGTAATGGTTTGGGGTGGGTTGGATTGAAATCTGATGCGGGGTGGGTTGGTTTGGATTTTGGAGGAGAGGAAATGGGGTGGGTTGGTTTGGCATGCCATTCCATGAGGAGGTGGGCTGGGGTGGATTCAAATTGGATCTCAGCCCACTGGCAGGCTTAGTCGTGTTCCAATGTGGTCGCAGGCATGCGGTAGAGAATTAGGAATTATGCCGGCCAACCTATCGGCAACAAACATTGTGCGCAATCTCAGTTTCAGCTACCGACGAGTGATCCCGCGGCGATCGTGCAGCCTTGCAACCACCATATCGAACAAGAGATAGGGGAGGCCAACTTGGGCTGGGACTTGATACGGATGAACTCACCAACAATTTGGGCCGGAACGGGATTACCGTGTATGGGAATAGGTCCACTTGCCATCCCTTAACTTCACATTGAGTTTAATTGACATCCTTTATTCCCAGTACCAAAAATTTTTACCTTTAAACTATACAAAACCGTGTAGGAAGAGTCCCATGGCAGTATCAACAGCTGGTTTAGCTGACGTGACGTCCTAGTTAGAAAAAAAAATGGTGGGATTCACATGTCAGCATCTACTCGCCAATGAGGTTTGCCTCGGCGCCTCGCTTGTGTTCCAACTCCAACCTTTTATTCCTGTTCGCCCGCGGACCAACCTGATGAGGCCAACCAAGAACACAAATCCCCACATCACCAATCCACACAACTTACACAAGCTCGCAGCTTGCGCGGGATGGGAGAGAGAAAACTCTTCTGAGATTTTCTCCTCTCCTCTCTGCTTTTGTTTCTTGGATTGGTCCACGGTTCTTGGGGCGGCGGCGCCGTCGATCTGGTATTGTGAGGAGAATAAGAATCAGAGGCAAGTTTCTTGATCTGATGATGGCAAGCATGACGTCGATGACGACCGCTACCTCTGCCGCGAAGACGTAGGTGGGGTTGGCTGCGTCTTCAACCGCGGCGGGAGACGTGTGTACGAGGGTCACCCCAGTGACATGGTGCAGTGCGGCTGGCAACACGTGCATAGGGCGTGGTTCGGCGTGGGAAAATGAAAAGAGAAAAAGAGAGTGGGCGATGGGCCCCACCATATTTTTTTTATTTTCTTTTTTTTACTATGTTAGCTAAACCAAGTGCTAATACTACCATGGGATGATGGGACTCTTGTTGCACGGTTTTTTACAATTTAGGTGTGAAGATTTTTGGTATTAGGATAAGAGGTACTATCTCCGTCCCAAAATAAATAAGTGTAGTTTTACACTGTTTATGTCGAACGTTCATCCATCCGTCTTATTTGAAATTTTTTTATGGTTAGTATTTTTGTTATTATTAGATGATAAAACATGAATAGTACTTTATGTGTGACTATTTTTTTTCCATATTTTTTTTTCAAATACGTAAACCCACAGCTACTTATTTTTGGACGGATGTATTATCAATTAAACTTTGATGTAGAGTTAAGAGACAACAAGTAAACTTATTCCCCATGGACGAGTCACCAACAAATAGCATTTGATTGCCTATCTGATTTGTTTCCTGTACATATAACAAAGAGAATTCTTTCATGGGCTGAATCATTCATTGGTGTCGATTTATACTTTTTTAGCCCAGACGAAAACGAAAATGTTCTACGCTAGTAACACCAGCTGTAAAGCCTGTAACAAGTAACAACTGCACATTCTCTATATTGATGAATCAAGAGGACAGGTCATACAACGTCACTGTAACCTACTAACAATTTGAAATTGTAGTCAGCAAACAGGGAAAACATATATGTTCGTTTATACCACAATCTATCCATTCCATCAGAGATATGAGTCGGACCAATAATCTTTTCTGATAATTAAAAAGCTGCCCGCATAGCACCCCTAGTTGCATCACGCTTCATCTCAGCAGCTTTTCCACTTCCTCGGAAGTACATGTACACTTGCTGCATTCACAAATGTCAAAACGGCTCAGATAGACTACTTGAGAATTTATTTCATAAAAACATACTTTCTCCGTTTTATATTATAAGACTTTCTAGACACATATGTCTAGATTTATTAACATCTATATGAATATGGGCAATGCTAGAAAGTCTTATAATATGAAACGGAGGGAGTATTTGTTATTCGCAGGACTGACCTGGATAACCCAGATGCTGAGCAATGATTCGACGCAGAACAATCCAAATCCAACAAAGTAGAAGATCTGCAAAGAAAAATTACACCAATTACTTGACCGACAAGATCAGAAAGAGTTTTTTCGGTAGGCATCTGAAAGGTAAGTTGATTATCTTCATGAATCAAAAACTGCATATCTAACCATAGTTACTTAGCATCTAACAATAATGCGATGCACACTTACCCCCACCAAAGCATTCTTGCTGATGAGATCAATTGCTGGTAAAATCCCCCTGCGGGAGTATAAAATAAGCATTAGTTCATGCAAGTTCAACTCTCACAGACACTAGAGAATCCTTAGGCCCACCCTCCTCGCTACACTAGCTAAGAAGAAATCCATCCAATCATATTTTTTTTAGTATTTATGTATGTGTTAAACAGAGGAGCTTCAGATCCCACATATTGAAGTGCCTATTTTTTGTTGTTTCTATTGAAAAGATGAATATACTACCACTTCATGAATCATAACTTAAGCTCAACTAAGGAAACTCCAACATCCAGGGAAGTTAAATCAAATAGTACAATGTTCTTATGCGTCAATATTATATTGCTGGAAAGCAGGTGCATCAAAACTTGCATAGACAAGCAGACCACTTCACTGATAAAAAAAGCCATTTGTACAACATGCAAGTAGGTCACCCTTTTAGTTTCAGTTTCCATATTCCCATTGACAGAATATGAACAAGCAGGGAACTTACGCCAATGATTTCCCCTCGAAGACAACAGGAGGAGCCACAGCAGAAAATACACAGAAAAGAATATGGAACTGCAAAGACAGGAAATTCAAGAATTATGTTCCCACACATTCAAAATCACCGAATATCTTACTAACATATAACAAGGACTCCTCACTTACCAGGTAAACCAAGAAGAACAATCCAAACTTCAAGGCACTATCAGTCCTACAAAACAAGTGTCCAATAAATGTTACTTACTCATATACACAAGAAAAGCACGGAGAAGTTCGCAGAAACAATACCTCATAGCATTATACAGAGGTCGATACCATAAAACATATGCACCAGGAACCCCAGAGATGAAGTAGATGATTGCCAGCAACCATATCTTCACGCCTGAAAATGGACATAGCATTATTAAAGGATTACAGCCTTAAAGAACTGGTCAATATGTACAAGCAACGCCAGAAGTGTCATGAGTATACCTTCCCCCTTGACCCAAGCTGAAGTAACTGCTATGACGTTCCAGAAGAGACAGCAAGCCAATCCTACTCGACACCAAAAAAAGTTGTCTTAATTTTGCATATAACAGAATGGAATGTTGAAATAATTCATAAGACAGCCTTTTATTTCTAACTAGAAAAATAAATGGCAGAACTTGAATATAATTAAGAAAATCTCAAAAGCTCATCCCTATTGTTTTAGAATTCTTATTAACTTGACTTGCAATGCAGACAGTCACAAAATCTCACTAACGAAATTCTAATGATAAAACATGTGACTAAGATCGTAGGAGACTGGAAAATTTGCCTTTCCAGTTTTACAGTTGAAGGTGCAGAATTTCTGAAAGAAGGGTGAAAATGCAAACTTTGTAGAAGACTAAAATGCTTGTCCATTATGCAGTTAAAACGTTACCGAAGTGCAAGAGCATCAAGATTTTGGGAATCTGACAATCAGAAGCATACCAAGAAATGATGCAAATGCAACATATTGCATTCTTTGAAGGTGACTCGGTATCTCATTGGTGATATCATGATGGATGAGTGGCAGAAATGGAGGCCAGTTTTTCTCCTCAATGACAATACCAGCTGCAAAAGTGTTATACCAATAAAGTGGCATAAGTTTAATAGCCCGTGAGAAATGTTTAATGCATAAGTTATATTAGTCTGAACACCTTGTTATTCTAAAATGAACTACAAGGATCTACAGCTCTATCATGAAAGCTACACGGTATACGGATAACATTTTTGAAAAAAATAGTAAGATACACTTGTTTTGAGATTCCCTTTTATCTGTCACTTATCCAGGCCGGGGTGTGGCCTTTCTAACCTGTGCTACACTGTAAGCTGGTTTCCCCCAGCGCTGCCACTTTGGCTTTCAGTAAAAGCTGGGTCCTTTGGACCTTTCGTCTAAAAAAATACTTGGTTTGAGAAACTCTCGCTAATGACGTTACCAATACAACATTGCAGTTGCATTTCACACAATCGCAATTCACATGTAACAGATTAAGAGTCACATATCATTGCCACATTACCTCATAGTTTGTACTATGTAATATCTTAAATGGCATAGTTCTAATATAAGGAATCCTTATGATCACATGAGTCAACAGAGAATATTACAAAGCAACATTGTTTCTATGAATTAGTGAGTAAAGAAAATGAGCTTTTACCTCGCGCTGCAGCCTCCTCCCTCCTTTTTAGCTCCTGGTCAACAAATGAAGATAATAATGTATAAATGTAACAATCACAAACTAACAAACCATCATGGATCAAACTAATTATGTCTAAGTAAAGCATAGAATTCCTTGTGCAGGTAGTAAGCTGATTTTTAGAGAGGAAAAGAACACTGCATTACGAATTTATGATTCTGAATACTTCAGGCTAAGGACTGATGTCTGCTGTGTTTCGCACAAAAAATTAAGACCAAGAAGCATCAGATTACAACAAACTCTTTTGTTGACCTATCGTAATGGACACAACTAATGGGTGATACAACTGCATATGTTCATGGTGTACCTTCTCCCTCTTGTTCAATTCCGCTTCCCTAGCTTGCAGCTCCTTTTCCCTATTCTTCAGGTCCTGAGTATCCATACATCACACATTAGTAAAAAGCGACATTAGGTACTATTCCATGAAAGATCCTCTACTGTACTGCAGTCTAGCTGCAGTTCAACTGAGACGGATAAACTACACATTCATACAAACCTTGGAAGAGTCAAGAGGGATATCCACCGTAGCCCCAAAAGCTGCGGGCTCAGGGGGAAGAGGCGAAAGCCGCGAATTCGACGACACAGAAGGCACATTCCGTGGATTCTGCATTGCAGTACAGATTAAACAGTTGGTAGGTAACAAACCAATAATTGCGAATTCAAGTATTCAACCCCCACCGAGGCACCGACAAAATGGTCCAACTGAGAAGAACAGAACACCGAACAGCTTACCGGCATGTAGAACGCGCCGCCGCCATAGCTGGGCTGCCCTCCAGCCTTACCACGCGCTTGTTCCTACAGAGAAACAAACGAAAACAAATTCATCCGTGCCCGCACAAACGAGGGTTTAGGCACCAATGCAATCATCGCAACACCCCCCAAATAAAAAAAAATCCCCCTAAATTTAGCGTCGGTGATACTACAATGCGAGAAAAAAAAAACAATAAAAACGGCCACCGATTCACCCACGGCACACGGTTAGATCTGCGGCCGCCAACCAGATCCAACCACGAACGAAGAACACACACGCCACTCCTCAGAACGCGCACGGAGGAGAAGGGCAAGGAAACACGAAACCAGATCCGCTGCGCCCGGCGGGAACGTGGAGAAAGGGAGGGAGGGAGAGGATGGGTTCCTCACCGAGAAAGGGTTCACGTCGTCCTCCTCGAAGGGGTTGCTGTCGTAGCGCCCCGCCATCTCGGCCCCGTCTTCCCCTTCCCTCGGGGGTCGGCTTGGGCTTGGGCTCTCGCTCGCGCCGACAATGATGGCGGTGGAGAGGAGTAGTGGGGTGGGGTTTTCTCGGGGGAGAGGGAGACGACGAGACGAGGAGTCCTGCCAAATACAGCGGCCGCGCACGCACGCACGCACCGCCGCCCCCACCGAGGCAGATACGGACGAGTGACCGCGACGACTCTCGGTGAAGAAGGGGAGGGGGAGGCGGGTGGACGCGCACACACGCGGAACGGAATGGCCTCTGCACTTCTGCAGCTTGTAACCGCTCGCGGGGCCAACCCTCTCTGTGTTTTTTATTATTTTCTTGCTCCCAATCTTATTGGTCCCACGGTTTATGGAAATATTGGGTCCACTCACATTATGTGGGCAGTTTTGAAACTGGCGCCTCGTCGCCATGGAACAGCCAAAAGAGCCCAAACCGTGTGAATTATCACAGGCTCGCAGTGCCCTACACTTTTGTCTCTTTTTTTTAAAAAAAAAAACACGTTACAAATGTAGACGCTTACAACACATACGTACTTAGGCCCTGTTTAATTTCCAGAAAGTTTTTTCTAAAAACATCACATCGAATCTTTGAACACATACATGAAGCATTAAATATAGATAAATATAAAACCTAATTGCACAGTTAGGGGGGAAATTGCGAGACGAATCTTTTGTGCCTAATTAGTCCATGATTAGCTATAAGTGCTACAGTAACCCACATGTGCTAATGACGGATTAATTAGGCTCAAAAGATTCGTCTCGCGGTTTCCATGTGAGTTATAAAATTAGTTTTTTTTCATTCGTGTCCGAAAACCCCTTCCGACATCCGATCAAACGTCCGATGTAACACCCAAAAATTTTCATTTCGCGAACTAAACGGGGCCTTACCATATCCTTAAGAACATCTCCGAAATATTAGGTTAACATATCTTAAGATTAACGAAGTCACCATGGGTCTATGTCTACTACTGAAAGAATAATTATTTGTAAACACGTCTACTAGTAAAAGAATAATTAACCATACATACAAGTACACAAGTCTGGATTTAAACTCGAATAGTCTGGTTCCACCATAGGGATCCTAACCAATTGGGCTACGATCACTTCACACTTTTTGGCTCATGTTTGCTCTCGTCTCAAACGTTCTTATCTCAAATTAGGGTAAAACATAGTTCTACTAAATTTCGGTCTAAAAATCTACAGCTCTCCCCAAACGGTCTCAGATCTTGTAAGGACTAAACGTTTTTTTATTTACGATCTCAGTAAAAAGAGGGCTAATCCATACTCCTTCCGTACTCATAAAGGAAGTCGTTTTGGACAGCGACACGGTCTCCAAAACACAACTTTGACTTCTTTTTTCTATAAAAATATTTATTGAAAAGTGATATATGTATACTTTTATGAAAGTATTTTTCAAGACAAATCTATTCATATAATTTTTACATTTTCAAACTCAACAACTTGAGAGTTATTCATGATTTATATTATCAATATTTGACTTAAACATTGTCCTAAACGAGTATGGAGGGAGTACATAAGTTACATCAAGAAATACTCTTTTCACAATTTCCAGCTAACCCAACTACCCAAGTTCGTTCATCCAGCAACCAAGACACCAAGTGCTTGGCATGAGGCAGAAAACTATCGTCCTAGACCACCGTTTCGTGAGTCATGTGAGTTCATGACTCGTGGGAAATGGATTCTGCTTTCTCTTCACATGCTTGAAATGTGCTTAGCAAAACAGAGTTCGCTTACTGGTGAAGGTCGCCATCTCCACCGCACTCCACCAATTTCGCTTTCAAACGCTTCTATTGGCCGTCATACGCTTGAGCTTTCCCAGATTACTCATTATTACTATCTTTGTTTATTTGTCATGGTGTTACTACCAGTACCAGTTAGAATTAAGCTAGCAAGCATGAGATTAGTTGGGTTAGCTTCTGTTTATTTGTCATGGTGTTACTACTAGTACCAGTTAGAATTAAGCTGGCAAGTATGAGATCAGTCGGAGTTAACTTCAGATGAACGGGGGCACATCTATAATCGACCTCTGTCGGTCTCTGGTGTTCTGTTTGTCTATTTTCTAGTTATGCAATGCACTAACGCATGATGACTAAACAAGCACCAATGCACTAGTTGTGGATGATTCCTGTTCACAAGCCAACTGAGACCTGTACGAATAAGCAATAATGCAGCTTTAATCAGTGGCAACTAACTAGTGACTTGACAAGGTACAACGCCCAGTATCACACAAAGGGGCACATCACTTTTTTCAGCTACCACTTAGCAATACTCAGAATTCTAGTAACTTCACACCCAGCACCAGCAGGGCACAATGATATCAACTACTCCTTCCGTCCCAAAATATAAATATTTTTAGCTATGAATATTGACAATTGTATAGCTATGAATATTGACAATTGTATGTCTAGATTCATAGCTAAAAATTATTATATTTTAGGATAGAGGTAGTAGTTCAGAAAATATTACATGTAATCTACTACCTCCGTCCCAAAATAAATGCAGCCATGAGTTTCCACGTCTAACTTTGATCATCCGTCTTATTTGAAATTTTTTTATAATTAGCATTTTTGTTTTTATAAGATGATAAAACATGAATAATACTTTACTCATGACTTATGTTTTTAATTTTTTTTAAAAAAAATTAAATAAGACGAATGATCAAAGTTAGACGTGGAAAACCATGGCCACACTTATTTTGGGACGGAGGGAGCTGTGAACAAACGAGCAAAGGAATTCTGCAACAATCGCAGAAACAGATATGACAACAATGATGACACAACTTTTATTGAATGCACCAACCTAGATGCTCTACCAAGAGTAATCTAGTATTGCCGTATAACAACACGCCTCGAGTACAATATCCTGAACAATGTATACATAGCACTAGCCAATGCTATTCCCTCGCCTCAATCCTCTACTTGTGTATAGAAGCATAGTTCCAGTCCCCGCATAGATAAATAATAATACATAGAACGAAAGTGGCAAGGAAAAATTTCATGCGCAACATGCAAAGCTAATTTTCTTGCGTACTTAGAACACCTGCAAAAACCTTAAGCTTGTCAATTTACAGCCTACCGAGCTCAGATGTGTGCCTTTAAGGGCGTTAAGCTTCTTTCTGACGCTCCATGTTTGCACAAAAATGCTAATACTGAATATACTCCAACAAGAGAAGATATATGCAACGGAAGGAGGTACAATCACAACTCAGGGCATGAGTGGGGTAAGTTGTTTGCTGAAAAGGTCACCAAGGGCACCACGAACATCCATCTGCGGCATAACCACAATATTAGTACTCCACTACTACTAACGCCTTTAATGTGAAAACATACATCTATGATGGAAAAACATATACCTGATCACAGCAGATAAGTTTTGTAATTAATGGATAGAACTCTCTGATGTGCTTCTTGAATATCTGAGCGTCCATGATACACATTCCATTCAAAACCTGAAATTAAAACAGTTGAGAATGTGGGAATATAACATTATACGCAAGGATGAGATTTCGCAAAAGGCCCTATACACTACTATTAGAAGTTTAGAACCATATGCACTATACCTTGACAATAACTGGTGCTCTTAGGTCCAGTACACGGTGTATGTCTGCACTTGCAGCTTCCCCAGTGCTTGGCTGGAGATCAGAAGCATCTTTCAAGATCTGCCCACAAAACGAAACAAGCTTCCCTTCTGCGAGGCTCTTGAGCTTTTCATGTTCATCAGATTCTATGACGTGCCCATTTGTATCCTCACTTGGGTCATTCCCATCATGTTCCACAGTTGATTTCTGAAGAATCTCCAAATAGATAGCAGTTCCAGCTAGTTCCTGGCGAAGAAGATTCAGTGGAGGCCTACACAATTAAATTTCAACTGTTAGAGAACTCCTTTGGGAAGTTAAATTGCATGTAGTCTTTAAGAATTACCTTTCTGGGGGTATATGGTGCATCCTGGTTCGAAGATTTGAAGTTGAGTTATAGGAAGAAGCAAATTCTAGGAGTGATAGCAAAATATCCATTATTGCAGTCTGCTGTGTGGTTTTTAGCCTGCTCCAGTACCTCTTCTGCAAAGTCCATCAAGAAGCACAAGTTAGTACATGTTCACAAGCAGAATTTGTTCATACATCAGACTAATAACCATCATATGGAGTACCTGTATGCTGTCAATGGCCCCAAGTAGCAGTAATTGAGTGATACATTTACTCCTAACAGTCTCCATCATAGGATTCTCTTCATCGTCAGTTTTGTCAGCCCCGTCAGCATCAGGTGCCTTCGATCAACAAACAGGAAAATTAAATACATATGAAAAACAAGCCAACTATGGAGAAAATCCCACTCAGTACTTCAGTACCAAGTGTAATGATGGTATGTTGCTGATATTATTAAGTTCAAAGGTGCATGAATGTCACGCCAGATGAGCTAGAACATGACTTTCAGCAAATAGTATAGTATTAACAATGGACAACAGCCAACATGTCAGAAGAGAATACATATATTCAAAATTATGCGTTGATTACTACTTATAATATGCAAACAAAATTGGCTAGCATATCAACGAAGTAATACCATTTCAAAAGTTTATAACTGTGTCTACAGATTTACTGATTTCAAACATTCCAGCTAGCTCTGTTCACACACAATGAACTCAGGTGTCCAGAAATTACTGCACGGTTCCATATTTTTGCCAGATATATAGGAACCAAAACAGGAAAAAAATATTACTAGTGATTTTTATAAGGATATGCAATTGCATATGTATTGATATAGCAAGGAAAGGTACCAATGACAGTACGATCTGCTAATGTTCAAATCATAATATTCATCAATACCTAATCAATATGTGCAAGAGGAAAAAACATGTACCTTCACAGGTGAGGGTGGCACAATATCGTCTGTACGACCTTTTGATTTGGAAGTAAGACTCCTGACCAAAAGATTGTCCATCATATTCCCCATAATTCTTTGTCCAAAGGTCTGACCCCGTGGGGAAACTGCAGGTTGTGCTCTCCCTGATGGAGATGGCAAACCTAGAGAAAGACAGAATTAGGTTAATTATCAGTATTCCAGTTCATATGGAAGCACTTGTCATTGTATAAAACAATTAATGGATATTTCAGGACTACCACACCTTCTGAATTGTCTAGGCTAGTCTGTGCATTTGTTTCCTGATGACCATCCTGTTCATCAATATGACTTATTGAAGCTCCTCCTTCCCTGCTATCATGGTAACTACTACCAAGACCGTTGGTCTCTGCTTCTCTTGAAAGTGATTGCTGATTGTTTGGTTTCTGAAATCCTACTGAATTGAGGAGTTCGAGAGGTTGGGTTGTGTATGATGCATCTCTGACAAGTGATATTAACATTAATATGTGAACAACAAAAGCACAATTAATTTTAATGGGAAAATAGAACTTGAGGAGATACCTAATGCTCTTTAGAAGTGTTTCCCAGTCGCTGTCACTGAATTGGTGACCACCAACCTCTATGAGATGAACTAAAGCTCCAAGAGCAATTGAAACAACAGTCTGGTCTGTTTTCTTGGCACACTCAAGCAGCAAGCCCAAAAGAGGTGGAAGCATAAATGACACCTCCTGCAAAGACCACAATAAGAACCAACAAACAACTTTCCAATTGGATCACTTGATTTATGTGCAGGACGATTGAATTGTATTGCCTTAAAGATAAAGGAAATAACTAGAAAATAAAATGTTTCAGCACAGTTGACATTCTAATAGACCCACACAATTTCTAGGAAGCAACTAAAATCAGCAGGGGAGAACAACATACATTACCTTGTAGAAAGTATTGAAAAGGTTGCAGATTAACTGCAGAGAATGAATGCTGGTATCACGAAGCCAGTCATCCCCAGAAGAAAGGCCATCCCTTCCAGCATGCCTTACATGATCAAATATGGGAAATAATACACGATGAAAAATGCTCTCCCAAAAAGGTGAGGAGAATTTATGACCTCTCTCATTCAGAAGATCAAACAACACTTCAAGTGCACAGTGTCTAACTTCTGGTCTGGGGTCTAAAGTTAAATCTGATAGGCCAGCTAGCATAGGAAACCAATAATGCTCAGTAACATCAAAATGGGCCTCTGGAACATCATCAACAGGTTTAACAGCACCACCAGGAATGCAACCCTGCAAATGAAAAGAATGAGGCCAAAAAGATCAGGCCAAAAAGATCAAGTGTCCAGATGTGAATATAAGGGTGGTCACCATCCTAACCTCTGCCAAACGGTCTTCACATATGCGTAGGAGAGCGATAGCCTTTAAACTAATTCGAGGTGTGCATTTATTATTTGCGAAACCAATAAGACAGTTGACGCAGTCCATGAAGCAATCACCAACAACTTGATCAAAATGCTCCAAGATAACTGCCAAACACATCCATTTAATCAAAAAACAATGATGATAATGGAATCTAACATTTTTGGAGAAAGTAAGAAACACTTCTAATGCTAGCAATTATATTCCTTTAAACTTACCTTGTTCTACATTTTCAAAAGCACTTTCAACAATATGTTCATTCTCATCATCAGCTGCCGCGGTGAATATCATGAACACACAACGCCAACCTGACTTTATGCTGCCAACTTTTGATTTGATCAACTGCATGTTCATATGGCAAGATTTTTCATTACAACATCATTTTATATAAAAGCACCAGATCATCAGATTTCAATTGTTTGATAAGACTTATGAAGGCCTACCTGAACAATGCAATCAACAATTAGACCACGGATTTTTTCACTGTGACTATTTCTCATTAAAATAACAAAAGGCTTCAATATGTCATTCTGAAATGTGAATTTGTTCAATTCTGCACGTTCCAAGTACTTCATACCAAGCTGCCTCAATGAGTCAATTGCATACATGGCAACTTTCTCCTCGTGGTGGCTCCCAGCGGCAATAAAATGCTGTGACAAGACAGACCATATTCTCGCCCACACCTACATGCACATGCATAAATGTAAGTTACTAGCTCAGATGAAAAAACAAAATATTTAGTCATGAGTTCAAGACATTGTATATCACAGCTAAAATTTAATATTGGGATGCCTCCCAGTTATAAAAAGATCCTGATGTTGATGTGCATTGCACTTGCACTTCAAACAGATGACAGGCTGGTGTTCAGTTACACAAATCAAAATGGCTCCAGAAGTACAGGTATACTACTCTAGGTTTTCTTTAAGAACATGGAAACACATTTGACCAACTAGTTTTGCACTTCTGCAAAGATGTGGTGAATCGAACTCCAATGTAACAGGAATACCAAACAAACAATAAGAGACAGGACATACCAAACGTATCCGAGCCATATTATAGTAGCTTATCTCGACAAGCTTTTGTAAGCTAAAGACACGAGCAGGTGTCTGTTTCAGTTCTTCTGCAGAAACACCACAAAGAGCAGTGAAGAATTCAACAATGGAATCACTTGGTAGTTTTACACTGTTTACAAAGACTTGTTCAGCAGGCTTCCCAGACAACTCTTTCAGTGACTGGACAACAGATTCTCTCGATATTTGATTTGATCCCTGCATAACAGTTGCAGCAATTGAAGGATTTGAAGTGATATATTCAAGCCTGGAGACACATTCTAAAACAGCATTCCAAGTATCTTGCAAAGCATCCATATCTGTGTCAGCTAAGCCAAGGAGGGTCCGTAAAGCCTCAACATTTTTACTACGCATTTCCTTAGGAGCATGCAAAAATGTAAACCTGCAAAAGGTTAAGAAAGAAACATAAGATATTGCATTCATATAACTTAGCGCATTACATTCATAAAATTAAAAAGACAATAAATGAATTTACATATAGAAGTTTGCCCAAGAACAACCAGTGTATATCCATAAATAGAAAAAATAATTTGCTTACCGCACTAAGGATGTCAAGAAAGCATAGCGCATGGTGTCCATCCCAAGAACACGAGTAAGATGGATGCCAGCCCTAAACCCTTCCATGCATAGCACAACCCTAGGCTTGCTGTCACCTTCCTCCATGGTAACAGAAAATGTTGCAAGCAAAGGCCATCCTACAGCTTCAAGCATTGGCCTAACAAGCTCGACCTGCTGAGCAACATGAAAAACACCTCTCTTCTGTCCCTGATTTTTGAAAAGTGCTTGAGTCTGCTTAATGATTTTCTCACTTTCTGCTTTGGTATCACTTGCTGACTTCAGTCTTGGAAGAGCTAAATTGAGGATATTGACAACACCCCTTTCTTCTGTTTCTCGTCTGGGTTTATTAGTTTTTGCTGAATCAGGGAAATCGTCTTTCATCTTTATCTCTTCCTGGACAATGGAATCATAAATTTCCTCCAAGAGCTCCTTTGGGGCACATTCCTCTGCATCACTCGCAGTGTTCATTCGTACGAAATCTGATTTTGACATTTTAGGCCACACCATTGGGTTGTGGGCGTCAGTATTCAACATTATAACAGCATAAGCAAGAACATAAGCAGTATCTGCATTTTTGAAAAGTCCAGGGTTATCAGCACAGTACCTGCAAGTCATAATATACCATTTGAGACCAGTGGTTGACATGTCAAATAAAAGTAGCATTAAGACTTTATACACATACCGCTCAGCAAACTTTTCCATTATGCGATCAATCTTTTGTGCCTCCCCAGGAAGGCGAAACCCTTTCAAGAACTCACGAATTGCAGCATCAAACTTCAATCCCGAAAATTTCATTGAATCAACATAAGCATGCATCACAGCAAGAGGGAACTCCTCATGTTGTCCCAAATATTCACCAATCATAGCCTGCAAAGTTACAGTTCACAAAAACTAGTGGTTAGTCCCACCTAGCAATAACAGTAAACTAATCCTTCTTTTACACTTGAGAAAAACTGCAAGAAGCTCATTATGTTTCTTGAATCACCTTATCCAAGCTAGAATTGCTCTTGAGAAAGTGAGCTACAGATGTTGCATTATTTTCGATCAACTTATTTAATAACAAATACTCAATCCCCCTTGCTGGTTTGCGATTGAACTGAAAAGGAAAGGGAAAAATACTTCAGTTACAATCAGCAATGCAGTAACAGCAAACTAGGTTAACTGCTACAAGAACATGCATGTATTTGGTAAACATCATGAGATAAAGATTCTTGATTGCAAAATAAATAAAACAAAACAAAACAATTAAAACAGCAACCTCCCTACCTCTGAGATTGCAGCCTCCATTGTTGACTTATGAGCTTTAGCTATCTCAAACTGATTGCGACCATCCTCTTGGCTCTTTATTTCATCACTTGTTATGCTCCTTGCAGAAGAATCATTTTCACAAGCTTCGGCAACACTCCCCTGTTTCAAGGAATCTCTTCGAGCTTGCTCCCAATCAACCAATGACTTCAAAATACTCACCAAACACTGCAATTTGGGTTTTACGAGTGATTAACATTATATACACTAAGGACAAAAATATCTTAGCAATTTGGATAACAGTAACCTGAAGAGATGAGCCTTTCACAGAAACTGTTTGAGAAGATGCGGCAGTGTTTGTATCCGCATTTTGAGATCCTTGTGCAATCCTTGAGAGTGCACTGACCTGATAGTGATACATGTTCAATCAGATATATCATGTGGAGATAGTTAGAAGAGATACTAGTTTTCTAGTGTAAAAATAAAATTCATTGTGCTCACCATGCGTTCAAAAAGGTTTGGCCCCTCAAGGTCACAATCATAATTTACAAACATGTCTGCAAGCATTTGTGAATCCTTGCAGACTTTCTCCAGCATCCTGGTTGACAAATAAATCACATAATATATAATGTGCAGCACCAAGATGATCTAAGATAGCAAAACAAATAGAAAATGAATATGACAAATAGGATTAAACATCACTTTTGAGATTCTACAAATCAAATGAGTCATACCTAAGGACACTGGCCCTTTGGCTGAGTGGACTGTCAGAGCTATCGAGAGACCTTAAAACTATCAGAGGAAAGAAGACACCGATCTCACCCTGCATAATTATTTGAGAAAACAGAAATTATCATGATACCAGGAAAAATCCAATACTGTAAAGTGCAAACAGTATGTCCATAATGTGAACTTAATTAAATATTATTTTACCTTCAGACTCTCTCGAAAACGAAGCAATAGAACTGCAAATATCCCACAAGCGTACTGCCAAAGAAGTAAAAGACGGTCAATATGATAATAACAGACAAATAACCCTTATTATAACTACAAGTCTATAATGACAAGGTAGTATGCATAAAAAATTGAAAAAACGATTAAGAAATTACCTGAAAAACAACCGCAGATGAAGACACAGCCGCTCGCAGAATAGCATAGGAAAGATAGGCTTTAACTGAATCGATGAAGTGGAAATTTTTGGTAAATGAATCACTGACTCCTTCTAGCAATCCCTGAAGGCTAAAGAGTTAGCACAGACCATCGAAACAAACAGGATTAGCAACATCCGAAGAACAAAGATGTGATTGAACCTGTAACAGTTCGAGTGATAGCAGCCTTGTCTTTGTAGCAACCTCATCACTCTCTTCCTTCATGCTCATCTACAAGGATGTAAATGATATTCAACTCCGGTCAAAGTAACATTATGTACATTGTAAGCTATTCAATAAGAATACAAACCTTGCAGAGAGTCCGGAAGAGCAATAGTGCATCACGCTGTATTATGTTCACAGTGTCCAGGTCTATTCCACTGGAAAAGGAGGAGGGTTAGGGGTCATATGTAATCCGTAACTACAACCTATGAAGGACAGGTAAGTAGCATCACAGATACAGCACTAAAGACAGGTTAAAGCTTAACGAACCCTGATACTTTCTTTCCATCCTCAAGTTCAACAGCCTTGTCAAGAACAGCCTCCAACCCCTGCAAAATGATTTTTTTGGATCAGATAGAACTAATAGAATACATATAAATTAGTGTGAAATGTCCTGATAGTAACATTAAACAATAAGCAAAGCAATTTCACTACCTTAATATCAGCTCCTCCTGCAAGACTCTGAAGCTCTTCAACAGATGCTGGAGATGCTTCTGTAGCTCGATTCAAGGATAGCGCATCTCCAAGAGTAATTTTTTCATCAGCTTGGTTACCAGTGGATACTTCACCATTCTCTGATTCCTCTGTGCTAGATGATGGTTCTTCTTTCATTGCAGAGCTGGCAGGTGGTACAGAAACCTGACAAAAAAGGCAAGGCACACACCTCGTTCCTTCAGTAAATCATCTCCCTTTGCATAATGCCAATAGAAGTTATGGGGAAAATTTTTTGCCTGCTCAGATTCCATCCGCCTGAATACGATGCTGATCATCTGGGTTAACATGGCCTTTGAGGTAGCCTGGTTCACAGGGCTCTTGCTATGGAAATATTGTAAAGTATCAGACAGGTTTCCAAGTCAAAATACAGCAGATCATGAGGTGGCTATATAACATGTACCTGTTGAGAGCAATATTATAGCATACTCTAATCACTCCAAGCAAAGGTTCTCCATGTACTGCACTCAAACAAACAGCTCAAAATTATGTATGGTGTCTCCCGTTATTCTTCTATATGGATACGGAAAAGGGAGATACATGAAAGTCCCATCACAAGCCTTGTAAAGGCGATAGCTAGATTAATATCTTCCACTGTGTTCACTTACAGGATTTTTGTAAAAGACAACTGCAATTTCTTCATGAATTCACCAAAGAAAATGTAAGAAACAAAATAGCATCGAAAATTAGATAATCCCTGTTGCAGTGCTATGTACACAAAGTGTTTGATATGTTCATCTAATTCCCGTAGGCACTATTTAGTGGGTAAAACTTCAGGAGAAGGTCTGCCCACAGGGACCAACCCATAATGGATAATAAGATTAGCATTTGCCTAGCATGCCAGCATGATTCAAAGATGCCATATACAATATCGTGTTAGCTCCTAAACTTCCTAATAAATGGAAAGTTTGAGCAACATGGAAAATAAGCTTAGCAAGGTAAGTAGGTCACCTCTAAATCTATTTGAAGCAACAGCATTGAGAAGCACTTTCAAGACTTGGAGAACAGTGCTGCAACACAGATGTCACCCAGTTCAGTGCATGTGCAAAAGTGTGATCCAACATAATATCATCTTAAAGTGATGTGTACCTGTCAGAGGAGGTGTTATCAACACAACCGCAGACCATGTTCAGGATGTCAGTAAATAGAGGGGAATTTTTACCACCCTCTAAACCAGGGTCGCCTTCTAGATGGTCATAAGCAATAAGTTTCTGGTAATTGAAAATGGAACAGGTCAATCAGAAAATACATTTCAATTCCCGCAAAAAAAAAAAAGAAAAGACATTTTTCAATAATTGTAGCATGTAAAAGAAAAGGTAAAACCTTGTTGGCAACGTAAAGGTGGTAAACATATATTACGGGCATGATTCTAGGTCCAAAATTTGATGTAATGAAAAGTAGTGGCAATTAGGGAATTCATATGGTCTGCAACTCAGCCAGGATGAGAAGCACTGCCTGACCAAACGAACAGGGAAATGAATCTTACACGTCATACAAAGACGATAACTAATAAACGGCATACCTGTATATCTATATGTATAGCAGCATGATGAGTCAAACTCTGATTTTCATTAAACGCTACTAGCAAAATGAATTGGCACATTAACCAAAAAAAATCCCATGAAAAAGTGTTAAACTTAAGTAGGCATGTGTGTCCACCATGTTTGCGTTTTTTGATTTTGAACTATATGTAGCATTTTAGTGAAGTTAGTTGATGTGGATCTTGCAGTGCTGTCTCAATTGTTATTCAGATGCTAACTATTAATTCTGATGCATTAATTTACTTTCTAAATCGCACTCTATATACAGTTGAAGTCTTTAACACAGCCTCTTCAAAGAAAGCTCATTACTGTATTGCATACTTCGATGATGCGTCTGCAAGACCCATAGACTACTAGAAAAATTAAGCAGCCCCCCACCTCCAACCTAAACAATTACGGAGTATATAAAAAACTCGAGAAATTGTGCAACACATCTTTAAATGTGAAATGAGGACTGATCCAGTCCGGTATGAACGAACTATAATCCTAGACGGTACAAAGTGGTTGCCTCACGCGATGGACCAATGCCGTTCACAGGAGCTTTGGTGCTAAGGTGAGAGATCTCCCCACGCATCTCAACAATGATCGGCGCTAAGCGATAATGTAACACACTTTCTGCTACATGAGCATCGGGCCGGGTAAACAAGTACTAGCAAGGAGAAGATGAGTTACATGGAGGCAGTCGAGCGCGGGCTCGACGAGCTTGACGTGCTTGGTCTCGAAGGCGAGGCGGAGCGGCTGCAGCACCAGCTCGGCCTGAGTCCCCTCCAGCACGCGCCCCGCCGACGCCAGCACCTGCGTGATGGGCGCCGCCGCCGCGTCGCCGCCCTCCTCCTGTCCCGCCGCCGCCGCCCCCTTGATGGCATCTGCGACACGCACAGCTCACAGTCAACTCACCCCCCCACCAAACCGAGCGCCACGGCGTCGCGGCAGGGAGATCCCCCCACCCAATGCCCGGCAGCGAAGAGGAAGAGGAGGAGGAGGATGGGGCACGGGCACGGGCACGCACCGAGGTAGGACTGGATGGATTGCTGCAGCGCGGCGAACTTGCCGCGGTTGGCTGTGCACTCCTTGAGCATGGCCTCGAAGGCCCGCGTGACGAACCCTCCCGCGGCGCCCGCCATGGCCGCAGATCTCCTCCGGTGGGTGGCAGAGGAGAGAGAGGGGGTGGGAATGGTTTTAGATCCGAGGAGAGGGAGCGCTCATGGGGCGCGAGATCTGAGCTTTGTGGGGGTTGGAGGAGGAGGACGAGGGGGGTGGATCTGTTTGTCTCGCTTCAGGCTCAGGCTCGGCAGCAGATCGCGAGGACCATTTTGCGAAATTGGCTTTTCCACGCCGGATTTGATACCTGCCTTGATCGGTGGAACGGTGGATCGCTTCGCTTCTCCTCTGCTACTGTTTTGCTGCCAGTTGACTGCCCCGCGGTGGATACCTGCGAAATTTTGTTACAGAATCCGTGTGGAAGGTGAGTGGGCCAGTGGGCCTGCCAGAAGACAAGCGGGCTCTCGTATAGTATTCCACCTCGTACTTCCTTCATTTCACAATGTAACTCATTCTAACACTTTTCACGTTATATTGATAATAATGAATCTAGATAGATGTATATGTCTATATTCATTAACATCAATATGAATATGGAAAATGCTAGAATGACTTACATTGTGAAACGGAGAAATGCTAGAATGACTTACATTGTGAAACGGTTGAAGTAATATTTTTCTATAACTTTTGCAATGCGTGACATGATAGAAAAAAAAAACAATAATGTTTTAGATCGGCACCGTGCATATAAAGTGTTTCTTATTGCGTTCGGCGAAACGTTTTCATGCATATTATGTCATAGTTTTGTTCATGTGAACCATGTCAATATAAGTATACTCATGTGTTTTTTTTTGTTTTCACCATGTTTTTCTATAAATTGTTTTTTTTATCGTGTGATGGTCAACAAAGCTAGCATATTCATTCGCGTATTAGTTAACTTCTTGCTCTTATTATTTATTGTCACCTTTCAAGGATAGTCATCCTTGAATTCCTCTGATACCTATATATCGTTTGTTGTAATATCTAAGTTTCATGTATTAGTATTAACTAACTTCTAACTTTTAGTCAGGATTATCCATGAAATTTGATTCTTTGTTGCCTTTCAAAGATGCTCATCCCCCTCACCCCCCTCACCCTCTAACTCCTTCATTGTCGACTGGTTGTTTTATCTTTTTGTTATAATCGAGATTATCCATAAAGCTACATCTATTATTCCCTCCACCTCTCCCCCCTATCCCTCAAACTCCTACTCCACTGACCTTTTTTAATATTACATTGCAGATTTGCAGTAGTTGCCATTTGAGGCTTCTACTCTCCCAGTCTGCTAGTTGCTCCTCGAAACACATATTGATCGAGATAGATAAAGATCATATATCTTTAAAGTCACATGACTTTTGTTATGACATGTGGACCTGATGACCTATGGATCCACAAGTTAGCAACAAAAAGACACCAAGTCAAAGTGAGTTGGAAGGTAGATGACCTTGATATCTCATGTAGCTAACTCACAATAGCAAAAGCTATGGCATATGTAGAAAGGAAATGTTGGAACATACATTCAAGCACCACTATTCAAGCTTGGTAAAAATCTGTCCATTTCACTGCCGTTCTTTTTCTATCAATGCATACATTCAAGCATGTTGAAACATATTTATTCACAAAAAAAAATAGTACCTAAAAAGCCACGAGTGCACAATAAAAAAGAAAAAAAATGATTATAGAAAGATTTTCTGTTTTCCTTTGAAATGGAATCATGGGAAGTTCAAAGCAGCAAGACAAGCGTAGCTGTAGAGAGAAGAAAAACCAACACAACAATTGTACTACATGACCCTGCATGATCGACAAGCGAGCAACTAATTCTACTAATCTGACATGCTAACAGCATCGCACGTTTTTCGTCTTGTCTCCGCTTATATTAGGCCCAACGACAGCGGATCCGAATAGCAGCCGTGTAGCGTCGTGGGACAGGGAAGGAGTTGAGCAGCTGAAGGTCCTATCAGATTCAGTTTCAGCTTTGGAGAGGATGTAACAGGGTTTACGATTTCGAAATGGTCTTCCGTTTTGAACTCTGTGGCGAAATAACGGTTTTCGCGAAATCCGATAGATTCCAAACAAATTTTATAAACCAAAATTTGAATACAAATTCCCTGAGTTTACCGATAAGCTCATGAAAACCGAGGGCTTTGGCGAAATTCTGAGCGAAATCACTGAAATTTCAATCCGTATCTAGAAAAGGAGGTAAACTGAAATTCTTTTCCTTTTTTATTTCATTATTTTTTCCTTTCCTACTATAAATTTCAGTAAATACATGGAATACAACAATTTTTTCGAAAATTTATATCCCAATAGATTCTATGAATATCACACTATTTATAAGATTTTATTTGATTTTTTCTTTTTTATCAATTTAAATTTGAATTTGGATGAAACTCATAGAAATCTCAGACGGCTTCTGCTTTCGAGCCTCAACAAAACCTCGAAATTTCGCGGAATTCAACCGATTTTTGTCAGAACCTGGACGTAATAGACCACGCTAGCAAAATCCCCATGTCTGGAACCAGCCACAGTACCACACGAAGGGCATGTTTGGTTTTGGTTGGTTGATAAAACTTTGTTACATAGGCACGCTATAATTCCTTAAGCGAGTCACTGCCATAACTGTGGTTTGCCGCACCAGTCATAGACCTAGACCTATTTCTTTGCCAAACTTTGTTAGCTACAATTTCAAGCAAGATTTGACAAAAGATAGTGTGTTAATATGTGGAAATGAACCAAACATGTCCATACAACCAAACTTTTCCTGCTCAAACTTTTCGGGAGTTTCGTCATGTGTTACCTTAAAAAAACTGTAGATACCACCTGTAAAGAATTCATAAATTTTCTACACATAATGTGGCGACCGAAAACTCTACGCTCCAAAACTGGTGTTGCAAAAGAAAAAAAAATACAAATCATGATCGAAACACTCGCTAACCTATTGTCTATCAGTTCTCTTCCTTTTTCTTCGTGGGCGAGCAAACGGATCGACCCATGCTCTGTCTTCCCTGGTGGCCCGCTCCCAACGCTTCTGGAAATCCCGAAGCTCCGATCGTGAATATCTCCTGACCTACAAGACCAAACAAACCATGGTCATCTTAATGCAAGAGAATAGAATGCTGCATTGATGGGTAAAACTTGTGTATTCTTGAAAAAAAAAATCAAATTATGGTAAACTGCCAAATAATGTTTGACTTGTAGTTTTAACCCAGAGAAATTTTCAGTTTACAAGTGAAATATCAGTGATTATTTAGCTTGTTTCGGTTCCAACTCTTGGTTCTACTGTTTTAGCTTGGGTCATATTTCAAATAAATGCCATATGGAAGCATTCCCCAGATTATAGTTTCTTAGCTTACCTTTGTCCGCATATCAAGGCCTGCCTTCACCTGTTTACAAGTAACGTCATATGCATTATTGAGAGGTTGCATAAAGAAATATAACTACAATGTGTATTCTAAGGATCTGGCAAAGACAGCATACTCTCATCTGTTGTTGCGCTTCTGCAGTTTTCTGGTGAAGTGGATCATTGTTTTTGCCATGGGATCGCTGATTAAATTAATATATGAAACAGTTATTAAGGTGCAATGTAGTGTATATAAGAATTAAGAATGGCATCATCCCTAAATTATATACAAGTATGTTTCTATTGTCACACTTAGTACACTTTCCACCCAATGGTAACTATTAGTCAATCATCACATGCAGCATTTCAGTTATTAGTCCTGTGTGGCTGTGTATTCATGTCACTATGACTTAGCTAGTAAAATATCAATAACAAGGACTTCAACTCCCCAAATTCTTTTTTTAAAAATAAAAGCTATAGCTATATGGATAGGAATATCAGTCAATTAAAACTCAAGAAAGTGAATGAGTGCATCGAAAAAGTTGATGTGTTATCTTCTTATATGTGCCCAAAGGCATTAATATATGGTCTGATAGAGATTGTCGTGCAGTACAAAAATAATAGATCTGTACAAACCTTTACTGAAGGACCTCCCAATGTCTGTACCCCTCGATGAACTATGTATTCACTATCAACTACTCCAATGTTCTTTGTTCTGTCACCCTAAAAATGATGAAAAAGGAAGTATGGTTGGTGGTAAGGTTAAGGTAAAAGTATTATTACAGTGAAACATCACTTAAGGAAATGAAGAATTAAGGAAAATATATGACTATTCCTCTAATAAAACTTCACAAAAGAAATTTCGAGACATGAACTACAACCCTGCATTGCCAATGCCCACGTGTAGCCAAAGAAATCCTACCTTTTTATAAAGTTACATCCTAAAGCTCAACATGCAAAGATGCCACATTATCATCCACTAACAATTATTACATCTTAAACCTCATGCAAGCATGTTATATTATCTATATAATTTGTTAAATTCTAGAGCTCTAAAATGCAAACATTTAAATCATCATCCCACATAATTCACATAATATTTCAATATATATCTCCATCATTTTTTACAATATCCTATATATCTACACAGTTCATCCTCACCCTCACTTAGCTAATGTTATTTCTCTCTTCGCTCATAAGCCATATCACCTTAATTGTTTCTAGCTCTTATATGATTATTCTATGGTCCAAATTATATCCCTCCTTTTTCCTCTCATAAAGCCATATCACCTTACTTTTACATTTGGATCATCATTACCATTTAAATTATCATAAATCACATTAACTTATATAAGCTTATGTGGTCTAGCTATCTTACACATTATTTCTACTTATTATCATACTAAACTCGTGCAGTAACACACGGGGTTTCACCTAGTTTAACTATAAAGAATTCCACATCTATTTAAAAGCAACATCAAACCTGAGCACAGTACCCAAATTTGTAATCAATGCCCCATCCGTGGATAAGATCATTCTGCAAAAAATGAAACATATATATATTAGTGGCTGCAATATAGTCCACAAAAGTCATTTAGGTTAAAGACAAAATGTAAGTTTCAGATTGTGGTAACCAGGTAAATTGACGGGGGTGTTTTTTGCCAAAAAAAAAAACCAGGTTGATCATATATTAATTCCTTATGGCAACAAGTCATTTTATCTACAATAAACTATGAACTTATAATGGATTGGTCCCTTTTCCTCACAACTGCAGCATTAGCAATCCGGGGACTATGTAAAGCTAAGAGAACTAGAACCACATAAATAAATATGATTCAAAGCATTTTGTGAGTAATGTGGAAAAACGGAGACTTAACTTTTTTTAGAATAAACGGATCCAATAAAACAAGTTGCTATAAGCCTATAACAGCTCTTTCCGCAGTTTTTTTTTTGGCAACTTTTTCCTCCCTCCCTCCCTCCTTCCCCTATCATCCAAGATTTGATATTTACATGTTTGAGCAGAACTATTCTGCCAAAAGGGGATAAAAGGATGCCATTCAGGCCCTGAACGGTCCTTTTTGTATACTAAAAAACAGTCCTGATCACTTTGCCCAATATGGCTTGATGTTCATAGGATGGGTCACTGGCTCAAAATTTTAACATTGAATGGGTCTCTGAGGTCTATTCCATCTTGTAATACCCCTGGCCGAATTAAGCACTCAGAAGGACAGTTTTATAGCCAGGTTCAATTATACATTCAAATATGAGACATGGTCAGAATCTCATTGCTATTGAAAGATACAACCATTACCTGGATAAGATGCCAAGCACATCGCCAAGCAGATCTCGAGAAAACTGGTGCCATGCCCTCAACCCATCTATAGATGATATAATCGTTACACCAAGCAGAAATATGATCTAGGTTTGTTGCTAAATGCTAGGTAACAGAAATGTAGTTACTGTGTTTACTGTGCAGTAAGACAATACTATTGAACTGCACTAGACCAAACAGTAACCAATGCAAACAGTTACCCAGCGAAGTAGCTGTCATATAATGAGAAATAACTCAAGAAAGAAGACATACCCAGAACAAGGCGGTCCCTCTTTTGCACAATCTTTGTTTCCCCGATTAACTTTTCTATCAAAGTGCATATGTTGTTTGATTTAGTCAACAAATCAATAATAAAAAAAGTTGCAGCACATGAAAAAGTTACCTGTGGAAACTCCACCCCTTTTTACGAACAGTTATCCGATGATGAATTTCAGACAATTTAGGATCAAGACCTGGTTGAGATATCTCTAGCCCTTCTGATTTAACTATATTCAAGTACCTGCATGAAATTCATGCGTTAGCACAATTGTTGCATAGCATAAACTAAAATACTCGAGAAGAAAATTAGCATAAGATCACATTATTGCCAAGATTAACTTTTGCAGCCTAACACATACCAGTCAGTCAGTAGTTGATTCTTACATTTAAAAGATGCACTGATAATTTTATACAAAGTTTCTTGAACCAGGATTACGGGATTCAGTACATTGTACTAGGAATGATTCAGCACTTCAGTATGTCTAACCTCAACATCATTTATACAACAGCTAGGCAATGTGAGGCTCAAAATCAACATCAAGTATTTATGAAATACCATACCTCCTTGGGTGAAAGTTATCTACTTCCAGATCTTCATCCCAAAGAAATATATACTCGTACATGGAGACAACAGAAGGATGGAGGAATCTTTTTGCAAACCACCTAAAAAATAGATGCCTCATTATCTTATCTTGAATTAAGACGACACCAGATCAGTAGAAATCGCAAGGTGAAGCAAAGTATATTCAACAGCAAGAGCACTCAAAGTCAGGCTCTTCTCACAGAGGAAGGGCAGAAAGATGCCATACCATTTTGTCTGGTTAGAAGCAGCTATATGTATCACACTTTTGCTCCAAGGTAGATCGTTCCACCCATCAACATTACCATCGTAGTGGAACAACATAACTGTAAAATTCTCTGGAAGAAACTGAACATTCAAGAGTTACCATCATGAGGAAACTATCACTTCCTGAGGTAGCAAATTAAGTACCTTCTTCATAATAGCATCCACACTTCTTTTCTGATCTATACCAGCAGGGATGGCAAGCAAGCACCGATCCTTCTGGCTAGAATCCTGTGGAGCCAAAATTCGCAGAGCGTCAGATAACTAGATATTCAGGCCTCGTACTCAGAAAGGTGGAGCAACTAAAGCCTGCTTTATGTATGAAAACTGAAATAGAACCAACAAATATATTGTACTGAGCAACACACTGTATACAAGAATAGGCTTGGTTTTCAAATTACCTTTGATTGCGCACTTCTTGTGAGCCATAATGGCTTCAACTCCATGTCAGAGTAAGGTTCCACTATACCATGGGGTAAAAAACCAACCCTATTGGCAGATCTTTTAGACACCTTAGAAGACACTTTGTCAGACACCTAAATATTTACATAGAAGACAAAATCAGCGTCCCAGCAACAAATGAAAATATGCTTCCAGATTAACATAGCACAAAGTTCTTTTCCTTCTAGTGGAGCTGATTGGTTTACATACCGTAATTGTATCAAATGGACGGGATTTTGCTTCCAACTGCAACAACCCATAATAAGGTCAGTCATATCTGTCAAGCAAACTACAGGGAGACATTTCGTAGATGAGTGTTACCTTTGTCTGTTTATGTTGGTAACTCGCCATGTTATAAACCAGAAATAAAATGATCAAGCAAAGAATCAGCAGATGCAACCGCAGTCTCATCTTAGAACAGCTATCTCTCCCGCTACCATTCTGTGGAATCAAGTGGGTAGTATCATCATTCATTACTTTGCATTGAGCCAGCTTAGAGAGTTCGGCAAGCATATACTTCACCAGAAATGAACAAATAAAACAGCACAAGCGAACTCACCTTATCCACAAGGCACTACTATCTAAAATTCTAAATATGTGGAATAAAGGCGGACTGTCTCATGACATCAAGAAGAAAGGTCTGATAAATTCATAGCATCCTGTATGCAGAGAAAAAAAAGTCAGATTTTCTCTTTTGGGGTAAAAACATGACCCGCATGATCCCTAGTGGTCCCTCACAGAGAAATGCATAGGCATGAGGCGTACATAAATTTGGATGCATACCTCACGAACCAAAAGGAGGGAAGAAAACAAGAAAAGTAGTATACTCCAGCTTTAGCATCTGCTTTCCCGTGGATTGCTGGTAAAAAAAAGGGGGGGGGGGGGGGTGGAAATTCGAGGAAGCGGACATAAACGGGAAAACTGAAAAATCTAATGTACGCGTCATGCGTGATTCGCGATGCGATACGATTTGCAGTTGCTCTTTACTGGAGCCTGAGGATGGCACAAGCACAAGATGCGCGATGAAGCATGGGTGGGAATGATAATGCATCGGCGACTAGACTAGGGGAAAAAAAAGCGTGCTATGCTTGATGACGAAATGACGTTCGACAGTTCGATCCTCCACTCGCAGCTTCGCGAGCGCTCGCCGCCGTCGCCGGGGGCTCGCTGGGATTACTCCCAATCAAAAGCGGAGGCAAATCTCACGAGCACGCGATCGGATAGCAGATACCTCCGAACCCCACGCAGCAGAACGATCTAGGATTCGTGCGGAGAAGGGGACAACTGAGGAACTTACCGCCGTGGCCGCTGCGGCGGACGCGTCTGCAGGAGGAGCCGGAGCCGAGGATCGGCGGAGGCGGCGGAGCGCGTTAATGGCCGCCGGTGCTGTGTTAGTGGTTGGGAAGAGAAAAAATGTTTTTCCAGGGGAGACCGGAGGGATTGGGAAAGGGGGGCGGGTGGCACACCGCACACCACACTGGCACGAGCACGGGGGCGCGGGCGGAATGGAGCAACGCAACGAGGCAGCGCGCGGCGGGGGTCAGAGGAGGGGGCACGGGTGGCGCCTCGCCCAGATTCCACCGGATTCCACCGCCCACACCCCCCTCGCCTCGCGGCGAAGATGTCAGGTCCATTGATAAACTTATAAGATTCAAGCCTTGTCAAAAAAACTGAATTAGGTCAGGTTTGGGTTTGGGAAAACCTTATTCAGAATCTCAGTCATGCACAGGCACAGCATATCCACCAATACTCTTTCGAAGAAACACAACAAACAAGCGTCAACACATAGCCAGCCAGGAAAATCAAGGATCACAGCATATCGAGCATTAACAGGCATCTTAACAAAACTTTGCATAGAGTAGATTCCATAAAACACGTTCTGATGATAAGACTTCGTTTTGTTGGGAACAATATCCAAATCGATAGGGTCAAAACACCAGCCCTGCCAGGACTTCAAGCAAAAGGATCTGTCTATAAACTACCCATGAATAATGCGAGTACAAGCTCATGCTGCGGTGAAGGCCTTCTTGCCGCCGCTGCCGCCGGTGGATCCAGCTGGGATGACCTTCAGGACGTTGAACCTCACAGTTTTCGACAGCGGCCTGTTGAAAATGCAGAAATTGTACTTCAGCAACCAAATCTCATAGTACTAGCTGGGTGAACTGATAATGTTTGAACTAATAGCACCTCTGTTATTTAAGATGATTCTAAGGAGTCAAAAACTAAGGTATGGGAGTTAAGTTTTACCTGCACTGGCCAATGATGACATGGTCACCTTCCTTGACACGGAAGCATGGGGAGACGTGAGCCGGAATGTTGGAATGCCTCTTCTCATACCTGCAACCCAAGTCAGAAAAAGGAAAAGAAACATAAGTAGAATCCATAATTGTTTACTTGCCTCTGATATTTCTTCACAAAGTGGAGGTAGTTCCTGCGAACAATGATAGTCCTGTTCATCTTAGCACTATGGCATGTTCCGGCAATGATTCTGCCTCTGATAGAAACAGTTCCAGTGAATGGGCACTTCTTATCAATGTATGTCCCTGCAAGGAATTGTAATTAATCAACTGCTCAGTACTTGAAAGAATTAGCATAAAAGAAATAGCATTATTCAGCTGCATTTAAATTACTAGTCAAACATACCAGCAACAGTGTATCAAAAGAATTTAAGAAATACTGTTAACTGATGACAGGCAACGATTCTTTCAGAAACAATTTTTAATGTTCATAATGCACTACAAATCACTTCAGTGGTAACAGTAAAACAAACCATAATTCTTCTCTACAGCACACAAAAGATAGTAAGCAAGAATCTAAAATGTAATGAATTGGAATTCTGGTAACAACTAAACAAAGAAGCAAGACTCTATTGTACCTTCAATTGCTTCCCTGGGAGTCTTGAAGCCAAGGCCAATGCTCTTCCAGAAACGGTTGCCACCCTTACCTGGCTTCTTACCCTTGCCAGACTTCTTTGAGCTAAAATCAAGCAGAAAAACATTGTCAAGACGTGTGAATTGCTCACAGAATAGTACATAATTGATTGAAGGAGCAGCAGAACCCTACCTGAGGAAAACCTTTGGCTGCTTCAGGAATGCCTTCTCAGTCTGCACAACAGGAATGGATGTAAAACATCAATACTACACAAAATCTGCTAGAACCACCTGCATCACTCGTTTGCATGAACAAATGGGAAACAAGATAACAAACCTATATCTAACTCTCTAACAGATAAGCTCCACACTAACCACAAAACTGCACCTGGCATTTGCTACCATGAACATGGCTCACAAGTCACAACATATCAAGTGAGAGTTGAGAATGGTACTATGCAAACCCACCGCCCAACTACTCCCACATCTAACAAGAAAACCTCAACAAACTCATGAGACTAGGCTAGAACCCCAAATCAAATCTATAATCGACAATAATGACCAACATACTGATGTGCAAGGCTACCAAACCAGTTTTCCCTCCCTACAATTCCAGGCCAAATCACGCAATACCACTGAGCAACACCGACAAGAAGATCCGAGTCACATAACAAGGACACCATAGAACTGACCCTAAGCAAGCGACGGAGAAGCTCGAGGGTAAGACTGGGAGGAGCCTTACCTGCTCAGCCATGGCTGCCGCGGAGGGGTATCGACCGGCGGGCGGGCGGCGGCGGCGGCGCGCGGGGGATCCGGAGAGGCGGGAGGGCAGGGGAGTGGAGACGAGGCTTTGCTAAGAAGGAGGTGGCGGCGCGGAGGCAAACCCTAGCGATGCAGATACACCCCTCTCTATATGGGCCGTAAACATCGGCCCAAGAAGGCCCAAACTCCGGCCGGGAAGAAGCTCAGAGCGGTGTTCTTGCAGCTTTACCACTAACAATCATCACCCCAACCTGCACTTCGTGCGAATTAAACTTCAAGCATTACTCATTTGATGGATCGTCTATGCTAAAAAAAAATGGCAGTGATTTCTCGTTAATTTGTGGTCGATCGCATCGTCTTGGAGTGCAAGACTGTAGCAGTTATACGAGACTGAACATTTTTCGTTGATCTGAACTCTAATTCTCTGAAGGACAAAGGTGAACATTTCAGAGTTGTGTTTGATTGTGAAACGTAAATGGTGTACCAGGCTAACATTTCAGATATTCGAACATTTCAGAGTTGTGTTTGATTGTGAAATGTAAACGTTGTACCAGATATTAGCATCCTCCCAAAGCTTAGGTGCGATAGGAAGATGTCAGGTCCATTGATAAACTTATAAGATTCAAGCCTTGTCAAAAAAACTGAATTAGGTCAGGTTTGGGTTTGGGAAAACCTTATTCAGAATCTCAGTCATGCACAGGCACAGCATATCCACCAATACTCTTTCGAAGAAACACAACAAACAAGCGTCAACACATAGCCAGCCAGGAAAATCAAGGATCACAGCATATCGAGCATTAACAGGCATCTTAACAAAACTTTGCATAGAGTAGATTCCATAAAACACGTTCTGATGATAAGACTTCGTTTTGTTGGGAACAATATCCAAATCGATAGGGTCAAAACACCAGCCCTGCCAGGACTTCAAGCAAAAGGATCTGTCTATAAACTACCCATGAATAATGCGAGTACAAGCTCATGCTGCGGTGAAGGCCTTCTTGCCGCCGCTGCCGCCGGTGGATCCAGCTGGGATGACCTTCAGGACGTTGAACCTCACAGTTTTCGACAGCGGCCTGTTGAAAATGCAGAAATTGTACTTCAGCAACCAAATCTCACAGTACTAGCTGGGTGAACTGACAATGTTTGAACTAATAGCACCTCTGTTATTTAAGATGATTCTAAGGAGTCAAAAACTAAGGTATGGGAGTTAAGTTTTACCTGCACTGGCCAATGATGACATGGTCACCTTCCTTGACACGGAAGCATGGGGAGACGTGAGCCGGAATGTTGGAATGCCTCTTCTCATACCTGCAAGGTGGGAGGTTTGCACCCTATGTTAGAACGGAGAAAAGGAAAGGAAACATAAGTATATAATCCATGGTAGTTTACTTGCCTCTGATATTTCTTGACAAAATGGAGGTAGTTCCTGCGAACAATGATAGTTCTGTTCATCTTGGCACTGTGGCATGTTCCAGCAATGATTCTGCCTCTGATAGAAACAGTTCCAGTGAATGGGCACTTCTTGTCAATGTATGTCCCTAGAAAGAATTGCAGTTAATCAACTGTTCAATACTTAAAACAAATAGTAGCATTTATCTCAGGTCTGTAATATTCAGATGAATTTAAATTGCTAGTCAAACATACCGGCAATAGTAGTGTATAAAAACAACTTAACAAATACTGTCAATGCATGACAAACAACTGTTCTTTCAGTGACAATTTTAAAGTTAACGCACTACAAATCATTCAGTGGCTACAGTGAAAACACCAAAGTTCTTCTGTACAGCATACAACTTTTAGACAGAATCAGCTAAACAAAGAGGCAAATAACCTATTGTACCTTCAATTGCTTCCCTGGGGGTCTTGAAGCCAAGGCCAATGCTCTTCCAGAAGCGGTTGCCACCCTTGCCTGGCTTCTTACCCTTGCCAGACTTCTTTGAGCTAAAATGAAGCAGAAAAACATCGTTAAGACATGTGAACTGCTCACAGAATACATAAAGCATTGAAAGAGCAGAAGAACCCTACCTGAGGAAAACCTTTGGCTGCTTCAGGAAAGCCTTCTCAGTCTGCACAACAGAAATGGATGAAAAACATCAACACTCTACACAACATAGCTAGAACCACTTGCATCACTTATTTGGATTGAACAAATGGGAAACAAGAATACAAATCTGTATCTAATTCAGTAGCAGATAAGCTCCACATCAACCATAAAAGAGGTTAAAACGTGACAAACACACAACTGCAGCATCACGAATATTAAGCACAGACCTATCATTCGTTACCATGAACACGGCAGCGGTAATGAACCCAAACATCGAATACATCCACGGTTGCGTTAATCTATTGGAACATCTCAGCAAAACTTCGATCCAGTAACTATATCTCAGCAAAACTTCGATCCAGTAACCCAAAACTTCTATTGCTAATTTAACACGAGAGAATTACGAGTGCGGATATAACAAACCCACCGTTCAACAAATCCACATCTAACAAGAAGACCTCAACAAATTCATGACACTATCACACTAACTTTCCATCGCTAGCGTTCCAGCCCAAATCACGAGAACTGAGAAATCGAGTCTCACATCGCAACACGCGCATCACATGGCAACGTGCCCCCACCTAGAACTGACTCCTATAGCAAGCGACGGAGAAGCTCGACGGAAGAACAGGAGGTGCCGGGCCTTACCTGCTCAGCCATGGCTGCGGGGCGAGGGTGACGACCGGCGAGTCGGCGGCGGCGGCGGCGGCGCGGGGAGTGGAGGCGAGGCTTGCGAAGGAGGATGCGGCGGCGCGGAGGTAAACCCTAGTGAGCCACTCTTTATAGCGCAGCGCCGCGGGTGTCAAATATGCAGATACACCCCTCCCTTTACGGGCCACAAAACCTCAAGCCCAATAAGGCCCAAACTCCGGGCCATCACGGATCTACATGGGTCCTCGGCCCGTGTACGCAACCTCCGCTTCATCACGCCCGTTCGTCGCGGACGGTGCAATGTGGACCGTCCGATCTCGGCGATCGGTTGATCCTGGCCGTCCGTGTGGCGCCATAGGGGGCGACAGAGGGGATCTCTCTCCCCTCGGCTTTCGCCTCGGCTGCAGTTTCGCATTATTCCGACTTCGCCGTCGTTCTCCTCCCGTCGCGGCGAGCCCACGGCGGCCGCGGCGCCGCCGGAGAGGAGCGGAGAGTGGTGATCCGTCGCGGAATTCGGGTGATCCCTTCCATTTCGTCCTAGTTCGCTCCGTGCTGTATAGCCTGTGAGCAGTCGAATCCCTTATTTTGCTACATGTGTGGAATTGATCGAGTTTGTGTGTTTTTTGATTGGATAATTTTGTGGTTTGGGAAGAAATGGTGATGGTGGTTTCGTTGGTGTTGTGCAGTTGCTGTGGGGATAATGGCGAATCTGCAGCCCTCGCTTTCCATTCCGCCCTCCTTCGCCGGGGCCTCGCCGCCATCGCCTTCTCCGATCGGCGGCGGTGGCGTGGGCGGCGGGGTGGGGCAGCCAGCCAAGGATATGAAGATGGCGTCGGCGGAGCAGCTGGTGCTCGACCTCTGCGACCCCGAGCTTCGCGAGAACGCCCTCCTCGAGCTCTCAAAGGTCCAGCGCGCGTTCTTCTAGGGTTCTATAGCCTACCCTATCTGGGGCACTGGTGGTAATTTGTGGAATTCACACTGCCTGTGGGGGAAGGTTTCGCCTTAGCATTGTGAATGTCAATGGTTTTTTTAGGGTTGGTGAATGGTGATTTGGTGTTAGGGTTACCGTATGGTTGATGCGCATCTATCATGAAATGGGCTATTACACTACGTTTTGATCAAGATAACATTAACATCTCTAATTATTGTGGTCGGTGAAACTTCCCGGCTTCCCGCTAGATTACCATTATTATTGGGTAGCACAATAGCGAATTAGACTCAGTTTATTATGGGTAGCCTTCGAGAGTTCCATTAACTCTTTAAGGCGTTTTACGCTGTAAAGTGTTTATACAGATTACCGCTCATACACACAGACCTGGATTGTAGATTTACCATATTCCAGAGCAGATGGCTTCATTGTCAACAGCAATGTTTTGCTAAAGAAAATTTTAGAACCCTATGTTCTTTGTAGTAACTAATTTAGAAATTTTTGTTTTGTACCTAATTAGTTCTGTAATTTTCCTGATCAAAATAATTGTAGACTTCATGTTCCAGTCATTAACATGATAAGCCAGTTTATTTGGTCAAAAAAAATTCAATCCTTTCTTTTCAGAAAAGAGAGATATTTCAAGATCTGGCCCCACTTCTTTGGCATTCTTTTGGAACAGTTGCTGCACTTCTTCAGGTCTGCATGATTCCCCTGTTCGTATATGTTTACAATTTGCATGCTTGAAGATTAAACTCACAAATAATTTATAGTTTTAATCCTACTCTCAAGTCATCAGTTTGCTGTTGAGGTCAAATATTGTATGCTGTTCAAATTAGCACTTGTTGCTTAGAATCCAAACTTACTCAAATTTCAGCAATCTTACTCACTTGGTGTATCCATACTTGCCAACACATACAGGAAATTGTGTCAATCTACTCTGCACTTTCACCCCCAACATTGTCACCAGGTGCATCGAACCGAGTCTGCAATGCACTTGCACTTCTTCAGGTACATAATCTTATGAAATAGGGCGGTAATGCTGGAAAAGTTGTCTTCTGGTTGCTTGCATTTCATGATGTATTTTACAGTAGAAATTGCCTTTTGAGTTACCCAAGTTGGATTTATGACATAGATTTGCTGATTAACTCTTTCTTTTTTGCTTTTCAAAAATAATTTCAGTGTGTTGCATCTCACCCTGAGACCAGGATCCTTTTCTTAACTGGTAATGGTCATGGTCCTTTGCATGTCTGTCTCTCATATGCGTGTATGATCATGCTTTTGTAATCTATATTTGACGTATCCTAATTCCTAAATGTGTAGTACTAGTGTTTGAAACTCATGAAGATGAAGATAAAGTTGGAGCACGTAAAACAAGATAGCTATTAGCACATGATTAATTAATTTTTAATTATTACAAACTTGACAGATAGATATATTTGATATTTTAAAGCAACATATATATAGAAAGTTTTCGCACGAAACACACGGTTTATTAGTTTGAAAAGCGTGCTAACAAAAATCGAGGTAAAGTCTTAATCTTCATAAGAAAATAACACACTAAAGAACCTTTTAGCTCTTGTTTTTGTTTCTGTGAAAAATTCCATTTCCCTCTCTCATTTTCTTTTGTTCTTTTCAGCTCATATTCCCCTGTACCTGTACCCATTCTTGAATACTACCAGCAAGACAAGACCTTTTGAATACCTGCGACTCACCAGCCTGGGTGTCATCGGTGCACTTGTTAAGGTAATTCATCTATGTAGTTACATGAGTTAATCGTTTAACCAGTGATACGAACATGATATATATTACAATTGACACATTTCAGTAATTCTATTCTGCCATCTTGGCGAAGAGCCATGTTATTATTATTCAGTAGTTAGGCATGAGGCCTTATAAGAATGCATCCTTCTTGTATTAGGCAGAACAGCAGGCATAAATTGTAAGCAAAAGATTTCCAAGATCCTCGTGGTAACCAGCCATTTACTTCTGTTTAGTGGTTTGCCTGGTTCCTGTAGCACTGTAACTACCAAGTATCCATGTTTTTTTTGGGGGGGAATTATGTGGGGTTGTAGAAATTTGAATTAAGTTTGGATGCAAACCAATTTTATATATAAGTAGACACAGAGCTTGGTTATTGGAAACTAGCCCTCTGGCAGGGTTCTGAGGAAAAATGCACAAAACAGAATTTGTAACCTTGTAATATGTTGAATTACTTTGAAACAAACATGTGTACTCTTTGATGTTTTCTACCTTCTTTTTTTCGTGTTGAACTGGTTTTAGATTTTTTTTCCTTCAAATGGAATTAAAGCTTCTTTCACATGTAATACACGCAGGTTGATGATACTGAAGTTATCAGTTTTCTGCTGCAAACTGAAATAATTCCTCTGTGTTTGCGTACCATGGAAATGGGAAGTGAGCTGTCAAAAACTGTATGTCGCTAACCATCTCATGTTTATCTAAATACCATCATCTTTTTCTTCTTTAAGTATGTGATGATGCTGTCTGAAGTTTGTGTGTAATTTTTTTTTTTGTTACCATGAATTGTAGCTTGGCTAGGTTAAAATTTCTGCTACCATGAATAATGATAGCCTGTCCAGGTTAGTGTGAAGTAAGCCACCTGTCATCTTTAGAATCTTCTTATTACAGGCTGCCGCTCATCTTTGGAATTTTCTTGTTCTCAACCAGGCTTCCCTTTGTTAAGCTCAAATGCCACCTTTCGTTTTATAAGCCTAAAAGGTGGATTGTGCTATATGTATTGAGAGGAGGTTGGCAATTTGGCAACTATATGGTGCTGCCACTTTTAATTCCATTTTTTTATGACCCAAACCTAACTGTTTAAACTTGGTAGGTATAGTTAAGTTTGTACACAGGTACACAGGTATAGTTAAGTTGGTAGCTCATGAGGAACTTAAGCTTCTTTTGTTGATGAGAGCTCAAAGTTCAAATGAGGCCAGAAATAAATCTCATTTGCCAAGCTAGGCCTAATGAACCATTATTATTTCACTGATTTAGTCAAATATTTTTGTAGGTGGCCACCTTCATTGTTCAGAAGATTCTCCTCGATGATGTTGGATTGCGCTACATTTGTGCCACTGCTGAGCGTTTCTTTGCTGTAGGCAGTGTTTTAGCAAACATGGTAGTTTCACTTGCTGAGCAGCCTTCCACAAGGTTGCTGAAGCACATTATCCGATGTTACCTTAGGCTGTCAGACAATTCCAGGTCTGTGCTGACATTTGTGTGCTATCAAATTATTTTACTTAAATATTCTGAACAGGCTATTTTTTTCTACGCGGCGTCTATGCAGGGCATGTGCTGCACTACAAACTTGCCTCCCTGACATGCTGAAGGATGGCACGTTCAATAACTGTCTTAGGGTGAGTGATATTAACCCATCAGCTGCCACCAATTTCTTATTCCTGTACTTGATAAATTAATACTAAATGAAAGGTTTGAAACACCAACTTTTGACAACCACAGGATGATCCTACAACAAGGCGCTGGCTCCAGCAATTGCTTCTTAATGTGACAGGCGCAGGCATGGGAGCTGCTCCTCAGCCAGGCCTGGATCACATGATGGGGATATAAATCAGTCTGATTGCTGCAATTCACAACAATAATAACCTTATCTACCCGTGAATTGCAAGTAGGGAAGATCTCCTAGGTATTTAGGCTAGAAATAGGTAGCATGGTTAGTCCAACCTTCGAAAACAAGAGGAACTGTTTGTGTGTTAGTGTCATTGGCTGTTAAGGGTGCTGTGCTTATTCTTTAATGCTGTGGAAACAAGGACAGCAAGAAAGCTCATTTTTATGTTCTTGCACCAGAACTGCTTTTGCTTTGACAGTTCCAACGTTTAAGAAAAAAAGAGGAAGAGCTTAGGTTTGATAATTTATTCCATGAGGAGCATACCCGAAAGAAGACTATGTTGTATGCTGCCTTTGGGTGATGATGTTTAATTGTGGTGTGATGTGCAACCGTTTACAAGTAATGTTTGTACAGGCCAGCCTTGTCGTAGGCTTTGTCTTTGTATATAACTCATGTGTACCTACACCCTCCTAGGTATCCTCTCAAAAACAAAAACAAGTGTACATATTCTGCTAAAATTTAATAAGATGTAGAGTATGGTACTTTATCAAATGACCGTGCTACATCTAGTCAACACCTAGAGCATGATAGATAGAAGTGCGCTCACAATGGAATATATTTATATATTTGAATCCCGCTAGCTTTTAAAGCTTAACATACAAATCTATCAAAATATTTTAAATCACATACAAATATAGCATATCATTTACTATTTAATACATCCTAGAGCTTAATATATAAGCATGTCCCATATCATTTCCACTTTATTTCAATACATATTTATCCATCATTTCTACAATATGTATACATTCATCCGTGTATTTTTCTAGCAAGATGTAAGACATCAACTAATTATTTCACTATAGAAAAGAGGTCATGAATTTGTTGTTGATCTCAAACAGGATTGGGATCCCCTGCAGTAGCTATAGCTGTCCTAGAGCTACTATTGGATCAGAAATTCTTTCCCTGTAGTATTGTAGTAGCAGTTAGTACTACTTAAAACTGATATAGCACATGTCTGGATCGTTGATTGCCTCTCGATCTAATGATGGAAAACGGTCCCAACTGCCTTTGCAGTCTCTACTACGACTGCACCGGATCCTTATGCGTCTCAAATCTATTATTTAGAACGTGTTAAAGGTATAGTCGCATATTACGATACATTCTCCATGATGGGTTGATGGTACACTCACCGGCATGTCTATATGGCCTGCATGTGTAACGGTGATAAGCTCGTGTGTAACGGTATATAGTAGTCATTTAGTGTGTGTACGCGCGTTCCGCATGTGCAGTGAGGATCAAGATTATATGACTTTGTCACTGATATGTGGACCCGATGTTCTCTATGCCCACATGTAAGTGACAAAGGCAGCGTGCATCTGACTGCAGAGGATCTCAATCCGTGCAGTGGTGTGTCTCGCGTAAATACGAAATTAGAAGAAAAAGAAACTACTCCCTCCGTCCAAAAAAAACTCAACCTAGAAGGGACGTGACCCCTCCTAGGACAATGAATCTGGACTGGTGCCACATCCCCTCCCCTTCCAAATTGAGTTTTTTTTAGGACGGAGGGAGTATGTACTAGAAAATGTAGCAAAAGTTACTGCTCCCTCCGTTTCACAATGTAAGTAAGTACTATTTTTTTTTTCTCTTACAAAAGGACAAGGAACACGAATGATGAAACCCCAGATCACCTCCACCTCCACCTCCACCGCCACCTCCCACGGCTGGCTGGCTCCACGTCGGACCCCATCTCTCTCCCACACACACGCCTTCGCATTCGCTGCACCCATGACTCGCGCCGCGCGGTGATTTGCCGTGATGGCGACGGGTGCGAGCCGCCTCGGCGGCTTTTTTTTCTCCTTTTCTTTCTTTTTTTTTGGGCTAGCCGCTGGCGACCGGGTTTTCCGCACGGTTTGTTTGTTGGCTGGCTCCTCCTCGGGCTCGCTGCTTTTGGGCCGGCCCGCCGCGGCCCATCATAACGACATACCGGCCCAATAACATCATCAATCAAAGCACCGGTTCCCTCCCTCCTAAAATAAACAGGAATGAGGAGCCATTTAGATTGTAGCCAAAATAAACCTTACCAAATTTTTAACAATATTGTCAAAATTTTAACATTATTTCTTATGTATTTATTAAAAATTGACAAGAAATTAAATGGATCCACATATTTAACAACTTAAAAAATATAGTATGGTTTAAAATGGCATCAATCCTAAACACGCCTTGAGTAAGTATTGACTGTCGTCTATACAGATGCAGATCATGCAGTTACTGGAGACTGACAGGTACTATACAGATCATGATTCTTGAGCAATGACAAGCCACTGTACATTGTACTGAATATATACCCCTAATAAGTTCAAAATTTGCAGGTAAACTTTCTGCGTTAGTATCATAGCATGCATTTGATCAAGAAACCATCAGCATTGCACAAAGCAAGAGATATACTATATATATCTAAGTTGATAGTTTCTGCCTATAAAAATGTTCTTTCCTATCTGTCCTTTTAAGACAACAACAGGAAATACAGTACTACTCCCTGCTACAACATTCTGATTTCCGACCTAGTCTTTGCCAGGTAACAAGTAAACACTGAAAGAGACGACACTATGTGGTCTAGCTATACGCTGTCTGTACACAGTTTTGTATATTTGGGCATTTTGAGCCGAAGTTCAGCGTCGGGTCCTCTTCCTGCCTTTGTTAGGGCTATCTTGCTGTGCAGCAGCACGCTTCTGCCCATTCTTTGGAGGCCGCCCAACGCCTCTCTTCTTGGCCGGTGGATTTCTCTGCATAGTTTTTACATTAGCTGTCACTGATGAACCACCACGCGATCCCTTGGCCTCACCCTGCTTGACAGTACTTCCAGTCCCCTTTAAAGAAACTTTGCTTCTCTTTGCATCATGAGGCCCATGACTTCCAGGCTGCACGGGTCGGGTGTTCTTCTTCACTAAAGGGGCAGTTGCTGCTCCTGTTACTCCACAACTCTTAGAGGGCATGCTTGCGCTCTCTTGCACTGTTCTGAATGCAATATTTCGAAGTTCAATTGCAGCCATGTGCTCTAACGTAGCCTTTGGATAGAAGGCAAGGACATTATTCACAAACAGTAGAATGTCTCTTAGAAGCTCCTTGGTAGAAGATGTTGCGCCACTCTTGATCTTTGAATGAAGGATACGGAAGTCTATATGCCGGCGAATCATCTTCTTGTATCTAGTCCGCTTCCGCTGCAGGTGTGACAAAAGTGACAAATAAGATAGAATGTAAACATACCAGTGTCTGCTATTTTTTCATCTTGAAATGCATAAACTGCAGAAAGGCACTGAAAGTTTCTTCCAGCACAAACAGTTATATAAACATGTATACTTTATTTTGAAGTCGCTAAAATGGGTTCTAAAAACTCTTAGTATCCACAAAGGTTTCATTTGCTTGATACCCTATCAGAACAAACAGCGTGCAACTCTAATCAATTTTCCATAAGTACAAGACTTGACTGAATTTACAAGATCTATCCATCATACCTGGACATCAAGTCGGCGTTGCAACATATAACAGTCACTTTGAGTAGATATAGTTTTCAAAATCTCTGCCAAGTTTGGTTTTGCTTTCTCAACGACAGACACACCAGATTCTAGATTTGGAGTTTTCAAGCCCTTCTTTGCATAGCCTTCAGAGGAACCATCTGTCTGTATGTGTGATGTAGATGTATTCTCGCCAGCTCTGCAACTATTATCAGCCATCAGAAAAGTCCTCCTATCCCTCACGGCCCTTTTCTTTCTAGAGCCCCAAAGCAAACCATCTTCAGCACAAACCTTTTTTTCAACAAGGGGTTTTACCAAAGCCTCTGCTGAAGTATTGTTCACTTGAATTGAATCAGTATCGCAGTGTTGCACCTTTTCAGATTTCTGACTGTTGCTTGCTTCCTCTGTAAAACTAGCAGCAGATGATCTATCTTTGGACAATGCTTTGCTTGATGAATTGTTATCAGCTGTATTTTCATTATTTGAACATGACTCAGTATGACTAGTGTGACATTCAGAGTTGCCATCATCATGCTTGCTATTGCTGAGGCTTTTGATCATGGACTGCAGGGATCTGGAACAGGAAAAAGGAAACCAGATTTCACATTATGTAAGTGTACAAAAGATGAAAACCAGATGGAATGACCATTTTTCTGAAATCAATAATCATAGGCCTTATATTCAAACTAAATTATTGTGAAATTAAATTTGAAATGCTAAAAAGAAGATCAAGAATTAGACATATACTGAAATGTAACAACATAAACACTAACCCAATAAAATTTTCAGACTTCTTCAGATCATTTCTTAATTCAGCAACTCTCCGCTTACGGAGCTCCTCAAACCAAGCACTGCAAAGAAGCAAGTTGAATGAATATGATATGTTCTATCAATGGCCAACAGGTGAGTTGTTTTACTGCAGAACAAAACACTATGCATACTAGACCACAGCCAGTTGAAATGTCTTGGGTATATTGGCTCTAGGTAAAAGCTGAATATGAGGAGAGTAACTTAAACTCAGCACATCTTATTAAAAGATGTTTAAGAGTTGAATCGACTGTTCAAATTTCAACTACTGCTTTAGGCTACGTTCAAATCAGGAGTTAGGCTGAGCTTATCGGTGGCATTTGAAACGTGGCGAGTCATTAGCACATGATTGATTGACTATTAATTATTAAAATCTTGAAAAATGGATTTATTTTGTTTTTTAAAAAATACTTCTCTATAGCAAGATTTTTTCTTTTTGTAAAATACGCACTGTTCGAACTGTGCCCAACTTGAGAGACTTGCTGTTTCTTTCTTTGAATCTCATGCTGATGATCCCAAAGCTAACTCAACAATGATCAATTGATCATAAAGTATTATCCCTACCTCTACGGCTCTACCCCAGATCCACCAGTGCCCTTGCCCTCATACAACAATTTCTAAAATCTAAGCCAGTTCACTGCTAGACAGCAAAACACCATTTTACCACCAAACTTGTCCTAATTGGAAAACTATATCAGAGAGTAGGAAAAAAATCACCTGCTGTAATTCTAATTGTAGATCCTAGAAATCATAGGCCAACTTAAAGAAGGCAAATAATATAAGGTATAAATCGTGTCTATTTAGCTTTTATGTGCCATGAGACACAAATTATGCATCTTGTGTAATCAGTTTCAGAGTTCATCCAGTTCCCGCATGAAAAATACAATAGGCCAAGACAGGAGACTCAACACAGGTTAAAGTTCAAGGTTAGCAATTTACTAATTTATCGTCACATACTTACTGCAAGACGTTATAAGACTGAATTCATGTGGACAAGCTAGTACAACATAGAAAGAATGATGCAACACTTACTCGCATGCAGAGTAGCGTGCTTGTATCTCTGAAAATTTAGCTTCACATTCCTGCGAACAAGAATGGGTAAGCTCATAATTAGTATGGAACTCTAATATCAAGTAAGCAAATGTCTACCATAACTTCCAGCAGGCATCAGACATGCAGGCGGATAAAATGCATTGCTCCTTTTTGGAAACTAGAAACAATTTGATCTGTAAAACTGATTGTACTAAGCTCCAAAATGTTTCAGACAATGGGCTCAATGCTCTCACATACCCAAACTATTGTAAGAAAGGCATGAGCTAACAACAGCATTCCATCAAATTAGTTTGACGCAAGTGTAAGACGAATCACCCTTGGCATTGCACAAACTGTCAAACTTTGGTATCGAAGCAAGAACAAGGTATGCAATGGGTGCTTTACTGTAAGGCCAATGGCTGTAAGGTTACATTTTCATTCCATTCCCTCGTTGCGAGTCAAAATTACAGCATGTGTTCCTTAACATTTGCTTCATTTTGTTTGGAATGTAAAGCTCATTCCCGTCCAAGCAACACGACCACATATTCTCAGCATCGCTAAAATCACAACCTAAGACCATTTGATGGAAATGTACCAAATCATCCAACGATGATAATACTTAAATTAAGCACCCCTAAATGGCTAAATCCATGCCCTAATGCATAGTATCCTACAACTACCGACAATACAGCCATTGGGCACGACTCATGAGCACTACCACCAGGTTAGGGTTGGAGACGGGGAGGGGGGAAGCACGGACCTCAGGCGAGAAGGCGCACGGCGAGCGGGACCGGACCTCGGCGGCGACGGCGCCCCACGCAACGCCCCCATGGCGGATGACGGCGCTGCCCAGCACCAGCTCCTCCCACGTCCCCCACCCTCCCACCACGCCGCCTCCTCCTCCTCTTCCCCTCGCCTCCTCCTCCCCCTCCTCCTTCTTCACCCCTCCTCCTCCTCCTCCTCCTCCTCCGCCTCCCACCACCACCACCACCATCGGAGACGCTCTCCTTGGTCGTCTCTGGTCTAGGTTATTCCTTCGGCGTGCGGGGGGAGTGGATGGATGAATGCGGCGATCGCGAGGATGACGATAGGCGTGTGGGAGGAGGTCGTCGTCGCGGTGGTTTCTCTCTGTCCGAAGGCGGTTTCTTGTTTCACTTTCGCCGGCTGTTTTTTTGTCTTTTTTTTTTTTTGTTAATCTTTTGGGTTGGGTCGCGTGGTTTTCGGATTTGGACGGATTCTATCTACTGGCTGGCTCTCTCGATAGCAATGAAAATTACTAATCTCGGAGAGGGGGGGAACGTGAGGTGGTGCGGGCCCACGCAGCACTGCAGTGCTTTTGCTTTTGCACGCTTCGCACGTTTTTACTCCTGCAGAGGATAAAACGTACTCCTCGCAGAATACTCGTGTGCTACTGCAAATGTACTATGGGCATTGGATTAGAATGAGTGTCTAAACGTAGACTATTAATAAAACCCATCCATAGTCTTGGACTAATTCGCGAGACGAATCTATTGAGCCTAATTAATCTATGATTAGACTATGTGATGCTACAGTAAACATTCTCTAATTATGGATTAATTAGGCTTAAAAAATTTGTCTTGCAAATTAGCTTTCATTTATGTAATTAGTTTTGTAAGTAGTCTATATTTAATACTCCAAATTAGTGTCTAAATACAGAGACTAAAATTAAGTCCCTGGATCTAAACACCACCTAACTAACTTTTTAACATTTCATTAAATATTTTAAATGTATAGGGTCATCTACAACACCAACTTAATTTCATTAGAAATCAACCATTGAATATATTGAATATTTTTTTATTATACTTATTTTTGGTTGAAAATACTGCTATATTGTTTAACATAAATTTGATTAAACTAAAAAAAAAATCAGTTCGGACAAAAACTAAAACATTTTACAATATGAAACGGTACAATATGAAACGGACAGAGTAATCAAGTTAACAATGCTATGCTAGAAACTTACTAGGGGTGTGTTTAGTTTACGTCAAAATTGGAAGTTTGGTTAAAATTGTAACTATGAAATGGAAAAGTTAAAAGTTTATGTGTGTAAAAAAATTTTAATGTGATAGAAAAGTTGAAAGTTTGAAGAAGAAGTTTGGAACTAAACTCGTTTCTTTTCCTGGAGACAAACAAGAATCTACTTAAGTGCTAACCAGGGTTCACAATTCCGATACCATCTTCCATGTTGGACATTGGCGGTACGGCGGTTTTCGCATGGATGAAACCCATTGAAATTTCAGAGGAGAACCACTGCGGAGCCACGTTGAAACGTCGGTTTTTCACAAAATCCGATTGTATTTCATCAGTTTTATGAACCCTGGTGTATTCCCCGGTGCTAACAGAGCAGATAAGATGTGCAATGCAAAGCAAACCTTTCTCATGCTAGAAGAGATCACGAAGTGTATGACCAGAATGCTTACATAGGGTTTATGATGATCTGCTAGAAGTTGCATATATAGTGTATGACTAGAATGCATATGTAGTACACAAACTTGTGAATGCTCAGGAAAATATTCAGATTTCCTAGAGCTGATGTATCTGCGCCTAACCGTCATCATAAACTCGACATACTGACGTACAAAAGTTTCTTCACTTCTGACTTCTGAGTATATTTACATATCGTCTAAAAAACTACGGAGATCACGTCATGTGATCTGAAACCAGGCACTTCGAGGTGTTGATAGCAGAGTACAGTCTAAAGGATTATAGAGAGATCACAGAGGAGCATTATTGTCTAAGGATGGGGAACCTATCAGGGATAAAATGGCTTGGAGAAAGAGGGGGGGGGGGGGGGGGGATGCAGCAATCTGCACATCGCCACTTCACAAGTTCGCTGCTTGAACTTTCCTTGATCTGCCTACGCCTGGTCGAATGCTTGAGCGATCAACTTGCAAGCAGGTAATATGACTAGATAACTCTTGAATTTTCAGCAATGAGCTAATTGAGGATTCTGGGATTTTTCTCCTTTTGGAAGCGCCTACATGGAAGCCTTTGTTGCATCACTCACCATGCGAGTTAAATCTTGGACAACTTCAGACATTGAGGGCCTAAACTCTGGCTCATGCTGCATAAGAGGAATCAGGTCAGCCACACCGATCCATCTTGGTGTTGATGGTAATATCAAATATCTTACCTGAATACAACTGCTGATAATGTCAACAAAACGCGACAACGCCTTTTCAGAACATTGGCCTCGAATAGAGGGATCTACCATCTTTGATATAGCATCGATATCGTAAAGCTGGGAAGTGGCCCACCGCACCAGGTGTTGCTCAGCACGTGGACGTGAACTGCAGTTCCGTTTCCATGAGAAAAATTAGAAACCATCTTCAAGCAAAACAAGGATACTTAGCTAAGTGGAAGTGGGTCTGGGATATTGTCCTTTTGGAATGTTACCTGTCATAAGGTTTACGCCCTGTAAGAAGTTCCAACATGACAACTCCAAAGCTGTAAACATCACTTCGATCACTTAATAATCCAGATTCATGCACTTCGGGGGCTTCATAATGGAACAAGGTGCGCATACGGCCAGACAACTGACATAAAAAAGAGTACACTATTTATCAATAAAGAAATAGTAACATTCACTCAAAAAGTCAAAAATAAACTAGCAACCTTATTCTGTTGCGATCCAAATTCCAAAGTATATAACTACTGCTAAACATGACAGTATGTGTTTCGGAAACACTAGCAATTCCTAAGCAGATTAAAAGAAGAACAGCTTCACAAGTTAGCAATGTCAATTGACACGGGGGGCGTCTATACTGGAATACAAGGATGGCAATTAAAAAATGAGATTGAGAATAGATCTAGAAAGAAATATTATCTGAAGCCTAAATTTGTTAGCTGCTGTCAGCTAAGCATCCCTGCGAAATATAACAAGATCACTTTTCTATAACAAACTCTTTCATCTCTCCTCGCAAACAAACAAACAAAAGACTCTGTCATCTCAATTGATGCAATGTGATGAAAATGCATAGCAATCAGCAATACCCATTCCTAAATACAATTCTTTCATTTACACTAGCCTTCATTATAATTACAAATGCACAGCTATGCTATAAATACTTAAATAGCAGTGCATGAGGGCATCCGAAATACTGAACATCCAGAGCATCACCAAAGAGTCTGATGCCAAAATATTTTCATTAACATTATTGTACCTGGGATACTGATCTTGATGACAGTGCTGCAAGACCACATTCAGAAATATGCACAACTAAAGTGCTGTTGAGAAGAACAATAGACGGTTCAAAATTTTGGTGTACAATTGGAGGTTGACAACCATCATGAAGATATCTACAAAAAAAAAAATACACATAGCATTTTCACAAATCAATAGAATCACTTCACAAAATTGGGAAGAAAAAAATAGAAAAGTTATAATTTGCTTACTGTAATGCTTTTGCTGCCCCCACAGCGACTTGGAGGCGAGCATTCCATGATAATCCCTTGTTTGAGTCATCAACATAATGAAGTTCATCATGTAGAGTCATCTTGCTACAGTGCTCATATACAAGTAATCTCTGATCAAACTCAGCACAATATCCAACAAGCCCGAGTATGTTAGGATGCGTCAGTTCGGAGATGTTCACAACTAGCTCTAGAAAGGCATCCGCTGGTATTCTTGAGTTAGCAGCATCAATCTTCAAAACTTCCAGTAGCTGATGCAAAGCAAATATCACAGTTCAGAAGTGACGATGGTATAATCAACAAATTCTTGCTAAAGTAACTACTAGAAAATCTGCCCAACAGTTTTGTACCTCTCCATCCGGAAGCTCTGCCAGATATACCTTACCAAACCTGCTATCTCTTATCAAATTTTCTTCGTTGAAACTATTGGTATATTGCTGAAGGGACGCAATAGAGAATGACTTGACGGTAGTAGTTAAATCCAATTTCCCAGCTGAAGGTACTCTTCCCTTTCTAGTACGCACGCTGGGATGTACAGTGACCTTTTCAGTACGCAGTACAGCAGACTGTGGAGGATGCAGTTGTTCATCCACAAAATTATCTTTTTTTTCCATATCAATCACATGCTCTTTTTGTTCCATTGTAACCACCCTAGGAGCAGCTGCCATGTAAGTTCTCATGTTAACTTTGACATACTCAAACTCGCAGAGCAGTAAAATAGCACTTCTGCATGTAATTTAGTTTCGAGTCATTTACCTGACATTGATGAACCTGGCTTCCGCTCTTCCCTTGAATCATAAACTGCATCTGAAGCTGCTGCAAAGAAATATTGGAATGTCAAAATCAAGAGAGGAAGAAAGCAGCTGCCATGCCAATGTTTCTATTAAGCTTTACCATACTAAAACTTGCAGAATAGTGACGAATAAAAAAAGGGCATGTGCACTTTTTTAGGCATAAAATTGTTCACCTGCTGTTGACACATTCAATTTCTGCTCCTCCCTTGTATGAGAAATCACATTTGAAGCTGTCACCGCCCAAGAGATCAGTTTAGTCAATGGGCAAAAAATAAAGTAAAAAAACTGGAAGTCATTTGTTTGCCAAGAGAACAATGACAACCTTTTCCAGCATTATTCTTGAGTTTAACTGGTGGTTCCTTGATGTCTGAAACTTCCTTGATTTTAGGTTCTCCAAGCTTTTGAGGAGACCTTCCTAACTGGTTTTTTGTATACACATCATCTCTTGATTTTCTTTCTTTGTACTTGGATAGACAAAACATCACCATTAGCACGAGAACCACCGCGGATACCACCCCAACAAGAATGTATCCAACAAATTTCATTGCAGAAACATTGTTTTTTCTTGATGGGGCATTCCCTGCTGGTGCAATAGAAGAATTTGAAGGTTCTTTTGTGGGGACATGCCCTGCTGGAGGTGATACTGATGGTAATGGTGTCGGTGCAGCAGGAGGCAATGCTGATGGGGCTATGCTGGTATTGAATGGGTTCCCATCCTTCCTGTGTGGTACATTAGTTTGAATGAACTTTTCTTCTTTCGCTAAACACAAATATGCACATGAAAAACTAGTTGATTCTTAATATTAAAAGAGTATACGAGCAATGGAATTGATTTTTAAACATTAAAGTTAGAGCAACGATCGACAGAAACAACTCAATCAAGGGGAAGTTCCTTACTTAAAATTTGGTATGTTCTCTAGTTTCACAGGCACAGGACCGGAGAAAAGATTGTTTTCTATGTTCCTGTTGAATTAGTCACCACAGAAAACAAGGCGTGAAAAAAGAGAGAGAAATTATCTTTACTGAAATAGCAGGTTTCCTGAACTTCTTGGAGAAAAGAATTAAGTAAAAAAAACTGTAGTTTTGTGTACATACAAATCTTGGAGAGGGAGATCTTGCAGCACATTAAGCAACCCAATTATTTGATTGTTCTGAATATGCCTGTGATCATAGTATAACATTAAGTACTTGACACTAGTGAAAAGTCAACTTGAAAGACAGTGCAATAAACTTCAATACTCACAGGCTAGTCAATGCTGTCAAGTTTCCCATTGAAGGTGGCAAAGGACCAGTCAAGTTGTTGGAAGAAAAATCTCTATTCAAGAAGGTTGATCACTTTGGTAAGAAACTTCACATTGTCAACAAATGCTAGTATAGAATAACACTTAGAGCAAACTTAAACTTGCTCTTACAAATTTGCAAGTCCAGTTAGAGTTGAAAATGCATCTGGTATCTCTCCAGATAAATGATTGTTATTGAGGGACCTGCAAATGCAAGAATTATCACTGAAAGCACTAACTTTATGAAGTCTTGTGAATGTGTAGGCAACAATATACTTACAAGCCTGTCAAAAGCGTAAGTGTCGACAATGTACTTGGAATGCTACCACTTAGCTGGTTACCAGAAAGGAAACTGTAATTGACAAGCAAAACCATAGTAAAAGATTAAAATAACCACATAGATGGTTTGGAAGAGTAACAAAATGATCAAATGGGCATACAAACGCTGCAATGTGATTGGCAGATTATCTGGTATGGTTCCACCGATATTATTGTTGCTAAGATCTCTACATTGGGTAAACCAAGAAGCATTAAGAACCAAGTCAATAACAGTGTCAATTCGAGAGGAAATCACCAATAATCTTAAACTTCACGAATGATCAGCTTACAAGGTGATTAGCGATGTGAAATTCCCCAGTGTGTTACCCAGTTGTCCGCCCAAATTTGCAGCATTGAGAGTTCTACCAGAAATATCACATTGTTCAGATAACCAGATAAACAGGTAATCAAACAAACAACATTAACAAAACGAAAGTGTAATAGCAGATCATACATGGAGGTAATATTTGAGACCACGCATTCAACACCCTGCCAGCCTTCATTGCAGGGGTCGCCACCGTTTGTAATCCATCCAGGCACTGAAGGTGACCCAAGTGCAGTGTACAAGCCATTTATTGCAAACACTGATAAACACAAACAAAGCACAAAAATAAGGTGCCACAGAACACATTTTTGGAGTAAAATGTGATAGTACAAGACAGCTCCGTCATCAAACCATAAATAATCTGGGTCCCTAATGATGTCATCAATTCATGATCATGTACAGCTATGAATTCTGAATCTTTGCAACAGTCAAAACCACCAAAAGGACAGTACATACCATCTTGCTCATAAGTGTAAGACTGCGAGAGCGGCAGCGCGGCGGAGAGCAGCAGCAAGAAGACGGCGGCAGAAGCAATCATGGGCAGGGACTTGCTCTTCACCATGCGAACATCCATGAAGGATCTTCCAATGCGGGCATCACCTGACGAGCACTTCCGAGGAATGATCAAGAAAGTAATCGCCAACTTTGCTTTGATCTCTGAGCGCCCAGCCGAATGATGAATATCTGAGGATTGCAGGTGCAGCCTGGCGTCAGAGAGGAACAGGACAGATAAAGAAGAAGGAAAAAAAAAACAAAGTTGGCTAATGGCAAGCAATGCCAACGCTGGAAGAATCTCGCAACGGAAAGAGGTGCCAAAATTCGGCAAGAAATCCACCACATCAAGAAAAAAAATCCCCTTTTAATCACTCGCAACAGCACAGTCTCCAAAAGAAATCCGTCGAACACGCCAGATATAACCCAAGAACATGTTTATTTTACCTCCAAAAAACAGATTGCAACAGAGAAAAGGGAAGCCAGGAAGCGAGAAGATGCAGAAGAAGACCGAGAACAAAAGAGAGAAAGAAAGAAAGAAAAGAAAGAAGATTATAATCCGATACCTGCAGATTCTTGTCGCCACAGCACCCCTCCTACGACGACCCTATCTTTGCCGCCGCCGCCGCTTTATGGAGACGCTCGCCACCGAAAGCTACTACTACCAGTCCACCACCACCGAGTGCGCCCTCCTTTCTCGCAATCTCCCCCCCCCCCCCCCCCCCCCCCTCGTAATAATGCGTTTAAAACTTCTCACCGAGCCCGGAAGCCTTGGCCGCTAAGGATTTTGCTGCTCTGCTCGGTGGAGAACAACGGAGACGACGGGAGAAAGGGGAGGGAGGAAAGAGACAGATCTACACTAGCCTTGCAATCTCGCAGAGCCGTCGCGCGGCAGGGGATTGGATTGGGGAGATAAGCGAGCGGCGAGTGAGGAGGAGAGTGTGAGAGAGCGTCTGTTACGCTTGTGTGCGCGTAGGCGGAGATGGGGTGGAAGGGGAAAAAGACAAGTGCAGCAAAGCAGCCGCTTTTAAACCTGCTTAGCCAGCGCTAAGAATGAGCAATGATTGTGACAGCACCATTTTTTTTTTCAAAAAAGATTGTGATAGTAGTAGCTCTCTGATTTTTTTTTTAATACGGTATAAGAGCAGGTACAGTAGCAGACTATTAGCCAGCTGTAAACATATTTTAATGAGATAAAAGATGAGAGAAAAAAGTAGTGGGCTACAGATCTGTAGCCAGCTGCAGCACGGACTCCAAGACGTAATATGTGTATGACAAGTGGGACCATATATTAATAGAATAGTAAGCAACTATTATATGAAATGGCTATTAGATCGGCTATAGACGAATTGGAGCCAATAGTGGGCTATACTATTAAACTTGCTCTAAACGAAAGAAAAATAATCTATGTAAGCACTCGTAACACTACACTCTATGAGATTGACGAAGTGACTATGAACGTCTCGTTGTCGACGTTTGCGAATATACACTTTGATTTACAAAGTCACCATGGATATCGTGTCGATAGATACATCGTCTATCGATGAAAAAATAATTAGACGTATATATAATCACGCATGTTAAGTTTAGATCTTGAACCTAAGTGAGTAGATTCTACCAAAAGGAATTAACAAGTTATGGTCACTTCGTAGCTCTCTGATTTTCTTTTTAAAAACAGAGAAGAAATTTCACATGTTTTTTTTCATTTTTTGAGTGGTTTATTTGATTTCCAAAAAAAAAAAAACAAGTGAACTCTCATGTTATAAAGGGGGGCCTAGATTTAGGATCTGTGTGAAGTTCATGGTACAAACAGTCTAACAACTTATAAAATAACTGTCTAACAAGAATGAGGCAATGAAAGTGTGACTATACATCCATGGCTTTTGCTAAAGACGTGGTTACAGATAGCTTTGTTTTTCTTTTTCTTTTACACCCTTTAACCTTACAACCTTGTCCATGTGAAACAATGAAACATGAGTGCGCCTTGCAAAGGCATGTCCACTCCCCCTCAAAAAAAGACATAGTCACAGATAAATTTAGAATTGGTGAATTTGGTTTTGTTACTACTATGCGCTTTGCATAATTACTCTGTAGATCTGTTTTGTGATTGGGCTTTAAATGACAAGAATTGCGATTTATCATGATAGAATCTGTGTAAAAAAAGAAGCATCTCAATTTACTGAGATACCACCATGGGTATAAGAATGATGAACCCTTTGATTTTTGGGACGCTGATGACCATGGATTGGAGACTAAAATGATGTTGAGGAGTCGTCTGGTACAAGACTGCTCCATCCCTCCTATTCCTGTTTCACGGCGGAATCCAAGGAATGCCTTTTGCTGTAGAATTTGTCCCATCCTTTTAGCCCATCGTATGGATAAAATCATGAAAAAAAGGGGTGAACTTTGGTAGTCCTAGAGTTATGATTCCGATCATGTCATCCCAGGATCTAGAGCCCAAAATTTCTGCGTCTACAATAGGCATCGCATCAGATACGCTGCCTCGTGTCGCCTCAGTAATCTGTACTTGTACACTAACAGAAGGACAATACGCAATTTATTATCCATTTTTTCTCCTACTTGCATTGCAGGAGATTGGCATGCCAGCAAGCTGAAGGCTCACACAATCCTCCCGTTTCCATGACTAAGGGTGTGTTCGAGGAGAAGGGGATCGAGGAGATTGGGGAGATACGTAAAACGAGGTGAGCCATTAACTCATGATTAATTGAGTATTAACTATTTTAAATTTCAAAAATGGATTATTATGATTTTTTAAAGCAACTTTCCTATAGAAATTTTTTGCAAAAAACGTACCGTTTAGTAGTTTAAAAAGCGTGCACGCGGAAAACGAGAATCAATCTCCCCTATTATCTCCTCAGAACGAACAGAGCCTAAAGGCCGAAGCTTTTCTCAGTTTCTGGCGGCACACTGGACACTGAGCACCAACCATTATTCCATTAAGCAACTGTTAAACGCAACACTAATTGACTAATCAAGTAATCAACAGCACTAACCGATAACGGCTACTGTAACGTGGTGCCCCTTTTGAAAGGAGTAAACAATTAGTAGGAGCACTAAATAGGGGCCTAAGTAGCCGTTGTAGCTGCCGCCGTGTCAGCCAGTGTCGCCACCAATCTACCTCGAGCTGAGCCTCAGCAACGCATGTCGAAACTGATAAAATAAATCGACAACGACGATGTCCTCACGTGCATGAATGCCTAATTTGGTACTGTTACTAACTGAACATCTTGGTGGTACACCAGCAAAAGAAATCATCCAAGTTGATCTACTAGTGGTACTAATAATAAATTAACTGTCCAAAAGCAAGGCAAATGAAAGTATGAAACGCCTGATCGACAAGAGCGTACGTGTGCAATACGAGCCGAGTAAATGAGGGCACATGAAACGCAGCAAAGAGAGAGAGGCCCACGAGAACGGACAGGTTGGGAACGGAACAGCTGCCGGATTCCTCCTGTCGCCGTCGCCGCCGGCGTCCAGATTCCGCCGCTGATCCGGCAGCTAATGACACACACGCCGCCGGCTCAGCATGATGTTGACGCCGTAGCCACCACAAAAAGGAGAAAAAAAACTCATCATCGGATGAATCGCACAAGTTTTCTCGAGTGGATTTTGCGTTGCATGCATGGGGGGGTGTCGTGGTGGTGGTGGTGGTGGCCATCTCACCATCGTGACAGCGCCGCTTTGTTGTCTGCGCGCGAGGACACCGGGTTGCCACCAAGGCTAGCTGTCACCGTCCACCGGACGGCGACTGCCTGACAAGGCAAGCTTAACGGCTTTTCATCAGTTGCATTGCACTGCTGCAGCCTGTGCGGTCCACATCGCGATCTTGACCGGTTTCAGATAAGTTACTACAATCGCCGTCTTGCCGAAAGGGAGAAACGAGGCCATCCAAGCGAATTCTTCAGGAGAAAAGCGGGTGTGTTTAGTTCGCGAAAAGAAGAATTTTGTAGGTGTCACATTGGATGTTTAACTGGATGTTGGAAATGGTTTTCCGACATGAATGAAAAAACTAATTTCATAACTCGTATGGAAACCGCGAGACAAATTTATTAAGCATAATTAATCTATCATTAGCACACGTGGGTTACTGTAGCACTCATGGGTAATCATGGACTAATTAGACTCAAAAGATTCATCTCGTGATTTCCATGCAAACTGTGTAATTAGTTTTTCTTTTTATCTATATTTAATGCTCTATACATATGTCTAAAAATTCGATGTGATGTTTTTTGGAAAAAAAATTTTGGAAAATAAATGCTTTGATTAGCCTGTTTTTTTTCTCAGCATCAAAGGTCACTGGCAAGCAGGAAGAGGCAGGCACATGGGAACAACCAGGCAGAACAAGAATGGCTTTAACAGCTAGCTTCACATTCCCCGACAGAGTTTCTACAAGATGTGTATAGTCCATCCTTCCCTCCATTGGGGATCTAGCAAAGAAAGGTGTAGGATCGACAGCGAAAACAAAGGCATCTAACACTAGCAGAGCAAGTGGGATCGGTAGCCAACTCCATCGATCCGCCGGCTGCTCGCCCGCCACAATACGGCAGGGGCAGCAGAACTTGCTTTAGAACAAAGATACAAGACCTGTACATATGTGGAGAGAACCTGCCTGAATTCTGCTGGAGAGGCAGGAAATACAGCCAGAGAAGAACAGAAGAATTACTTTGCGGATCGCTGTGATGCAGATGGCATTTAGCATTTGAATGCTACTAGCTCGGATTTGATGAGGAACCAGCAAAAGGAGTGGGCTGGTGTGAGGGCCACTGGACCCTTTCTGGAGGGCAGGGTGCTGGGGCAGGATGAGCGATGAATGTTGGTACATCGTGTCCTGGCATTAAAACTGAGACACCTTTGGCGTAAACAGGTATCTGCGAAACACGTGAGCAAAGTAGTCAATGAGGATGTCCCACTTTCATGATCAATGTATGCACAAACTGGTAATGGAACTTCAAAATACAGAGCATTGGTAATGGAATCGATTTACATTTTTATATACTAGTAATAGAAACGAGTAACAAACATGTATTCCATACCGGAACTTCCCCAGGAACCAGTCAAGTTGAAATTACCAAAACCCAACAGCAAAACTGATGCACATGAAGAAAAACTTTTCATTTTCAGACCATCTAAGAACTCAGGGATTGGAGTGACATAGGGTCATCAAAGTTTCAGATCCGTTTGCAGGATTTAAACTTGATTTTCAGGGCTGTGTGCCGCTGTTGAGTCTCTTTAGTCCTCAGTTGCTTACTGTTTAGTGCTGTAAACTCTCTTTTCTATCTAATGGGAATGACATGCAAAGCTTTCTGCATATTCCCTATAAAGGTAAAGAAAAACCTCCAGGGCTACACTGGAGATCTTTAAGCTGGAAGAAGTTCCACAGATGGCTCCTATGAATGCAGGAACTCCTATAGTTACACAGATGGGTTTTAGTAGTCCGTAACTTTGGAATGATCAGTGCAGGGACTCCCAACTCCCAAGATGCCAGGCCTAGCAGATGACGGTTCTATCATGCAACTATTTTTTAATTGGGTGAAAGATTCACTATAGTTAAATCTAAAAAACAAAGTGCAGAGAGTTTTAATCTGTATAGTAAGTACTCCCTCCGTTTCATAATGTAAGACTTTCTAGCATTGCCCACATACATATAGATGTTAATGAATCTAGTGTCTAGATTCATTAACATCTAAGTGAATGTGAGCAATGCTAGAAAGTCTTACATTGTGAAACGGAGGAAGTAGTCTGCAGTGTAAGTACCACAAGCATACACCACTAAAGAACATAATAGCCTTATAAATCTTATAAGCCAAAACGTAATAAGCCAACATAATAAGCCAAAACGGCTTATTAAAGAATAAAAATGAATTTGTAGGTAAAACTTTTATATATGTGTTCTCGGTGACTTAAAAGCCAACGCTGAAAAAGAAACTACGTTGAAAATATTTCAAAATCAATGTCAAAATTAAGTTTGAAAATTCAAATTTTGGCTTTTTCTTTGGCTGAATAGGCCATCCGATGGGAGCCTACATTTTCCTATAAAATATTTCCATGTCAACAGTTCTGAGTGAATTTTGGAGCCACACTACAGAAGCTGCTAAAAAGAATTCTAGTTTGTATGAAAGCTTGAATCAGTTGTCCATGTTTAAAGCTATCGTGAAAGATTTGGCATCAAGAAAAAGAATATTTAATAGCTGCATGATGTCATTTAACAGGGAACGTTGCTAGTGAAGCCTTGTTGTGATCCACAACTATGAAGCTGATCTAAATATTTCTCGACCGGGTTAGTAAGCAAGTTTTCTAGTACACCCCCCAAAGATCTAACCGATCAAAAATCTCGATCACATGACCACATACTTTCCACTTAAGGCGAAACAGATGCATAATTAAAGTAGTCCAGTGGTAAGTGGCTGGTTTTTACCCCTCCCACCCCGCACCCAAAAAAACCCACCACATATGCATGCACACAAATAAAAATCAATGGTAAAAGATTGTCAGTATTCCTATTTCCTCCACTAGCTTCACACCGTAGTGAGAGAGATGATTTTTAGCAGGTGATCCTTCAAGTATGTGGTGGCTCCTACTGCAGTTACACTAAACAGCTAGATCAGGTAATCTTTTTGTGGAATAGATTGGGTAACAGTTGCTCGGGTAATTTTTTTAATAATACAGTGACAAGAATGATTTATTGGTAGGCTAACAGATTAAATGGCAATAGTGAATTTTTAACATTGGTGATGCCCATTCAATTGTATAGTAAACCTTATCTCTTCCATGGCAATCCTTTGTTATAACAGAGCACACAGGAAGTACTACCTCCATTTTGTAATAAATGACGATATTGACTTTTGGCATAATGTTTGGCCATTCGTCTTATTAAATATAAATACACAAAAAATATGAATCATGCTTAAAGTTTACCTAATGATAAAACAAGTCACAACAAAATAAATGACACATACAAATTTTTTGACTAAGGTGAATGATCAAAAGTGAACGACGTTATCTATTAAAAATGGAGGGAGTAATACACATCTATATTTTGAATAAGTATGGGGATTCGAAACCATGGACTTTTGCAATTCAGTCTAGTGTTCTATCACTACAATACAAGCCAGCCCTCTTCTAACACAGTCCAAATTTAAACATTTCAAATTTGCACTAGCATCTTAATAAGCAGGAAACAAAAAAAATTGTGAATAGAGTAGAAAACAACATGCAGCAGGGCAATCCACTTCAGGGGAGTGATTGCCAACTATGAGTGCACCAATTTCATTATACCTATTGCTCTTTCTACCACTAGACTACCAAAAACAGAAGCATATGCCAGAAGGAAGCCATTATTATAGTTTCCTATGATAGGAAAAAGATCAGCTCAATGTAGACAACACAATGAAGTAACTTAGCATACAGAATAGAGCATAGTCCTAATCACTAGTACTAGTTCATAAGTGTGGATTCTGCACCAGCAAGGAATTCATAAGTGTGGATTCTGCACAAGCAAGGAATGAACTTCAAACTAGCAAAGTTGATGCCAGCAGTTGAACAACAAAGTTTAACGTCCCTAAGAGAAGGAAAGCAATCACTACAAGTCTACAAAATTATATGAAGTATACAATGCACATTTCACATCTAATTGAAGTTACTGAGTGCTTTTGATCCCTATGATGTGGACCATTATAACTCAATCAAATTCTGCTGCTGATCTATCTTAACAAGATGTTCCACAAATGCTAATAATTCTCAAACAGCAATGAATGAGACCTCTGGCTGTGGACAGCTAACATTGCAAGCCAGAGGATGATTCAGACCTTGGGGTGGCTGCAGACAGGGATGGGCCCTTGTCTGCTTGCTGCTGTCTCCCATATTCCCCTCTCAGGTCCATTACGCATGATATTGATAATCTAGCCTCTCTTGAACAATAACGCTTTTAACCCGTTCTTTTCACAACACAACAAACCAACATAGCCTATTGAAAGCAGCAAAACACTTCAGACCCGCCTGGAAGCAATCCTAAGGATTAGGATCCAAATCCCAAGCTTCCAGACAGGATCTTAGATGACAAATCGATACTAATGTACTACAGTAACATTGGGACGAATCCCATATGCAGCTGGTCGGGCTCATCGTACATGACATATGGATATGGCTTGTTGTGATCAGACACGCCGTCCAAACTAATTAATGAGTTGTCTTGGAACAATGCTGCAACACCTATTTCTTCAGAATGACCGTACACCTATGAACGGAATTGGAAAGATCTAACTTAAGCTCTCAAATGCTGCACCTCGCTTTTATATGTGAGGAATCGTCAAATCTTTCAAGATCATCCTAATCGTCAAAAGAGTTTAGAGACTACGAATTCACAACCGATATTCAAGTCAAGAAATCTAAAAATGTCAGGGTTTGACTTCTCACTCCCTGCTTCTGCTTCTTCCTAGTGAGAGAGTGGAAGATGTGGAAGGAAGGTGGCGGGACAAGTTTCGCAACCGGGTCATCAAATGAGCAGACACAATGCGTGAAAAGGCAATACGATGCGATGCGAAAAGCGAAAGCTGCGAAAAGGGCGAGATGACGGAATCATTAAAGCGATGGATGGGAAGGGGGGGAGAGCGTGCGGGAGCAGTGCGCCGGTGCGGCCATACCTCGGGGGACGCGCCGCCGTCGAGCTTCCTGGCCGCCTCGAGATCCGAGCCGCCAGGGAAGGCGGCCTCGCCGGCGCCGCGGCGGTGGAGGAGTAGGCGGAGGCGAGAGAGGATCCCTCCCGGCGGCGGCGGGTGCGGGGGCGGCGGCCCCATCCCAGCGTGGCCGCGGTGGGCCGGGGAGCGGAGGAAGTGCTCGAGGATGGCCATGGCGAGGAACATGGAGACGAGGATGGCGGTGGCCACGAACCCGAACGACACCGCGCTGACGCCGCTGTCCAGCTGCCGCCACCGCATCTCCTCCTGCGCCGCCAGCGCCGCTGCCGACCCCACCACCACCGTCCCCGGCCCCGACCCCGTCCCCGCCGCCGGAGCCATCGCCGGCCCGCGCTCCATGCCCGCACCTCCCACCTCTCCTCCCTCCCCACCACCACCGATCCCACCTGCCTCACGCCAACCCACCGGCCGCCATTGCCGACCTCTCGGCGGCCCGCCCTCTCCTCCAACGCAGGCACCGCACTGCGCCGCGCCGCCGCCGCCGCCGCCGACGAGTGGAGGTGATGCAGGAGGAGTGGAGGAGACGAACTGGGAGGAGAGGAGGGGGTGGTCAGTGGTGGTGTCACGCCGTCACACGGCCTACGCGCGACTAGTAGGTCCTTGTCTGCAGCGTGACGAGAGACGGGGCCCGGGGGGGCGCTAGTACACACACGAGGAGCAGGGGTAGAACGGGCATTTCCACCGTGACGGGGCGCGCGTGGCGTTCTCCTCTCGCGAGAAGCGGCTCGGTGCGGTTTCCGCCTTCCCATACTGCCCCCGGCTCGGGCGTGCGTCGGACGTGTGGTTCCAAAGCTTTTATTCAACGCTTCAAAGAACGCTTTAAAGCCAAGTGCCAACGCCGAAATTTTTCCATCTCTTGCAACTGTATGGAAGTAAGAGTATTATCAATTTTTTGTGTTCGAAAATCTTAGTTTTGAATCATCTCCTAATTATGTTTAGCTAAGCTTTATTTTTTTCCAGGATGATGATCAGAGCAAGGTTCTCCTACTGACACTTGTTGCTTCCGCAAGGCAGAGAGACACGCCATGTGTGATGCGTCCTTGACTGGTCGATCACTCGGGTTGCTGGCTCGATGCACGGCGTGGACAAGTGCAATCTTGGGCGGGCTCGAGGACGACACAAGTAGGAAGCAGGTCAAAGGTCCCAGCATTTCCAAGGAGTACCCATCAGAAAACATGCGAGTACTAGTATTTCGCTTATTTTAGGACGTACTCCATTCATCTACTAGTACTAAAATTCAGTCACCTGCCCATGCATGCTCAGTGACTTAGGGGGTGTTTGGGAGAGAGGGGCTAAACTTTAGCCCCTCTCTCAAAACCATAAGTCTCTATGAGAGGGACTTATGGTTTTGAGAGAGGGGCTAAAGTTTAGCCCCTCTCTCCCAAACACCCCCTTACACAGTACTACAGCATTGCTTATTTCTATTATTGTACAGTACGAGTACGTTCTAACAGATATGGGCTATTTCCTCGATCTTGTGCTCATTTACACCGAAAATGGTTACCTACATCTAGAAATGGAGAGAGTAGTAAACAGAAAGTATAGATACGGCCGTTCCTACCGAGAAGTACTCTTCCTCGTTGCTCCTGAATACTGTAGTTTAAAAGAGACTAGAATATATATGGGGTTGTTTGGTTCACTACCACAATTTGCCTCATCATGCCACAACTCAAGTTAGCCATGTTTGAATTAGTCATTCATTTGGTTGGTGCCATACGTTTAGCAAGATTCATTCACCATGATGTGGGTCCCACATATCATTGGCATATAAAAGTGTGGCAAGTTTATTCTCCTATGACTGAAGTGTGGCTTTAATTTTATTGGCCACATGTTAGACATATTAGCTAAATGAAGTATAGCAAGTTTTAGTAATGTGAGTATGCCAACCAATCAACCCCATAGTCCCAACAAACACATGCCTTGTTCGGAGTACTCGCAAGTCGTAACAGCTGGAGCTCGGACGGAGGCAGGGCTCGAGGAAGCTAGGTAGCATATCAGCTAAGAGCTTTTGTCCGTTTCTGCTTGTTACCGTCACGACATAGCACGGTTCCGGATGATCGAGGTCAACAAAGCAATCAATGATGGGCCACCTATTCGTTGTCAAGACAAATGTTAGTGCCCTTTGCATTGGCCGTCCTCGTTCACCGAACGCAATCACAGCGTACTAATCTTGCTACTAAACTATTCACATACGAGCTACCACTACATTAGTACTTATCCAAAACAATTATTGAAACAGTAAGTACTACTACAGTCACTACTAGTACGCTAGCTTCGTGCCATCTTAAACGTATCTTTGCGTGCAAGCTAACTTCCCTCGAGTGGTACGGTGCCACCACCATTCTTATAGCGCTGCGCGGCCAAAACAATAATCAGGTCGCGTTGATCTAACTTAACCTATCAACGAGAAGAAACTGAAGTCGTCGTCATCATCCGAATGAAAAAAACCGCTCGTGCCGATCGAGCAGTAGTAGTACTAGTAGTTTAAGGGAGGCGGCATGCAGGACGGGGAGCACCCCTCGTGCCCCGATCAGCGCCACCGCTCCATGAATCCCGCGCTGTCGAGAGCACCTAACACACGCAGCATACCCCAACGACGACGCTGTCAATGCGCGCGAGGTCATAGCTAGCGTGCGCCGAATACTACTGTGGTCCGTGGGTGGTAGTGTGACTGATGAAACCGTCCTGGATTTTACGCAAGTTATGGTCGATACTAGTACTAGCAAAGCGCGCGCTACGTGAGCAACCTCGGCGAGACGGCGCGGTGGACAGAGGGGCGGGTGGGGGCAAGCCGGCAAGGCGAGGTGGCAGCTGCAACCGCAAGGCGGTTTGATGGAAACGGTTTCTTTGGGGCCGTGCGGTGCGGGAGCGGAGCGGTGTGAGGTGTTGGCACTTGGTCTGGGGCTCGGGGATGTGGCGGCGGGCCGGCGGCGGCGTCCAGCGTGGCGCGAACGTGACCGTGTCGCGTACGTGAGCGTGCGGTGCCGGGTGGGCTGCTCGGATGCTGGTTGGAATAGGATTGCGGGATGATGGCATGTCTGCGGGTTGCGGCTGTACGCTCGTGCGGTGATCATGACATGCGTGCATGTCAATAGATCTCTCCAGCTACTTCCGTGGTCTGAGTTATTTCAGTCTTTAATTTAGCTACAGCACCTAGCAGTAATATTATTTAAGAGAGGGATGATTGTGACTACATCACCTGCCGATCATTAAGCATTTACACCGTGAGTCTTTTTTAAGAGAAAAAATACACTTCGATTTTTTAGTGGAAAGTACACTGAATCTGGGTATGGCAGTATATGTGTGTGTGCTTTCTTTTGGGATAGAGTCTGAAAACCTGTGATTAATGCAGTCCTATTACCATCTCAGGCCTCGTTGACGTAACAGGGCCGCAAAAGGCATTTCAGCCTTGTCTCTTTACGGGACAGTATTGGGCTTTGGGCTCTTGTATCGTCCCTGGGCCGTTCACCGCTGGCCCAAAACTAGGCGGTTCGGAACCGGATCACAGCTCACTGGCTGGGGATAGACGAGACGGCGACCACGACGATGACGATGACGACGACGACGGCGACGGCAGCAACGGCATCCCCACCACCACCCCCATCTCCGGTTCCTCCCCTCCCCGCGTCTCAACCCACCGGAAATCCATTCAAAAGCACCCGCGCTCCCGCACCAATCCACCGCACGCCATGGCGTCGCGAGCGGCGGCCGCGATGGTGCTCGCCGGTGCCCTTCCTGTGTTTCCCGGCCGTCCCCTGGTCGCAGCCGGCGCCAGGTGCTGCGACGGCGGCATTCGCGGGAGGGTCTCCTGCTCCTCCCACCGTCGCTCGGACCATCCCTCCTGCGCGGCTGAGGTGAGCACGCGCTGGTTGCTGGTCTCTCCTCATCCAAATGGCTTCCAAAGCTGTAGCGTTCGCTTCAGTTTAATCGTGTGGTTGTCTGGTTTGGTGCAGGAGGGAGGAGTGGTGGAGCTGCTCAAGGGCGCGGTCGCGGCGCTCGCCGTCATCGCCCAGATTTCCGTGTCGCTCCCGGCGGACGCGATCCTCTACTCGCCGGACACGAACGTGCCGAGGACGGGGGAGCTGGCGCTGAGGAGGGCCATCCCCGCGAACCCAAACATGAAGACCATACAGGTAAACTGCATCAGAATCGGCGGCGATGCATATCGCTTAGTACGGTTGGCTGGGCGTTGTTCTTAGATTGTGCGAGCCCATTTGCCAGGAATCGCTGGAGGACATTTCGTATTTGCTGAGGATACCGCAGAGGAAGCCGTATGGCTCCATGGAAGGAGACGTAAAAAAGGCCATGAAGGTAATAAGTTGACTCTGTGTCTTCTTCATAAGCATTTTTCTAGCAACAATGTTTTGCTTCTTCTATGCATTGTGAACTTCTTATTGAACTTGCTGAGCTGTTGTCCTGAATGCTGATATATAGAACAAATGCGCTCTGGATGCAGATAGCAATGGACAACAAGGATGCGATCTTGGCAAGTATACCTGTAGAACTCAAGGAAAAGGGCTCGAAGTTATATACCTCCTTGCTTGAAGAGAAGGTCAGTAGGTTCTAGGATGTGCTCATGGTGAATTGCAGTTTATGAAACAGATCAAATTCTGGTTTTCACTTGTACTTATTTATAAATTATACCTGAGCTACTTTGGAATCAACTGCAGGGTGGTTTGCAAACTCTCTTGAAATATATAAAGGAAAATGATCCTGACAGACTTTCGGTTGCACTTGCTTCTTCTCTTGATACTGTTGCTGAATTGGAGCTGTTACAGGTAACTGTACTAAACTGAATAGAAGTTTCATTATGTTTAAAGGAGGATGATTATACTCCGGCGATGATCGGATTACTTAAAGGGGGAAATTTCTTTCAACAGGCTCCAGGTTTATCCTTCCTCTTACCACAACAATATTTGGAATATCCAAGGTAACTTTTGTTGATCTCTCCAAAGCTTAAAATCTAAATGTTTCTTTGTCTCTAGAATTATTGTGAGGGAAGGGCAGAGATAGGTCCGAAGATTGAAGGTGACATTTGATTATACTGAGTTACTGACATGCATGGTTCTATGTCCTGCAAACAAGTATAAGCTCTATGTCAGTATAAGTTTTAAGATAACCAGGTCTCTGCCCCCAAGTTCTTGATGGTAATAATCAAAGCTGCCGCTATTAGTAGGTTTTCAAAATGAATTCAATAGAAAACTTACCAGTTTTTCCATTGTTGCAAATTAATTGGTTTTGACAAACTTGCCATTTTATCATATTTGCAAACTCACTATTTATTGCTGGTGTCACCCTTCATATATTTCATGGAGTAGAAACTGTCGAATAAAAAGTACTTTCTAGTTAATTCCAAGTGGGAACTTATTTTTATTTATAACATATATCATCACATAGTATTATAAAATCATTAAGGCCAGATTGGTACAGGGTGGCAAGAAAACCTCACAAGCATTTTTCTTTTCGAACTCTTGAGGAATGGTGAATTTTTCTTGGGTTCTGATTGGCTGATCGCTTCAGCAGCAATGTCGGTAAATTTGAGCGCATGTTTTTAGTTTACTTAGTCGTCCTTTAGGTCCCCTGTTTTTCTTCTGTTTTGGGTCTTTGGGGTCGGTGAAGTATGGGCCCAGGTTGTTGTCCAAGTTGTCCATTTTAGGTGCGCACTTTTGCGCCAGAGCGAGTCGTGTCCTTGTCGCGCCCGGCACATTCTGATCATGTGGGATGGCACACGACACGGTGGAACGTGTCATGTGCATGAAGGCCTCAATGGAAACTACTTTGGGCCTCCTGTAATCCGTATAAACAACAGTGGAGAAAACTGAGAAAAGCTACAGTGAGATTGCGCAGCGCCAAATTCATTCGCGTCTCTGTTCTTTGTTCTTGTGAGTGTTCCTTCAATCCCAGGGGGATCGCTGACAAGCAATACACTCAGTATGTGTAGCTGATTAGCAGATTATGTAAGGTGGTGTTTGGATGGGAGGGGGACTAAAATAAGTCCCTCCCATCCCAAACAGGCCCTAAGTGTAATGGTGCTTTGAACATTCCATCCCTGTGGCACTTATATTAAGCATGCAATCATTCCTCCAGTCTGTAACGAAATGTTCATTTGTACATTTAATTTAAACAGCTCGCTTTTAATAGGCTAGCAGGAAGAGGAGTTGTTGAATTCTCAGTGGAGAAAGGTGATGGTTCAACATTCTTTCCAACTGCTGGTGGTGAACCAAAAAGTGTTGCTACAATTCAGGTGGCTTTGAATGGCTGTGTAATTGTCTGGTATCATAAACTGCAGTCTTTTGACATTGAGAAATAAGAACCTTATCCTTGGTTGTTATCTTTTGTCATACCATGGTGTGCAAGAGTATGGTTCTGTATACAGTTGCAGTTATAAAATTCCACGTGTCAGCTATTGATTTCTTTACTAATTTCCAGGTAGTGATTGATGGATATTCTGCCCCACTGACTGCTGGAAACTTTGCGAAATTGGTAAGGTAGCTTAACTCCAACCTCATCTCACTATTGATTATTTCCTGCCAATAGCTCTGCCTTCTGACATATATGATAAAGATCATCGAAATGATTGTGTTCATCGACATAACATCTTCGAGAACATCAATTTAAGATTTCATGTTTCTGCGATGTGCTAAAAAAATTTCCTTTACTAGCTCTTGATTTTCTTTTCAGTAGTTAGGTTACATCATCTGATCCAATGAAATGAACTTTTCTTCAGGTGTTGGATGGGGCATATGATGGGATAAAACTGAAATGTGCAAGTCAGGCAATTATTGCAGACAACGAGAATGGAAAGAAAGGTTACACTGTTCCATTAGAGGTCATGCCTGCTGGGCAGTTTGAACCGTTATACAGAACTCCGCTAAGTATTCAGGTCAGTATTCCACACTGTTAGGTCTGTTCTGAAGGGGTATTTGGATCTAAATCATCAATCAAAATCCTTACGATTTAGTTCAAACTGGAAGTGTATGTAAAAAGGATATTAAAGAAAGCCCACTCATCTGGACTACCCTGTAAATGCCAGTGAAATCTGAGAGTTACCGTCTTTCGTAAGTCATAACCCAGTTCCTTTGTTACTTGATCCAATACAGGATGGAGAATTGCCAGTCCTTCCGATGTCTGTATATGGTGCCGTTGCTATGGCCCATAGTGTGGATTCTGATGAATACTCGTCACCAAGCCAATTCTTCTTCTATCTGTATGACAAGAGAAATGTGAGTAAATGGATATATCTTTAGAACTAGACATATTCGCTAGCACAGTATTTTAAATTCAGATTGCATAAGTGCATGTACCTCAACAGTGCACCCGTCTACCTCTTGTGTTGTGAACCATATTTCTGAATGCTTCTGCTTTTCTAGACCCATAGCGTGCCCTATGTATAAGAACTAATTGCGTAAATATTTTAATTTGTGATTATTTTCCTTTATCTTGTGCAGTCTGGTTTAGGAGGAATATCTTTTGATGAAGGGCAATTCTCAGTATTCGGGTAAGTAGTGATTGCCATTACAGAACTGTGACCACTAGACAGCAAACTTGGTTTATTTTGTGGATTAACAACAGAGAACTGTGTCGATCAAACATCTGCAGGTATACCACAGATGGAAGAGAAGTTCTGTCGCAGATTAAAACTGGAGATATAATTCGTTCTGCCAAGCTTGTACAAGGTAGAGAGCGCCTTGTACTGCCTCCAGAAGCGCCGGCAGAGAGCTGATACAACGGCAAGCTTCGCAAACTGGAAACATTCTTTCATTGGTCAGGAGACTTAGCATATTTTATACCATAAATCATGTAAACCTGACTGAGCAGTTCATCAAATTTATATATAGAATCACTGCAAATGTTCATCAAATTTATATATAGAATCACTGCAAATTTGCACATTTAATCATTCTTTTTGTGCATTTGCTACTTCACAATAATCTGAATAGAGTGGAGTGAATCCTGGATACTAATCTTGTATTGTCAGGAAGCTGCCCTCCTCCCTCGGCGTGCATCTCTCGTTGAGCCACGCGAGAATGTCAGCGCGGACGCGCTCGATGTTCTCGTCAGGCTCCCCGAAGAGCATGGAGTGCATCATCCCGTCGTATATCTTGATGGTCTTGTCCTTGCTGGCGGCGGCGTCGTACAGCGCGCGGCTGATGTCCGGGTCGGTCACCTCGTCGGCGCTGCCGTGCACGACGAGGAACGGGACGGTGACTTCGCCGAGGCGGGCGCCGAGCTCGTCGGTGGCGCGCAGCAGCTCGACGACGGTGCCGAGCCTCGGCCGGCCGCTATAGCGCATGGGGTTGCGCGCGGCGATGAGGCGCTTGGCCGGCACCTTGACGGACTTCTCGATGAGGTCGGCGGTGGGGACGATGGCGAGCGTGGGCGCGAAGCGGGCGACGAAGGTGAGGATCTGCGGCAGCGGCCATGGCGGGCGGATCCGGTCGGAGATCTTGCACATGGGCGCCACCAGCACGGCGCCGGCCCACTCCTCCGGCGGCGTGCGGAGGTGGATGAGGAGGCAGATGGCCCCGCCCATGGACTCCCCGAACAGGAAGCACGGCAGCCCGGCGTGCTCCTCCCGCCGCCGGACGGAGCGGAAGAAGGCGAGCAGGTCGGCGATGGCGGAATCGAGGTCGGGGACGAACGCGCGGAGGCCGTGGGAGCGGCCATGGCCGGGGAGGTCGGCGGCGAAGCAGGCGAAGCCGGAGCGGGCGAGGAAGACGGCCGTGGACTGGAACGTCCAGCTGATGTCGTTGCCGTAGCCGTGCACCATGAACACGAGCGCCCGCGGCGCGCCGTCGCCACGGGGCCGCCACGCCCGCGTGAAGAGGCGGCGCCCGCCCGGCGGGGTGAAGTAGGACGACTCGCCATCCGCGCCGTGCGCCGCGTAGTACTCAGCCTCCGTCGCCGGCTGCTCGCCCCAGAAGTTCACATCCGGGGCCTCCTCATGCCGCTCGCCGTCCGGCATGGTGGGGAATCGGTTGGGCCGGTGCGTGGCGTGCGGATGGGGAACAGGTGGTGGTGGTGGTGGCCGGAGAGTTGGGGAGTCGTTGCGTAGCAGCAGGGGAGTTTACGATTCGTTTCGTTCGGCGTTTCGGTTTTGGGGTTGGGTGGAACTGCTCGTGCCTCCGGTCTAACAGGCCCGTTAATGCGATAGCGAAATTATCGACAATGTTGGGCTTTCTGAAAAGAGAGCACTGTTACACGGACTAAAATTTTCAAACTAAACTTTTACTGACAAATCTTCTCAACTGTTTGATTTAGATAGATGAAAGTTATAAAAAAAATCTAGATACTCATAGCACGACGAATTAGTGTTAGTAAGAATTTATAGTAAAAAAATTGAAAAATACATTAATATGATTTTTAAAGCAATTTTCCTATAAAATTATTTGTAAAATACACATTATAAATAATATGTGCATGAAAAACGAGAGAATAGAAGTTGGGAGAATATATATATATAAATATATATAAATATATAATACAATCCTTAAAATCTGAATAAGAATGTAGGCTGTATGAGGAGAGCTGGAGGCTCTAAGATGAGCTGCTTATAAACTTCCAATATAGGGGTCTTGGTTTGAATTGGAGCCAATTTAACTTTTTTTCAAAACAAATTTGGAACCAAAATTTAGGGGCTGTTCAGATTGATGATATTTTCAACCATACCATTTTTTTTTCAAAGTTGCTAAAAATGTGCCTTCATTTAGGTTTTTTTGCTAAACTTTGATAAACACATAATAAATCATATTAAAATTTTGGTAATATTGCCATCCTATCAAAATATCACTTTTCACCAGAGTCATTCTTTGGACCGCTAAGTTTACCGAAAACCTGAGCCGTATGGCCCACATACCAACCCTTTTGTTTGTACCGGCGAATCCTGCTGTCATGGGCCTCAGCTCTCATGGGCCATCTACTCTCTTTACTCCTTTTCAACTCGAAGAAGGGGACCACCTATACATTTGTCGACAAATTTTCTCCTAAAAATTTGACAGATGTAATTACAGTATAATCGTAATGTAATTACACTGTAACTTGTATGTAATTACACTGTAACTTGCATGTAACTACAGTGTAACTTTTATGTAAGTTTCACGTAATTTTAAATTATTAGATCTATTATAAAGATTTGTTTTGGTGAGGAAGAAAAAAAATCACAGTACACACATATCTGAAAAAAAATTGTTCCCACAACCTTTATTTTACCAAAATAATATGTTATGGAGAGATTTTTTGAAAGTTACATACAAGTTATATTATAGTTACAGTGTAATTACATGCAAATTACAGTGTAATTACATTACGGTTGTACTGTAATTACATCTGTCAAATTTTTAGGGGAAAATTTGTCGACAAATATATAGCAAAATTGCGAAGAAATTAAGCCGGTGAAAAGGCGTCCGATCCGATGACGGACCGTCCGATGAGTACAACATGGAGTATGCGGTACGTAGCCTAGCTGCCTTCATTCTGTACTTGCATGGTCCTGCCTCCAATGCACACTTGCACAGTGTTTTGGATATACCGTCCTGCCTGCACGATGAATACACACAGACGTATAGCTTCCAATTGCATCTTAATTTAGTACGTGAACAGTAATTACTTTACCGAGCTCTTGCATAATCACTCACCAATTAATACATTATTACGAGTTCAAAGCTAACAAAAGCACGCGATCGATCAAGCCAAACATCTGAATGCATCCTACGCATCCACACACAATTGAAAAACTAAACGACTCCACTACGGCAGCCGTGCACCGACGGGGACACGTGGGATCACACACATTATTACTCCGGCAAACCGCCGCCTAGCTAGCTAGCTCGGCGACGACGGCGAGCCGGCGGGTGATTCAGGGAGAAGACGAGCCGGGCTGGAAGGGGTTGGGCACCTCGAAGCCGGGGTTGGGGACCCATGTGTCGTCGGCGCCGGGGAGGAACTGCCCGTGCTCGGCTGCCGGGACGCTGTGGTCGACTCCGGTGATGTCCGGCACGTAGGTGCTGCCGAGCTCGAACCGCCCGAGCCCAGGGATCAACACCGTCCCCTCGTGGAACGTCTCCGGCTGCTTCACGTCCGCCGCCGCCACCGGCGCAGCCGTCTTCTTCTCCTCCGCCGGGACGCTGCGCGCCGCCGCCGTAGTGGAGCACGCCGCCGCGGCCACCACCAGGACCGTGAGGACGAGCAGCGACGACGATGACCTGGCCATGCCTATATCACAATGATCGCGACGGGAGCTAGATCACAAGACAAGAGAGAGGGAGATGGCTTGTGATGCCGACGGTCGCTCGCTGCGATGGATGCTGATGTGTGTGGGAAGTTGGTGACGCCGCGGCGACCTTATATAGACCACGTCAACGCAACGCGCATGCACGTACGTACGGGACGGGGCAGTTCGGTGATTCGATCGGCCGGGGAGAGAAACCGAGAGGGAAAAGGCGGCGCGTTTAATTCCTGGATCGCACGGTGCGCGAGCTGCCGTGCGCGACAACACGATACCCCTCGGCTTGGCGCGGTTTGTTACCACCGCGCGCGACGTCTCACTGACAAGGCGGGGGAGCGTGCGTGCATGCGTCGCGCGTGTGGTTGTCGTCGTCGGGGTACTACTGACTCCTACTACGTATAGCTAGGCCGGTTACCCACTCGATGGGGATGGATGGAACCATGGGAGATTTGGGAGGGGCCCTCGATCGCGCGCTGCCAAGTTATTCAGCTGGCAGTTATGCCGGCCAGGGGGTTCTTCCAACTACCCTGGCATGCGCGTTATAGCGCCGGCGCCGGCCGGCCGCGATCATGGCATGGAGCGGCCAATTATTTCCTCGAGGCTCCATTGTCTCGAGATAGATCTCTTACTTGCGAATCCTGTCTAGCTACTGTCATCTACTGCTAGCTGATTAATTAGTACTGTAGTATAAGAGCAGGGATAATAGAGGAGCCTGCTATGGGCTTATGCAAGATGTTATAGCCAGTGCATATAATAGCATGCTCTGTACACATACTCTACTACAAATAAATAAGTATTTTTATATGTTTGGTGGGACCGACATGTCAAATACCTTCTTTCTCTTGATATGGGTCCAAACTGTCAGCACGTCTAGGCGCTCGTGCCTAGCGGGCGGCTGCAGAAGCGCCGGCTTCCTTCTCTCACATCGCTTTTTCTCTTCCACGTCAGCTCGAGACATCATCTGCTGGCTAATCGTCTACTTATTAGACTTGCTCTAACAAGGCTGGTGTTTACTTGACACGCTGTCACACGAAACGTACTAAATGTTTTCCCGTTGAACGTTGAATGGATCGGAATCGGGATGATGCAAAACAGAATCAAGGCCATTTTGGGAACTTAATTAAGATTCTAAGGAACAACTTATAATTAGTAGATACTGATAATTTGAAAAAACTGGGTTTCTTACCTTCTGATTTCTTATTTATTTTCTAGATTCCACAATTACGTATACTCAGAATTTTAGGTGAAAAATCTAAACTATTTAAGGTAACAGAAGATTTTGTAAGAAGCTGCAATTTCATATGACTTAAATCGCTACTTGCAACCGTTGAGGTTTGGAAAAGGCAAAATAATAGTATAAGTGATAGGTCTGCATTTGTTTTCTCGGCTATATATGTTCCTGGTCTGATTTTGGTCACTAACTACGAAACAGCTCACCATGGGTAACCCGGCTCTTAAAAAACAATCCTAGGAATATTAGGCTACTATAAAAAAGAATTGTTTTTTTTCAAAAAGCCTGCACTATTAATTGTTCCATCAAAATCCGCATGAATTGATAATTTGATATAGACACTAGTGCTAGTTCTTCACAACAGAGATGTTGATTGATCAACAAATTAATTTGGGCCAATTTATTTGTCGGAAAAGAAAAAACTTATTAAGGTACTATGATATGTTGGCTCCAAATTGTCCCTTTTGGCCGGTTGGACATGAAACAAGCTAAACACTAGAGTAGTCTAGACGCAGCTTCCAACTAATTTTGGTGGCTTGGTACTAGGACATGCCACTAATGATTGTGCCATTGATTAATCCATGCCGGAGAGAGCTTAATTATGCATGATCGATCTTGCCCCCCATTTAATTGGTACACATACGTCTTTTTCAATTGTTAGACCACTAGTTAACATGTATACAGATACTCACATGCATATTCTACACTTGCACTACCTCAATCTTGATCTGGCACGCATAATGGACTGCTGGGTTTTCCTTTAGAACAATCATGGCCTGTTCGATTCGATGCTAATTAAGCGCACTGTTGGATTATAAAAGTTTTAAAACTATATATACTTTGAGTAATTTGCTACAAAATTAAAAATCTAAATCGATGTATAAAAAATTAGCATGCATCAAATCTACTATCAAACATGTAGTTTTACAATACAATATTTTAAATATGTAATTTTATAGTAGTTGGATCAAAACATCTATAGTTTTGTGAAATCTACTCAATTATTTTCGTTGGTGTGAGCACTTCCCGCATCGTCCACGTGCAGGCAACACTGGGCGAAATCCTAGCTGCCGCCCGCTCCTTCCCTCTCCGCCACGTCGCCGTCGGAGCACACTACTAGAAAAGCCGAGTGACATGCTGAGAAGGCGATGGTGGGGCCAAAACCCAGCTAGGCTCGGTCTCCGGCGTGGGGGAAAAGAGCGAAACCGGCAGCGGCTACACACCTCGGTGAGCGCGGCAACGGATTCGACGCTAACTCCACCGGATCTAGTCCCCCGCAACTGGATTCCCCCCTCTCACAGACGTCGAATTTAGCGGGGGCTGCAATTAACACTACGGGGCAAACGACAGCGTGGCGCGGGAGGGCTGGCACAGCCGATGATGGCAGGAGGCTGGCACGGCGCAAGCAGATGTGATGTGACTCCAACATGGTGATAGTGGTGGGATCGGAGCGGCAAGGCGCGACCGGGGGAAAAAGAGGTCACGGCTCGTGGCAGGCAGTGTTGGCGGCGACAAGGAGCAACTTGATAAGGCGATAGCAATGCAGACGGGTGGATTGAGAGTGGGCAGTCCAGCCGAGGTGGCGGCAACGATGGTGCCCTGATGTGGGCGTGTAGTCCTGCCATGGGCTCCGATCTACACACTAGTCGTCTTGCGGTGGCGCCTTGCCGCCACAAGATGGACACGTTGGCGGGCTAGTGTTGGGTAGAGGGGATCCGTTCTTATCTCTCACCCTCTCGTTTAGCTCAACTACATGGATGGTTTTGGAGCGCGTCAGATGTTAGAACTCCTACTTGATGGGCGACTGGTGGGGAGGCGCTAGCGCGGGGCTACTTGTTGAAAGGTTTACAGTTGGTGATGGCTTCTTTTTCCAGGAGGAGACCTCGGTAAGGGTTGGCAGAAAAATAACAGGCGAAAACCCGACTTCTTTGTGTGGGCAACGGCCACGCTTGTGGGCATCGTTTTCTCTTGGGGTGTTGTTGTTTGATTTTTCCTACCCTCCCTGATGGATTTCTTAGAGTGAAAACCATGTCCTAGGTCTCGGGGTGAGCAGCAACGATAATCTCAAGTGTCATATTCTTCTTGAAGACGTTATGTAGAGATCCATTCTCTTTGAGATGTCGTGTCCCTCTGTTTTCAGTAGAGGGTTCTAATCATAGATGTGTCGTGTGGTTGTCTTTTTGTTTTTTTAGCTATAAGCTTACAGTTATAGTATAATTTTTATGAGGGTTGTTTAAAGAAAACTATTTTCGCTGGCACCATCATTCTCTTACTCATGAATTAATTATGATGATTGATGATGGCCACGCTGTGAACACAAACACGCAATGCACAGGACGATATGGTGCAGCTATAATTACAAGTGATTGATTGAACGGTAATTATATATTTAAGTACACCGTAACGGAGAGACAGCCACGACCAGTTGCTCATTTCCATCATTTTGACGAGGACGTAACTAGAAAACGAGATGTGCAACAAGAAACGCGGCCATGTCATGATCAATGGAGGTGGGTTTCTGTACCGTAATTGCGCTGCTCGCTGGCCCGTGCCATATGCCTCCCCGAATCGGGTGGAGAACTGGAGGAAAGACTAGAAAAATTCAGAGCTAGAGTTCAGTACATCAGTACAAGATCAGCTTGAAAATCGCAATGCTACAAGCTGCAATTCCCTGTAGCAGATAGATCGAAGTGCATGTGAAGTTTTGTGATCTTCTGGACCAGTACGGCACAGTCTCACGGCGGTGTATGACTGTGGGTTACCTTCCCGGCGGTGCGGAATTTAGTGCGAGCTAGGGACCAATCCTTGTAGACTACTTGTTGGATTTCGTTGGTTTTGTGATTTGTCCTCGTTGTAGTCGTCCTTTGGAACTAGTCCCACACAGGACTCTGTAACGGGAGATGTTTAATTTGTCCCCGCCGTTTTACCCGGTACATGTTACATGTAGCAACCATTTCTCGTAGTAAAATGGCGAGAGAGATTAGAGCCAATTTTGTTCCTTGATTGCAGATCGAGTATATTTCCGGCCTATGTATTGCTTGGCATTATTTTTTTAGAAACATGGATGATAATATTAAATATAACTATATAAGAGACTGTTTACTGTTAGCATGTGTTTGGTTTGGAAACAAGGTGATATGGTTTGGACTCATCCGTGTTTTTAGGATGGGATGATCCGATCTATCTATTTAGCATAAGGGATCAGATGATCCTACTTTTAAAGGAATAACTCACAGATCAGCGAGACAGCGATAGAAAAAAGTGGGTTGGATTGGTCAGCCAGTTTTTTTATGGACTATCCCAATATAGATCCTATGGGAATATTCTCTGTTAGGGACCATCTATCTCGCCTGTGCTCAAACCAAACACACCGAAAAATACGTTCAACCCAACCCAACCCATCCCAACCCTTAAACCAAACGCATGCTAGTGTCATGGATATAGGATATTGGAAATATTTATGTATTAACATTGGTGGAACTCACCATATACCAAATCTTATATGGAATAAAATCGTTCCGGATAAGTAAAGAGAAACAGAGTCTAACTTAGACACTACAAGGTTACTCGAATCGTATCCATACATGGTTCCCTAGTTATATTTGGACAAGGGAACATCCGAAGATAAAAATACAAGACACAAAGAAAAAGAGGGGACAATCCAAGGCAACCCAATACAGATCAACACAAAACTATATAACCTCAATACGGAGTCATAAAAACCGATAAAAGGAATCTAGAGCTACTTCCAATATCACTGAGTTCTTATTCAAGAAAGTTGACTACCTTAACCTCTAGCTGTCAACCAAATATGAGAGCTTTGCGTCTCTAGGCTGATAGAGACTAGATTAGCCCATCCTGTATATTGTACT